TGTGAGGCAGTAGAGGCACTGACACCTACGGCGAAGCCATCACCGTATGCAAAGAGATGGTGGACGGCTGATCTCACCCAGCTCCGGCAGATCCACACTCACTGGAGAAACCGGGCGAGAGCGGAGAGAAGGGCAGTAATACTCAACCCGAACTGGAACAACGCGCCCGCTCGGCAGCCAAGCAATATCACGACGCCATCCGACAACAGAAGAAGAGCCATTGGGAGGACTTTCTGGCCGACGACGCCAATATCTGGAAGGCCGCGAAGTATCTCGACGCCAGTAAAGGGGCATCTTTCGACAAGATACCTCAACTTAAAAGGGCGGATGGCTCCCAAACGGGAGACGCCACAGAACAGGCCGAAGAGCTGCTCTCCACATTTTTCCCTCCTCTCCCCAGCATGATCGAGGAGGAGGGGGGTCAGCCACAACGATCGCCGGTACCCTTCCCTAACCTCACACTGGGAGAAGTAGAGAGACAGCTCTTTGCGGCAAAGTCGTGGAAAGCACCCGGAGAGGACGGTCTGCCGGTGGCAGTGTGGAAGCACACATGGCCAGTGGTGAAGGAGAGGGTGCTTACACTCTTCCAGACCTCACTGGATGAAGGGGTGTTGCCGAGGCAGTGGCGACACGCGAAGATCATCCCGCTGAAGAAGCCAAACAAAAGCGACTACGGTATAGCGAAGGCCTGGCGACCGATCTCGCTTCTCTCGACGCTCGGAAAAGTGCTGGAGTCGGTCCTGGCAGAACGTATCTCGCACGCTGTCGAGACGTTCGGCCTCCTTCCCACGAGCCACTTTGGCGCTCGCAAGCAGAGGTCGGCAGAGCAGGCGCTGGTACTGCTGCAGGAGTACATCTACAGAGCGTGGAGAAAGAGAAAGGTGGTCAGTCTGGTCAGCTTCGATGTCAAGGGAGCATACAATGGTGTGTACAAAGAGAGACTACTTCAAAGACTCAGAGCGCGGGGGATCCCGGACAAGCTGGTGAGATGGGTGGACGCCTTCTGCTCCCATAGAACGGCAAGCATCCTGGTTAACGGTCACGAGTCCGAGGCTCGTCCGCTACCACAAGCCGGACTGCCTCAGGGTTCGCCGCTTTCGCCCGTGCTCTTCCTCTTCTTCAACGCCGATCTCGTACAGCACCAAATCGACGAGAACGGGGGCGCGCTGGCCTTCGTCGATGACTACACGGCGTGGGTCACAGGCCGATCGCGCGAAGCAAACCGTCAGGGCATCCAAGATATTATCGATCGAGCACTCGCGTGGGAACGACGAAGCGGGGCGACGTTCGAGACGGACAAGACGGCCATCATCCACTTCACGCGCAACTGGAGGCTGCCGGCGGACTCAACCAGCTTCGTCATCAAAGGTGACACTGTCCGAGCAAAGGACCACGTCAAAGTATTGGGAGTGATGATGGACACGAAACTCCGTTTCGAAAAGCACATCGCAGACGCGACGACAAAAGGGCTGGAGGCCGTGCTGGGGCTCAAACGGCTCAAAGGCCTGTCTCCGGCGACGGCCAGACAGCTTTTCGTGGCGGCCGTAGCACCGACGATGGACTACGCGTCGAACGTCTGGAGGTACAGGTGTCGAGCAGCGCAGATGAGGGTGATCAACCGAGTGCAGAGGATTGGCGCCCAAGCGATCGTGGGAACCTTCAACACGGTGGCCACGGCGGTCGCTGAAGCGGAGGCAAGCATACAATCGGCGCAAGAGAGGTACGACAGAAAATCAACGACATTCTGGGTACGGCTGCGAAGCCTTCCCAAGACCCATCCGCTTCGACGTCTGCGGGCGGTGGCCTTTAGACGGTTTCCGTCACCCTTCCAGTTGATGGCGGAGGCCTATCGCGACCTACCCCTTGACAAGCTGGAGACTATCGAAGGGTATTCGATCGCTCCTTGGGAACGTCGTATTGATACAGTAGTCGACGACGACACGGTCAAGGCCTCTGAGGCAATCCGGTCTGGATGGGCAGTGAGGATAGCGACAGGGAGCTCAGCAAGGAACGAGGTTGTGGGCTTTGGAACGGCGACGACGCTGCCCGCATCTTTCAGAGGGGGCGGTGGCGTCGTGACGGCCTCGCGTACGTTCGGTCAGAGAACGGAGCAGAACCCGTATGTAGCAGAGCTAGCGGCACTGGCAGAAGCGGTCAAGTCTCTCCCAGAGAGACTCGAGTACCGGGCCATCCACGTCTTCACCCGCAACAAAGCGGCAGTGTTGGTGATGCACAACCCGCGGCAGCAGTCAGGCCAACAAGAGATCCGACAACTATATGCCAGCGTGCAAGCTCTGCAGAGACGAGGCAACAGAGTCACTCTCTTCTGGCTTCCATCATCGATAGAGTCAGACCTGGCGCAAGCGGCCAAAGCAGCAGCAAAGGAAAGTACCCAAGTAAACAAGACACCACAAAAACGGCCGGCCAGAGCCTACTCGACGGCACTTAGGATCGCTTTACAGAGCGTGCGACAGAAGCACGGAGCCTTGCCCGACAACGTAGGAGCATATTCGAAGAAGATCGACATAGCCCTGCCGGGAAACCACACACGCAAGCTGTATGACGGACTGGCCTGGAAAGAAGCCAGCATTCTAGCGCAACTACGCACCGGAATGGCAAGGCTGAACTGGTACCTCTACCAGATCGGCGCAACCGCCGCGGCGCTATGCGCTTGCGGGCAATCTGCAGAAACGGTAGAGCATTTTCTCTTTCGATGCACACAGTGGACGGCACAGCGGACTCGGATGCTCCAACAGACGGAAACGCGGAGAGGAAATCTGTCATACTTCCTGGGAGGAAAGCGCGCGTCCGACCCTAAGGATTGGTCGCCAAGCGTAGACGTTGTCAAAGAGACGATCAAGTTCGCCATGAGCACGGAGAGGCTAGATGCACAGATCAGCCAGCAGCGAAACCACACGCAACTAACATCATCAAATTAACCGGAGACACCCCCACGCATCCTCGTGCCATCGACAGCAGGACTAGCTTCGGCCGCCGACGATAGGACGTCGAACACTTTGAGAAACAACTCCGAGATGGCCTGCTACTAACCCCACGAGCAACCGCAGCATCGACATGCAAAACTAAAAAAGACACATACGGAGACGAACAAGACTTGTATGGGCTTCTGGGAGGCAAGGATATGAACGAATGTGGAGAATATGTAGATAATCATGCGAGCCCTAAACAGCTTAGCCGGGGCGTAATAAACTATGTATGTATGTATGTATAGGAGCTTAAGTGGTATTAGTCACGTATCCGTACTCTGTACACAAACCCTTCAACATGTGTATCCAGTCAAACAGAGAGACGATTACTAGTTCGATAGCTGACTTTGTCGAAGTATGGGTTCAAGCCGCGGCGAATTCCCACCTGGACGATCATTTACGCGCCGGTCCCAACGATTCTGGTACGAAGGCGTTGAGCTCTAGGGCGAGAATTTCCTGTCGTGGTTCCCTGAGGCAATGCCTCTGGACTGTGGATACCTGGCGGACGCAGGCCTTTCCGCCCTTCCGCACGTCCCATTCTGAGAGTTGCGGAAGCGAGTCACTAATTTCTGCTCGCGAAAGACCAAAAAAAATGTACAGGTCGCTTTGGATAATGTTTCGGAAGCTTGAAGGTCTCACAATACAAAGTGATAAGCTCTTGAGATGGATAGTAGTATTCGAAGTCATAGAGGAGTCTCGAAAAGACTAGCAACTCTAACTTCAAGCAATGCGAAAACGAGCTCTCAGTCGGATCTGGTCCGGGGTTCGGGCTGGACCGTTAGCCCGGCCTTACGTTAGTCTTGCAGCTCTGTCGTGGGCTTGGCCTGCGTAACGCAAAGATTCTAGGCACTTTGTACAGGAGACAAGCAGTTGAAGTGATGGGTTTCTGCCGAATTTGTGCTCTTTCGGAGTTATGTGGTGGGTTGATGGCTAGCTTCTAATCTGTTGATTTTGTGCGACGAACCAGATCAAAAGTAACGTAGTTCGGGCTCCGACCATTCATAGGGAACTATGCCGAGAGCCCGGCACGCTGACCCAGCCCGGAGGAACCGCTGATTCAGCGGCGACCCGCACCGGCTTCGACAAAATCGGCATCGTGACGAAAGGTCTGAGACACCGTGGATGGTAGTCCGGTTCCCCGCCCACGCCCGCTAATCATTTTACCGCCGTCAAGACTGGTCCCTAGCTGGATGAATGCCGGCGGGAGGCTCGATCCGGCTTGGCGTAGGAGAGATCCCGTGTGGATCGTCCCTAGCCCTGCCGCACATGAGAGCGCTAACGGACTGGATGTCATCCTGCGTCGCATACCTACGTGTAGTTGTATCCGTGTACGAGGTGCGGCTCTGTGAGTGAATCATAAGCCCCGGATTACGGGAAGTAAGTTCCGTCTGACGGAAGCCGAACCGTAAATGCCAAGCTTGAGCGACAGTGTCATAGAGCCCTCGCTGATGGAGTGTTCAGCACATCATTGTCCGAACTATGAGATCTCCTATCATAAGTCTCACGTCTTCCGACATGTCTGTAAAGCGGAAATGATCTTCAAACAGCCGGACGGCAATATTGAGACGACAGCTGAGGAGACTTCACCGGAGAAGAACAAGTTACCGTGGAAAGTATCTGTGAAGCGGCGATTATGGAGCTGTTGAAACTTATTGTGCTGCTCGTTCTTACCAGAACTGAGACAATGTACGAGGTACATAGTGCATCCTGTCAACCATTGAAGGTGACCAATGTGTTTGCATCAAACACATGCTATGCATCCCCTCAGCCCCAGATCTGTCGTGACCCTAGATTCAACACTTGAGTTGGGCCCACGTGGGACTACGGAAGACGTCTACATTCCGTCCGAGCCGCGAGTGAGGGGGGAGACAGGTATTCAACTCTTGTCGTTGTGTCATACTAGCTCCTCGTTGGCGTCAACTCATGTTCGAATGCCTGGATACGACCATGCACAAGCTTCTATAAATACCAACCCATCGCCTCTTCTGACACGCTTCCGATTTACAATATCATCGCAAGAAGTCAGAGTCAGTTTCAACTTTGAACATTTACTTCTCAAGGCGCAGACCGCTAGTCATGGACGAAACCGGAGCCGCAAGCTCCCTCTTGGGAGAAACGAGATACACCCTCGATGGCTCGGCCAAGCCTCTGTCTTACTTCTTCTCGACCATACTACTCATCATATTTGTTTACTCCCTTCAGGGCACAAAGCTCAATATACCCTCTATCAACCAGAAGGGAAGATTCGAACTTACGGACAGCCGACCTAAAAGGAACTACCTCCTCAATGCGAGGAAGTTGATGCAGCAATGGTTTACCGCGAATCCAAACAAGCCCATCCAGATGACCACGGACATGGGCAGTACGATTGTGCTGCCTCCCTCGATGGCAAATGAAATCCGCAACCATAGTGACTTGAGCTTCACCGCGTTCTCCCAAGAGGTTAGAAAAGACGTCCTTGGATGCGTATCGTATTACAGAAGACGAAAGGACACTGACAACTCACTGGCCCAGTTCTTCCAAACGAAGTATCCCGGCTTCGATGCATTCGCAGAGGGAGGACATGACAGCATTACACTGGTCGTCATCAACAAAGACCTAACCAAGCAGCTAGGTACGAACAATACTCTCGAATCATTCTGATTTTCACACCATTGCATGACGCTGACAAAGTGATCACAGCAAAGGTCACTGAGCCATTAGCTGAAGAGGCTTCCCTGGCCCTCCTGAAGATATTCACAGCAGAGAAAGGTACAAAAGAGTAAGACGTGCAAACAAGATGAAGATTTACTGACTTTGATTAGAGTGGCACTCTATTCCCATGCGCGCAACCCTCCTCCACTTCATCGCCCGCATCTCTTCCCGCGTCTTCCTTGGCACCGAACTCTGCCGAAACGAAGCCTGGCTCGAAATCACCAAGAACTACACCCTCAATGGCTTTACTGCCGGTGACCGACTTCGCGAATACCCTCCATTTTTCCGGCCAATTGTCCACTGGTTTCTTCCCGGTTGCCAGGAAGCGCGTAGACAGATCAAGGCGGCCACCAAGATCATTCAGCCCATCATTGACGAGCGAAAGGTCCTCAAGGCTAAGGCGGTCGCCGAGGGCAGACCAGAGCCTGTGTACCAAGACGCTATTGAATGGTTCGAGCAGGCCTCCAAGTCCAAAGGCACTGCGTATGACCCTGCTTTGAGTCAGCTGTTCCTGTCGACGGTCGCCATTCACACAACCACCGATCTTTTGGGCCAGACTTTGGTTGATCTGGCGAAGCATCCCGAGGTCATCGAGGAACTCCGCAAGGAGGTTCGGTCTGTGCTCCAAGAGGGGGGCTGGAAGAAGACATCTCTCTACAGCATGAAGTTGCTCGATAGCGTTGTCAAGGAAAGTCAGCGCATCAAGCCCCTGCAGCTCGGTAAGTGCATGCATCACGGCATCTGGCCACATTTGCTTTGAAACACTGGTAGATGATTCTATATTTTAACCCGTTCTGTCTTCATAGCTAGCATGCAACGCATCGCCATCAAGGATGTCACTCTCTCCGACGGAACCTTCATCCCCAAGGGAGCAAACACAGCCGTGTCGTCCCACTCTCAGTGGAATGCCGCCGTGTACCCGGAGCCGGAAAAGTGGGACGCATACCGTTTCCTCCGGATGCGAGAGGAGCCCGGCAAGGAAAATGTGTCGCAGCTAGTCAGCACTCTGCCGGAGCATCTCGGCTTTGGGCACGGTAAACACGCTTGCCCCGGTCGCTTCTTCGCTGCAAATGAGATTAAGATCGCTCTTGTGCATATCCTACTCCAGTACGAGTGGAGACTTCCTGCCGGGGCCGATACCTCGATCACGGACTACGGCGTCAATCCGATTCTGAACCCCGGCTTGGAATTGGAGATTCGGAGGCGGGCGGATGAGGTTGACTTGACGTTCTGAGCGATAGAATGTCCGGTATCTGTTACCAGGTGTGCTACTGTTACTCGGGAGGGCATTTCGGACTGTATAGGAGGACGTAGAGTGACTAGATGATACTAAGGTACAGAGGGAGGGCTTGCTATTATGTTCAATAATCGGGGGGGTTTCACTCGTCCCGCGGCTCTCTACCGGTAGATTCGCAAACGCCTCAAGATCGGCCCAATTAGTGGGTAGTTGCATGGACTTTAAAGGTTCTCGATGATTTGGAAGACATGTGTCCCGCTTAATTGGCTATGTGTCGAACAAAGACGTCATCTTGAACAAGTACTCGGCACCATTTGTAGGCACTTCTTGAGATGCGGGGTCGCGGCGGACTCGAAATTCCAAGTCGGCTATATATCTCCGCACCTATATGTAGCCTGCATCAGCCGCATCCCCATCGATATCGTATAGTAAATTTATTCACATTGCACGGAAGTCGCTGTTTCAACTATCAAAATCATGGCTCAAGATCTGCCTTTCAAGGTATGTGGTTCGATTTTCAAATTCGTCGCCTTCTCTGCTAAGACCATTAGCTCGCCAATCCCGATCTCCTCAAGACGGATGCTTACGTCCACGGTTCTTGGGTGGAGGCGTCCTCCAAAAAGAGATTCGAAATCGAGGACCCAGGAACAGGCAAAGTTTTTGCCTCAAGTCCAGACTTTGACCGTTCCGATGTCGACGCAGTGGCGAAATCATCCCATGAAGCTTTCCAGACCTTCCGCTACGAGAACCCAAGGTCTCGGGCTAAGAAGCTCTTAGAGTGGGACCGCCTGATCCGCGAGAATCGAGATGACATTGCCCAAGTTCTCACCCACGAGTCCGGCAAGCCTCTCGCGGAAGCGCAGGGCGAACTTGACTATGCCCTCGGTTTTACGTGGTGGTTCGCTGGAGAGGCCGAGCGCATTCGAGGAAACATCTCGACACCGTCTGCACCTAATCGGAGAGTCGTGGTCGTGAAGCAGCCGATTGGTGTAGCCGTTGCTCTAGTACCTTGGAATTTTCCTATTGCGTGAGTACTCAATCTCAAACCAGAGCTGTTGACTTGCATTCCTGACAAAAGTTTAGAATGATTCTACGCAAGGCCGGCGCCGCATTGGCAGCAGGATGCACCATGATCGCGAAGCCATCGCCCGAGACACCATTAACGTGCCTCATTCTCGCTCACCTAGCCACAAAGGCCGGATTCGGACCGGGCGTCTTCAATGTCATCACAACATCTCTCGACAATACACCAGAGGTGGCAGAAGCTCTGTGCAAACATCCCTTGACGAAGAAGGTCTCCTTCACGGGCTCTACCAACATCGGCAGCCTGATCGCCAAACATTGCGCCGAAGGCCTGAAGAAACTTACCCTGGAGCTCGGAGGCAACTGCCCCTTCATTATCTTTGACGACTGTAACCAGGACCAAGCCCTGGAACAATTGCTTGCACTCAAGTGGCGGCATGCAGGCCAAGCGTGCATCACAGCCAACCGCGTCTACGTCCAAGACGGGATCTACGAGGAGTTCCTGGAAAAGCTAGTCGAACGAACCAAGAAGATCAAAATGGGCCACGGAACCAAGTCGGATACAACCATGGGACCCCTGACGACGCCCCGCGCCATCCCCAAAGCCCAAGCTCACGTCAAAGACGCAGTAGAGGCAGGCGCAAAGGTCGTACACGGCGGCCGAAAGGGAACCGAAGTCGGTCTGGAGGCTGGATACTTCCACGAGCCGACGATTCTGCGGGACATGAAGCAGTCTATGCTGCTCAGTCGTGAGGAGACCTTCGCGCCCGTCTTGGGCGTGTACAGATTCAAGACCGAGGATGAGGCGGTACAGTGGGCCAATGATACGAGCATGGGTCTGGCCAGCTACTTCTTCACTAAGAATATCGATCGCACGTGGCGCCTGATGGAGAACTTGGACGCTGGAATGATCGGGATGAATACTGGTAACTCGTCGGCGGCTGAGTCTCCATTTGGCGGCATGAAGCAGTCTGGCTACGGAAAGGAGTCTGGAAAAGACGTGGCCATTGAGGAGTATCTGGTCTCCAAGACTGTGACTATGACTCTGGAGGATCATTACTGAAAAAGGATTACTGCAGATGCTGATTGCAGTTCTATGTGGCAATGCCTTATGCTCTGTGTGAAATGTACAAGATATGTTCAGTGGGCAATAAATACAGTAAAAGTTCCTGAAGTCCTAAAGAAGCCCAAAGAAGAGTCGAATATGGCTGCCTAGCCAGACGAAGCCATCGTCATACCCGGCTTACTCCTCCACATTGCAAATCGGCGCCAGGGACTACTTCGAAGCCAGTCGGAGCAACAAAATTCCCGCACCGCCCATTATCGCAGACGCCTTGTTGTACGGTGTTCCCGCACGCGCGTCCGTTGGCTGCGATCTGTTGTGGGGAGGGCTTATTGCGTTTCGCAAAGTCGCTGAACTCGCGGGGGATCAATGTGATGGCAAGTGCCTCGCCTCGTGCGCCTCGTGGTCTCGGTGCTAATATGATGCTTTAGCTTGAGCCGGGAGTATCATTTTATTGTTTGTGACACTCACCTGCAGATACGCCTTCTGACACCAACAGCAATGTGAACGCAATGTCGCTAAACCGCATGATGCACTGGGCAGGAGGAGGAGGAGGAGGAGTCTCTGGACAGACGTATGCAAAAAAGATCCCAGGACCAGCGAATTATGTGTAACAATTGTTCGTCTTCTTCTTGCCTTGAATATTCGACCACGTCTCTTCAAGAAAAGTGGTTTATGTGCAAAGTTGAGGATGCACACTCGGCGACCTCTGGGGTCGTCTTGGGTAGCAATCTGGCCGATGTGTACGATTGACGTCGCCACGATACATGATACTTGTTTTATGTCGGAGCCCGTGCCGTGAGACGATGACAATTTGCGGGTCTTTCGGATCTGCGTAGTACTTGCGAGCCGTTGATCATGCAAAAAAGGCGTGAAGCCTGGTCCCAGTCTATCATCCGACATATCTCATACAATCCTGGTTGGGGTACCCTGGGCCGCATGATTGGGTGATTTTCGGACCGTTCCTCCACAACATGCAAACTTCAAGGCTCTGAGAATACACAAATACTGGAATTGTGTTATAGACGGATTCAAGTCTAAGAGTTTGTTGAAAGAAGTATGCGCAATAGTCGTTGATGTCTCATGGAGCAGTCGGTAGTTCTTGTGTGGTCGTGCCGCTATGATGAGTGAACTTGAAGCCACGACTGCTGAGTTTAAGTCAAACATTGCGTTTCCCACTCCATCGGATCAAATTTGCAAGTTCTTTTCAACATGACTAAAGATCACGTGTAAGTAAGGTATCGAGAAGATTGAGGCGTCTCGTTCAAGCTCCCCGTCTATTGACTAGTAGCAAGGGCACATAGGACAGAACCTTTTATAGTGACTAAGAATAGATTGTACAAACTTTAAACATTCGACAGATTTCCGTAGGGTAAGCCCGAGAGGTGCTGCCAAAAGTCGTATTCTTCTGCCATCCCGCTTTCCTGCAAGAAGACTGGGTCCATCATCATCGGCATACTAGCATCAGGAGCAGTGTTAGTCAAACCGATCTTGGATAAGTACCAACTCCTGATTCCCGAATATATCTCGGCGTAAGCTGCCACCATCCGCTGGCGACTGCTCAGAATCGTACTGCTATAGCTGGTGGCGCGAGATCCAGTACTGCATCGGTCGCTCAGTATTTGAAGCGTTTCGGCCAAGTCTATGTTTGCTCCCGCCGTTTCGAGGTCCCAGTCGTGGTCCTCCACACTCAGAAGTCCAGCTGCTTTGATGATGGCTAGTGCCAGGTGGAGGTTCGATACGAACGTGAGTGTAGGGTATGTTTCTACACTCAGAGACAGGAAAGCATTCAAGAGCTCCTGAGTGCTCTGCTCGTGAAACAGCGCCACATGATTCGGGATCTGAGATGGGGTGTTTTGAATCCGTGATTTCCGTTCGCGTGTATGGCAGGTTCAAATAGCCGGATACGTATGGCCATGCAATGGTCGCGCAAAAGGTCTATCATAGGTTGTCAGCGGCTTCCAAGTCACGCTCAAGACAGAAACGGAGCATGCTGTTTGAACGAAGATGGGTTGGTAGACTTTCGCCGGCTCCATCCCTCTCTCCGTTGCACAAAGCTTGTTTCAGAGCATATTGTTGGTTGAGTTGGCAACACAGGCGCCTCAAGTTGACGCCCAAGTCGTCGTCGGACACGGTGCGTCTGGGATCAAGACCATGGTGGCGCAGAAGTACGGCGACGCAGCTGCACTTGACGTTCTCGGGGCGTATAACCACGCATTGCGGGCGTGCTTCTTGTTGTGCATCGTTCTCTCCTGCTTGACTGGTATTGGTGCACTGGGAACGGAATGGAGGAGTGTCAGAGAGGACACGCCGAAGTATGCGGCTGATACTGGACAGGCCTCTTCCGGTGGCAAGACACCGCGTAGCAACATTTGAAGATATGTCTTCTGGCCAATCCGAGGCATCGAATATGTCAAACGAGTGCTCCTAGGATATTATGGATCTGGACTCATGGAAGCCTTGTCAAGTCTCTTCTCTTTTTTAACACGATAGCTATAGATCCCTCTAAACACATGTACACGACGGAACTTGTGATTCCCGCTTCTCTTCAAATTCTCACAAGAAAAGGTGTGTTTAACGTGAATCTGTTAAGTAGGTGAAGTTATCAACTGAATGCAGACTCGCAAGCCGCTGCCTTGTTTCTTTTCTCTGACGATTGCGGCTGTTTCACGGCTGACCATAGACCTTATGCTTTGTGCTACATGCCAGCCATGTACCATGCTCAGTGCAGTCTCAAGCCAGCACCTTGTCGTGTCCTCCAAATTCTCAATTTTCAACAAGCTATAGCCTCTTTAAGGTTCACTCAAGATTTGCGTGAAGGAGAAGTTCTCGGCCGAAGCAGCTTCCACCGTTTATTTCAGTGTGGAAGAAATAAGGTACACTCAACACACTTTGTGAGCACGGAGCATCGAATCCTAAAAGAAAACACGACTGTGTCGTTCAAGCCTCATGCGCTATTATTAAGGTACTTCATGGTGTTATTAGTTTGGCTAAGAGCGCGGGTACCGAGCGATATTTCCCTGCGGTAGAGGGGTCCGGACCCCTCCGCCGCAGGGAAATGTCACCAAGTACCTCATTGGAAAGATTCCTTTGCATTTTAGGATGCTTGACATGTTATAGCGTCAACGCAACCCCCCCGGCTGTAGCACATGAGATGAGTATGTAGGTTTATTCGATGAAGCACGATGACTACATATACTCACCTGTTCATGGGGATTTCCCAGGTCTGTGCTGTTGTATGTTCACGTCGAAGCATGTTTGCAATGCTTCCGCGCGTGTCGAAGGCAATTATCTTTTCGGGGGAAAATCTTTTTGCAGCCACTATTTGGGCAGGCGTGGCACTCGTCTTGTGCCGGCTTGGTGTGCTTGAGGCGGTGCTTTTGCATATCTTTGCGCAGGTCGCAGGAATAGCTACAACTAGGGTGTTGGCATGCATGTCTTTTTCGTGAATGACACGATGGTTCGACAGATTTATGTCTGTTCTCTTCGAATGACGAAGATGAGTGGCTCGGCAGTAGCCCGATTTTGTGCCCATTACCTTCGAATGGCGAAGTTGGTAAACACAGTGGTGTGCTGCTATTTCCCTCGAATAGCGAGGATGTTGCCTGGGTCACAGAAAGTGAATCGGTTGCTGGCGATTCATAGAAGGAGAGTTTGTCCCAGACCACGTTGTGCGCAAAACAGAAGTTCGAAGATTGTTCGAATACGTATTTGTCGCGCTCGATTTGGTCGAGTAAAGTTGCGCTTAGGCAGCCATCGATGTACCCAATGAAATCATTGTCACGGGGGTCGAAAACGTCGGGCGGTCTGGGGAATGTTGTACATGTAATATCCCAGGCCCTTGACTGCCCCGAGCATCTGGGATGTTGTCGGTGTTGTTGAGATGTTAGGCCACTAAGTGGTGGCGAGTCGTAATCAAAGTCGACGAGGGTTTCGGGGGAAAGAATTCCACACCAAACTCTTCGAGGATCGATCGGTTCTCGTCAAAAGGCCGCCGTCTTTCTGACTGACGGCGGCCTCTGAGGGCAGGAAAGGCAAACAAGGAGGGAAGCGCCTTTACAAGGCAAAAGTAACGGGATAGAAATTTCTTGTAAAGCAAGGTCTACTTCACAGATCAAAAGAATGGTGTCTAGAGTTCGACAGGCTTCGAAAGAAACGAGAGACGCTGCCTGACGGGAAAGGTCGGCGGTTAAGTACTGCGTGGTCGGAGTGGACTCTGGATCTGCAGGTAGACAAGAGTCCTGTGGCTTGCAGGTGCCAAGACTACCAAACACCAATTAGACTGTGCGCGGGCTGAATGTCACACCGAAGACAGGACTCAAAATTCCAGCTGAAAGAGATTATGGATCACTCAGCCTCAATACTGCCATGTTATTGGTGATCTTGTTAGAAACACCAACGCGGGCTGAGCCGACTGGAAGCTTAGCCATAGATCCTGGTCTCCAAGCGAGGCTTCTGTTCCGCTGCTAAGTGACACTTCATGTCAATCCTCTATATTCTTGAGAACCCATGTTCAAGACTCTGAGTCGCCAACAAAGTGATTGAACACAAAGCCCTTGACTAGTGCATACTCGAGGTCTTCGCTGGAAGAGGATCATAGCGGTGCATATGAAATCTAGGAGCGGAAAGCGTGATGCTAAGATTGAGTCCTCTTGAGTGAAGAGGACTCAGATCCCCTTGTGGAACGTCAATCCGATAAAGGAAAGAGTCCTCATGAGTCCTCTTCAATAACGCGGGCCTTTTCAAATGTCCAAGACATTTCAAACGACAAGTTGTCTCGCAGGCGAAATATAAAACGAATTGATTTGAGCTCAACACTACATCGAGAATAGATTGATCATAATCACGTTTTTGGACCACGAAACCATCATACTATTACTCTTGACAAAGCCCTGAGGCGTCAGTTTCAGCCCCACTAATTATTGAGAATGAACTCGAACTCGAAAGAAAGGTACATTCAACGTCTCTTACGGCAATGTCATTTCCTTAGAGCTGGATACTAACAGCACACTGCTTCCAGTCAACCCCAACAAGTTGGAAGCAAAGGACCTAGCCTCCCTCTGAGCCTCTCTTCCAAGCCTGTCTCCTTCAACACCATAAGTCGTGCATTCCCGTTTCCTGAAACCCTCAACGAAACGATTAGTCGATACTTCAAATTGTTTGATCCATCTTGGGTCCCCTCGCCTCCGGATGAGGAGGAAGAGATGAAGGCGAAGGGCAAAACGGATAGCTAAGCAAGCTGTGTTGCCTTCGTCAACGGGGGAAGACAATAAGCCTCATACTTTGGATGAACCTGTGTTTAGACAACCTCTCAGAGAGCCCAGGGCGTTTTAGACTGAACCGCAGATTCTCAGCTATTAACACAGACTTTCATTATATCAAGTTGCCACAAGATGCTGTCATGGGGATCTGCTTCCTCTATCCCACGCAACGCTCCGGCTGTCTTTTGTATTGATCCAAGTGTACTGTTGAAGAAGGATTAGCAAATCGCAAAAGAAAAGCACAGCATTCCGATATGACGCACCTCAAAACAACACGGCTTCCCATCTCCCACCGTGACAGCGAGGAGATTTGCCTCGCTCCAAACTGGCCTGAAGCCAACCTCCTCGATCCTCTCCCACCACTCCGCAAACTGACTTATTGTGGGCCCCTTCTCCGGAACATGAATCTCAATCACCATCTGACCAACCGGAACCTCCTTTCCCTCGAGCTCGCCACCTTTCGCATAGTCTCCCAGGAAAGACTCTAATGTCGGAAACTCATCCCCTTCGATATCCATCTTGATCAGATCCACATAGTCGTGCCCTAGTTTCTTCATGATGCTATTGATTGAGAGAAACTCCGTCTTCTCCACTTCATCATAGTAGTCGTACTCAGCAACAGCAGTCTTGAAGAAGTGCGTCCGGTTGGGATACGCTTCTAGCCCCTTGCCCCAACCGTCGACCGTGTCGTCGAAACCGTACATCTCAGCAGCGCTGGAGCGGCTGAGCATTTCCGCCTCAAAAGAGGAGTCGTCTCCAATACCAAAGCTATAGATACGAATAGGTCTCTCAGAAGCTCGGGAGTTGGCTTCCGCCTTTTCGTATTTACTCATTCCGCAAATCCACTTTCCCCCATCGCCGAGTTTGCCGACTCGTTGCACGTCCCACGGACAAGTATACGTTGCCGGGAACAAGTCCCAGATGGTGTACCAAAAACGGAGAGTTTCATCTCTGGGTGTAAACCTAATTGCACAATCAGTTATTGCTATTGCTGTCTAGAGAGACCCTACTTGCAGTATTGAGTCGTAGTCTTCGTTGACCCTCATCCACTCGTGTCTCTTTCGGACTGAACTCAGCCATGACTTTTCCGACACTGCTGCCCGACTAGGCTCGCCTAGGTGAGTGTCGATCCGAGATAGTACCCAGGATGACCATGTTTCGTTGAGAACCGGTGTCAGGAAGTAAAGAAAAGCTACCGGAAAAAAGAAGGGAAGGACTCTTAAAAAGGGCCTCGTCCGCTGGCCAGCGGGCTTCAGAGCCGCCATCGTGTATGGGGTCCGCGTCGATGCTACAATGGTGATTGCTCTACAAGACGATTCTAGACACAGAGCTTGACCACCGGGTTCTTCAGCAATAGCGAAAGTCCAGGGAGATGAGGCCAAGCAGTGTTGCCACTTACTGTTACCAAATCACCACGGACTGGAAAAGTCCTTAGGCGCAACGAACAGCCATCTGATGTTGACAGCATCATTGAAATAGACTTTGATCCTCATCCTTTACTGAAACAGCTTGCCTGAAACCATCGTCGATCCTTAGCGGCCTCGTTTCTACGAAGCCTGCCCAAGAATGCTCGTCACGAGTCAGTCTTCAGACGGCGACAAAACATCAGACTACGCCTCGGTTCATCCGTGTTGAACGAGAGCACTTACTTGACTTGAAATTCAGGATACACCAAGAACGCAGTGCGGCTCAACACTGGGAGTTTGAGTTCAAGCGGAGGGTTCAATGTTGGGGAGATCGTCCAAATGGGTTGATGTAGTTGAGTCAGTCATGCTTGAGACAGCTATTGCCCATGCATGCTATGCCGAATCAGTGGATTCGCCGCCTGATCTGAAGTCACAGCCACACAGCATAACGTCAAAATTCCGCCTGTCCCAGTTGCATGGGAAGCTTCCGGCGACAGTTGCCATTAAACTTCACGCGATTTCGAAGAAATTACCGGCATTGCGCTGTATGTTTCGACGACTATTGACCTAGTCGTAGCCAAGATGGCCTACAATGCACGATGCCGTACGCGTTCCTCCCACCAATACCGTTTCAGCGATACGGCGCTTTGGCACAAGAATGAGGCTTTCTACAAACAACTTGCGCATCGTCTCTCTGCATAGGCCACTCGGGGTAGGCGCCAAGAGTCCACCTCGTGGTTTCGTTGTATTTAGCCATCGCGCTACCCCAGACCCGACCAGTTGGGTTTTGAGATGTTTGGTCTGTTTGGCAGTTGTCCACTCACATTCCACTCGATTTGACATCGAACTTTTAGTTGCTGCTCCTAGCAAGAACCCACTCACTCCAATCATCATCATGAAGTTCACGTCGACTCTTCTTGTTCTTGCTAGCGCAGGCGCTGTCGTAGCCGTAAGTTGTGATTCCAGTCTGTTCCACCAAAACTGCCTGACTAACTCTTGTTCAAGTCGCTCCCCAATGCGGGCATGCCACTCGTTGAACGCGATGAAATTGTGGGCAAGAAGGGACTGGAGGCAACCAAAACAAATCCTCGAGTGAAGAGAGCAGATGGAACTTTCAACCTCGTTCCTCGACAAACACAAACGAAGCAAGCGAGGATGGACTCGGATGATGATGATGCAGGTCCTTTCAAGGAGAAACGCGCTGAAGAAGCAGTTCAAGAGAAGCGTGACGAGCTGACGCCAACAAAAACGAACCCTCGGGTGAAGAGGGCCGATGGCACTTTCAACCTCGCTCCGAGGCAGTCTATCACAGGGAAAGCCAAGGCATAGGCTTACGGCTGGGTTGTCCGGTAGGGATATAGCTCATGTAGGCAGTCTGAGAGGCAGACGTAATACGAGCACGGAACACTGTATGAAGTGAAAAGTCCCGGCATGGCAGGAGACAATCTTTCTCGCCGAGTAATGTTACATGAACAAGTGACGAGGCACGAAGCGTCATTCGGCATGGCGTTCTTCCACTTAGCATGATCGAAGGCTGGGCAGCTCGTCAGCTTCATACTTTGGAAACCCACAGGAAGCCTCCACTCCGCTATGCTCACGCCCAAAGTCACCTCCTTAGCACTACGGCAAGGCTACATGGCCCCCAGAAGAGACTATGGCAGCTTACGACAGTAGCCCGCGGGCGTGATAAGACCTGGGACGGACGCCGCGGCGTGAAGAGCTACGCAATATTCGGTATCTCGGTCATGGCAAGGGCCCAGATCTGCGAGAACGAGGCATTTTCGGCTTTGGTTGAACCAGATGTAGTACCGATAATGCGCGTAAGCGCGCAAGCTTTGTCGTATTGCGTGTCACGGCATCGATGGTATGGCGCAACCCATCACAAGCCGCTTGACTCTCGATAGTTCGTACGACGTTGCGACGAGGATGAGTCTTCAGTAGACAGCCTTCCAGAAGCATTCTGGGGAAGTCAGTTCATCTGCATAACACAGTCGGGACGAGAATAGTCTGGGTTCCCTGTCTTGAAACGGTTCAATCAAAGACCATGTTCCCGGCAGGACGCACGAGCCAAGAACGCCGAGGATTTCGCAAGTTTGTGCGTAAACTTTGCCCCGAAAGACCCGGCCTGACTCGCAGCAGCCTTAAATGTGGGTGTTTGAGTCTGGCGAATGATATGAGTGATTGTTAAGTCCGTTTCGGAGGAGTAAATCTGCCTTGTAAGGCTGTACTGTGTAGAGTGTTTGTTGAACGCCACCCATTATCCGATGATCATGATGTCGCGACCCTTCCGCGCGGCTATGTGTGCTGTGGGTGACACAAGCGGTTCGATATTTCTTGATACTGGAATGGGAAGAGAATATTCAGACCACGGGTTCAAAAAGAGATTTCCCAGCGAATTCCAGTGTCTCCGAGCGGCCTCCGGTGGGCTACCTCGAAACGGCCCCCAAAATGGGGGCTGAGAAGCTAATCTCGTGGGTGCGATATCCGGCTGTGTGCGCCAGGAACTGTGCAGGACAGTCGGAAGGGGCTTCAGGGAAGCAGATCCTACAGCCTTGCGGGAATTCTCACGGTCAGCTGGCCGGGAGCCCTCCGGCCAGCTACTTCTCGGAGATCCGGGGGTGAGATAATCGGGTTCCTGAGAAGAGGCATGATGCATCGCAGCATAGATACAGATCCTGTGGATTCAGCTCGGGTGGAAGTGGAAGTAGTCGACCTTCGACCACGCAATTTCACCGCGTCTATCGCTAGGCAACGGGTGGCGAGTTCAATATGACTGCGATGACTGGATCAAGAGAAGCGAGCCGGCGAAGGATCGGAGAGTCCTTGGGAGTGTCTGGATTGACGCGTCTGGTGTGGTGGGTATCTTGGAGTGACGCGGACCACAAGCCAATGAGTGATGAGCCTGCTATGTACGAGAAGCTGGTTATGGTCAAGTCCTATGAGGCTAGAACCTCGACCACTTCGTTTCGTGGCATGCTGTCAAGACCCAAGGGAGATGGCTACGCATAGGTGGAAAAGTTCTGTCGAGATGTGTCCAGGCAGACGTTTAAGGTACTCAGGAACGTACCGTCGGTAAGTCTACCTAGGTTACCTACCTAAGGTAGGGTGAGCCGCATCGGGTGACCTCGAGTCTGTGTTAGTCATCAAGAGAATCCGGGGATTTTGTTCTGACCTGAGGCAGCATGCGACTGGTGCCTGCTGGCGACGGTTGGAATCGGAAGGTGGAGAAGGAGCGGTGTGGAGCTGTCGAGGTACGTACTGCTGCCCCCAAGAGTTTGTCCGACGGCCCGGGGAAAAAACAGGTGGCCGGAGCTTTCACCTCCTCTCAGCATCCATTCCTCTCTCCTTAATGTATGTCAACTCCAACTCCAATTGCTGCTGCCACGATGCAATGCGCTGCACTGCGACACGATTCAATGCGATGGAATTCGATTGAGCCTCTCGGAGCGCTTGCAGACCTTGCAGCGAAACGCACCCCGCTCCCCTCGTCATTGTTCGGGATGATGAAATGTCAAGCTTCTTTTGCTATCCACCTGCACGAAACACGGCCTGGCTGCATCGGTTGGTCCGACTGAGAAGCAGGCTGTGGTGGCTATGCGCACCTTGAACAAACCTGGTGCCGTTAGTGACCAGCACAGCCGTCTTACTTGCATACTAACACTGCCAAACCATGCCAGCATGCTTCTTTCGCAGCCAAGATTCCGACTGAACTGGCGGGACGAACATGACGCTTGCCTGGTACTGGAACGGTGCGCACCACGGGATAAGCATCGTCACCAACCTTGTCAAGCCCTCAGTGGCTCGCTCCCCTTGCAGTCCACGATCCTTCGACGGCGACCACGAAAGCCATCGTTGATAGTTCCCACAAGGTGGAGTTTATCGAATTGGCCCGCAGCCACCCGTCCAGACTCCAGAGTCCGATGATCGACTGCTTCAATTGTGGCCTCATACACACCAGCCCATCTGCAAGTCAACTAAGTGGATCTGGTCCTACCGGCCACTCAGAGAAACGACATTGTAGCGTTGCGCAAAAAGACGAACAAAGAGCTTGCATGAAAACCTTGCGAGGCCGAAGTGACTCAGGTGTCATTCGCCAACGTCAATTGGGATGATTGGCTAATGTCCCACCGATCCTGAACAGAGTGAACAAAGAAGATCGTTGCGACTCATGCACCACGGCGGCTGTCGCTTATTCGGAAACGATGTTATTTTATCGATAATCAACATCTCCAGGTCGAGCCCGGCCAACACGGGCCAAATCTGCAGTCGAAATGTTTCGATTGCCGCTGTCCATGTCACCCTGGCCTTCCCCAACGGCGCGCGCAAGGTGCCTCTCCCCGCGTCGAATAGATGAAGAACCGGGGCAAGAGCAATTTGGCTCTTAAGTGATGGCATGAGGGATGGTACCGAGTTGGGAGCGAAAATAGCATCATATCGCCCAGATTATTGTTTCGCGGCTTTTCCACTCACAAGTCCGAATTCGTCATCTTCTACACGAGGCTGCGACAACGCCAGACCTCCACGGCGACCATCCGCAACCTCTACCCCGACGAGAAAAAAGAGACGCTGACCACCAGCCAGTCCGTTCCCTCTCCATCCTACGGTGAGCCAGACACCACCACATGGAATAAACATCGCGGCGCAACTCAACTTACACGAGCCGTATCCACAACACATCATGCGCAAGGCCGCATAACTGGGAACTGAGGACTCCTCTCAGAAACATCAGAAGAACACAAGAAAGCGCCATCTGTGCGCTCTCGACCCTGTCACGCCTGTCGAATATCCTTGGCTCCCTCCAGCGCCCTCGTTTTGACGGCTTATGGTGGCCCACCCTGGCAACGTCCCAAAAGTCACCTCCCGTGCACCGCCTCTAGTACCCGTAGGCCTCCCCCAAAAGAGGCTGTGTGATACTTCCACAGGTATTTCCCCAGCGGAGGAATGCATGCAAGAGACAGAAGGGAAACTTGTGCTCTTTCGGAAACGTTCAGCGAGGGGTACCATCCCTAGGCCAAGGACTCCGACGACCCTCCCCTCCCAAGAAACAGATATGCCCCTGCGAGGACCGAGTACGAAAAAGGCCTAGCGGCTAAGAGCAAGACTCATCGGTCTCTACTTGTAGCGATGTCTGTGAAGGCAGCAGTCTGACAGGGGAGGGGGCATGGGCCAGGCGCAATCCACTCTCACAAGGCCTCAAATCTCCACAATGCCACGGCCTGCAGCCCCTTTGGCCCACGATACTTGGGTCCTCCGCCGTCTTTTGCGGCTGACGCTGGGTACTAGCGACTTGCTGCCCCCTGGTCTGCCATGCCACCACCATTCGGACGCGCTTCTTCGGCTCAGACGATATAATTCAGACGCGGAATCACTTCGAGACAACTTGTTCCCACGCTGCTCGACATCTCCACTTGGACTATTTACACTTTGCCAAACGCTTCCCGCACTTAAACGACAGGCGCTACCCCAATCTATCATACCTGGTCGATCCATTCTCTATACTTAGGCAGAACCTTTTTGAGAATCTTCAACACCTGACTTCTTGAATCCTTCTTCGATCTGGTATATAGTCCCTCATCCTCGCTTGCATCTTGTCCTGAAAGATCACCAACTTACACAACCAACAGTCAGACAGACCACAATCTCGATTCACTACAAGCTCCAACATACCACTTCGACTTCACCCCAATAACACCGACACGTTGTCTTCCTATCACCACCCCGAAGCTCACTACATCGACAACACCATTGTCTACAAGTACAAGTCTCGTCGTCCAGCCAACTCCAATCGGGAATATCAACGTCCACCAACCTTCTCGAGGACTCTTTCCTCTACCCAAACGACCACACCCGCGAGACGAATTCCATTCGTTACGCAGGTAGTTCAACCTTCACCACCAACCCCGCGCACGCTGCGCCCTGATACGTTTACACAAGACACAATGTGCACCACCGACGTTTACACATACGTCTACCCCGACGGCCGGAGGGCTGAGCAACAGCAACCGACCTTTTGCTCTGCTTCCCGCAACGGCCACCTTTGCGCCAACCCCGTCATCTACAACCATCCGCCGCGCCAAGTAGGCTACCCTTCACCAGTGCCCATGTATGCTCCTGTCGGTCCAGCATACCCATTCCCTCAGCAGATGCCGCCCTCTCCCCCCATGAGCTCACCGCGGGGAACTTCTTCGGGCAATGAGGGAAGCCGCGCTCGTCGCGAATCCTCCTCGAGCGAGAGAAAACACCGCCAATCCGGAGTATACGTAAACGGCCAAAGGGTTTTGGACCTTAACCGCAAGCACCGGTCACGTAACGAGCGAATTGTCATTGTCGACTCTCCACCCACCCCACGCACACCACCAAAGCAATTCGCTTCGCCTTACACCGCGCCACCTTCACCCAATGCAGGCGGCGAGAACCCTCAGTTCCGCTATAGCCATGTCCGCCGCGACTCTCTTCGCCCTGTCATCGTCGATGAGCGCCCGCGATCCAAGGTTGAGATTGAGGTTATCGACAACAAGCACCGCCGTCACCACTCTTCTGAATCGCGCCACAGCTACGCCAGCGCCGACGATGAGGAGCGCCGCCGCCGTCACCGAGAGCACAAGGAGCGCGAAGAGCGCAAACGCCAGGAGGAGGATCGCCAAGTTAAGAAGCAACTGCGCATCGCTGAGCAAAACGCCAAGATTGCCAGCCGCACCGCCGTCCCCGTCCCTCCTGCTCCTTTGAACCGCACTTCTACAGGGTACGGTTCCAGATACCAGGAAGACTTGTTGGCAGATGCTCTTCGCCGTATGGAAGTAGTCGACCATCTCACGGCACGAGCTGGAGATGAGGAAGAAGCTCAGCGCCGCCGACTGATGGAGCGAATGACACCCCACCGCCGGGCTACCGTGGGGCCGGGTACCCGGAGACACCGCGTTCTCTACGATGATGGTCTCTGGCGATGGGAGTAAACGATTACTGGGATGAATGCATTTACTGCTTCGTGTTTTTTGTTTATCCAATATCGATATGCGAGCTTTGCTCTTGGTCGTTTTCTTGGAATTGTATAGATAGCCAGCGTTCCTTGATTTACATGCATGTACATATACCACGGGGAAGGGATCGCCGGGAGAGCGATGAGAAGATACCACCACCACAGGATACGTTGGGACAACCATTAGATAGTCATTGAATCAGTAAAACACAGTTATGATTCATATATCTGCTCGTTCCATATCCGCTTTGATCATTCCTAGTGATGCAGCATCTTTTGGGTACATTTTCTCGTGATGGACAATGGCTGTCGCGGCCTTGTGATCGAATACGCCTGCATGTCTCACTCCTGGTCCCTCCTCGGATCTTGGAGGACTCGGCAGCATTGAGTAGGCGACACTGCCGTGTTTTGCTCTCCTCCCAACCCACACCTTTTCGGAGAGAGACCGCGAACCAAGACATCTGCAAGCGACCCTTATCCGTGGCGTTTTCCTGTTCGTTCACCCCAAAATGTTGTTGCTGGAGACATGCATGGACGGTGAGGAAGAGTTGGATGGGTGTCTGTGGCGGGAGGTTGCGATGGCCTGAGTCAAGACACCCACCCACTTAGATGCGGAAGCAACTGATAGATCGCTAGTCGGCCGTGCATTTACAATTGATTCCCCAAATTTGAGGTTGAAAATTCTGATTGCATGATGCTTGGCTTGCCGCGCAATGCGAATATGCGCGTTGCCAGTAAGGAACTCTGCAGACTGGGGGCAACGCAAAGACTCTTCTTTCCCTTCTCACGGCGGGGTGCGACGTTGCGCAAATCTTCGCATCGCGGGGTACTTTCTGCCTGGACCGAGAGGACGCGATTGCAGTCACGACTCCTTTGACAGCTTACCCTAGCAGATCTCGGCCTATCCTACGTTCAACATCGCCAAGACCAACAGATCCCTTGCGGAAAGAAGAACGACAGGAGAAGACCAGACCCTACGGTCGCGCTTGCGGGGACTAGAATAGGCAACGCCAGGCAGTCCCGCCCAGTCGGCACGGGCTTTGGAGGGGGGAGAAGCAGCATTTCACGGGTCATCCCTGTTGGCTGGGGGGTCTTGGAGACGGCGGGACGGGTCGCTGGGGTGTTTTGGTGTGGGAACGAGTCACCGAGTGACACTTGCACACCTTGTCGGTGTATCTCGGTCAAGTGTCTGCCGGCGGGGTAATGGACTATGGCGGGGTTATTCATGTTTACACTTGTTTATGATCAGGTCGCTGCTCTTTGTCTGTTGCTCCGCCTTCCCATGCTTCTATGTGATATGAATTTGCCTATGATGAGCAGAATCTCGCGAAACCTGTCACAAAGTCGAAAAAGTTGCACTTTCAGAGACTGAGGCCATTTCGCCTGCCTGCCAGTTACCCCACCTACGTACTTCGTGCCACCATCTTTGCTCCTACGGGCTTGGTAGGGGAGTGGGGTCACTCACCCGTCCACCAACCAGGAACTAAAGATTAGTTTTTTTCTTGTGTCCTTCGTTCCGTTCCCGTGGGGAGTCATTGCGGCGTGGGAAAGGTGAAGCCTCCAAGTGGTGACACATTCTGGCGGTGAGGAAGGGTTCGTGGTGGTGTGCTCGGTGTTGATCGCCTGGTTTCTGAGCATTTGGTACATTATGCAGGGTACTTGCTTTCTGTGTCTTTTTCGGGGCATATCTTTCATTTCGGCTGTAGAACGAGCTCGAAGGGGAATCGTGCATATGTTGTACCGAAGGAGCTGCCTACAGACACTGCGAGCTAAGGATCACCGTGACTAAGGTTCAGATGTGCTTCTTAGGGATTTACTGGTATATGAAGAACTTGAGGATCGTAAACCAATGCAAGACCCATTCAGCCAGAGTTTGATTCTAATCTATGGATATGAAGCTCATAAATGCTTGAATCCTACCTCAATCCCAATCTTGCAATGAATCAAGAGTACCAGTCTCCCTCATCATCGTCAATCGACTCCCCCTTGTCAGACTTATTCAATAACTCCTGAACCGTCCATAGCTTGAAGGGAAATCCTGGCACCGTGTTTGTATTCTTGAACTCACTTCCATGGAGTAAATGCGCTGCGCAAGCCTCGTAGTTATCGTATGCGTATTGCTCAGGATTATGTTTTAACAGCCACGATCCCGTAAATTTGGCGATGCTGCGAGGGTTCTTTGCAGCTTCGTCCCAGTTGGTGTGATGGAAGGCCTCTCTGGACTTGAAGCCAATCTTCTGGACGCAAGCGGTTCTCTCGAACCTATATCAGGGTCGATCCAGAGTCAGCAAAATGACCTCATGCAAATCAAGTTTGATACAAAAGCGCGTGAGGAAGACAGCTTACCGGAGTTTGTTATGCACCTTGGTGGCCACAGCAGCAGACTCCCTGCCGCTCATCTTGAGACAAGCAGCAAGAGAAAAGGCATCTTCAAGGGCAGTAGTAGCACCGAACCCAGAAGAAGGCAGGAACGAGTGCGCCGAGTCGCCGCATTGCACTACTCGCCCTCCGTCCGACACCCACTTGGGTTGGGGATCGCGGAATCGTAGCTTCCAGTCGGTAGCCTGGTTATTGGGCGTCGACTTTATGACCTCGTGCACGATGGGCGTCCACCCTTCGACGTACTTGAACGCGCCAGTTGAGTCAGCGATGCGGTTCCAGTCTTCGACGGCTGCGTCTTCGTCTCTGTGCGTCAGGCCCCAGCAGAATTCCGTCGGCGACAAGCCGGTGAAGAAGTGTGCCCCAGGACCAATGTGAAGGGACGTCCACTCCCGCTTATCCTTGAAGAACTCTGCAATCGCAGGGACTTTGAGCGCCTCTTCGGCTCGGTAGCTGGCTCTGTACCGGCGAAGCCGGAGCTGATGGGCTTCTCCTTGGTGCCGGTCACGATGCCCCAGGACTTGGACCCTACGCCGTCTGCTGCCACAACGATGTCGGCAGTCAATTTGCTCCCATCAGTGAGGACTACGCCACCAAGCTCCTCGTTCTCGAAGAAATCCTCAACCTCTTGGCCTGTTTCGATGGGGATGCCGAGTTCGGTGGCGTAGGTCAGGAGGAGGAGGTAAAACTCCCGTCGGCTGACGGAGATCGTGGGGAGATGGGGGTTCCCGAGCTTGGTTCCGAATAACTTCTCGCCACTGAATTTGAAGAATTGGAACTCGGCCGAGATGGCGCTCTTGTTCAACCTCTCCATGAACCCGGGCCATTTCGAAGGGGTGTGCAGTCCGGGCGACTGGATGAAGAAGATTTCACCTGGGAACCAAAAAACGTATTTGGTCAGAATGTCGTCTCTAAGAGATTGGGGGACAACTAGGTACTCACCATAGTCTCCCGGGTCTATACGCTTCTCCAGAACCTTGACGCTATGTCCCTGGCGATGAGACTCGATGGCGAAAGCTAGACCAGCGATTCCGGCGCCGACAACCAGAATCGAGATGCCCGTGTCAGAAAGACGTTCCATGATGTCAAAAATGCTCGTTTTGTCGGATGAACACAGGTTAGAACTTTCGCGGCCGATAGATGCTATATAAGGAAGTTCAATTGAGGTGGGAGAACTAGAGAACAGTGCGTTGATGCAGAGACGAAGGAGCAGTCTCTGTCCACGCTAAAAGTAGTTCATCTTAAGGCAATTGGATCACCACTTTGCCTCAGAAGAACGGCGGTCGAAAAGTCCGCGCCTTGAGACATGAAGCTTCGGACATTGACGAGATGCCAGTTAGGCCGAATGTCGATGCTGAAGAATAGTAGGAAATGGATTTAACCTAGCCACGCGATAAGATCGTGTTACATCTAACCCCACGTAGTCTGAAATATGCCGCGTCTGTAGAGCTAGAAGCAAGGCTACTTACTCGCTACTGACCCAATCAGCTATAGTGTGCGCGTAATCCGATTAGAGATAAAGTCGGTATTCGGGGCTGTTGTCCTTCCGTGATCCGTTTAAAACTCCCCGTAGTTTTCGTGTGGATTGCCGACTAACCTTTTTATTTCGCAGTAGACGTATGCTCGCGTTTCGTCGTTACAGAGCGCCGCTGAGTCAGCTCGCGATTCACTGGCGGTAGATCGTACGACTCCTAGTCGTTACACTAGACGAACACCTAATTCTTAGGGGCCATGCCGCAGGGGCGGAAGTCGGCAGGGGCGCCATAAAGAAGCCCCAAACTTAGAATTAATTCGTTCGGTCGTTTTGTCAAGTTAGGAAAGCCATATCAATCAGACGGTGCGTCCTCGGGGTTTACCACCTCAGTCAGGTAGGAATGTGCGAAGATCGTCTTCTCTACGATACGCACCTTCATAGAATCATAGCAGCCCCAGATGGTTGACGTTAGAGACTATGCCAGCTCTTTAGCCACATCAGCGTAGGATTAGAAGTTTGACGAAGATCGGTGCTACATGAAGGCTGATGTCCGGGAGTGCATCTGTTTCTCCGTAGCATCTTGTGCTGCCTTTAGATATGTGTCTACGTAACGTCAGCCTTTGATGTTAGAAACTGTTTATACTGCCCACTTAGTATGACTCGCGGACATGAACGGAGTTGCTTTCCTGATGGTTGCGATTTCCCGCGCTTACGACCTTTATCGTCTGCTCCCCGCCAGCCCGGTCGGCGGTCGTTCATTTCAATTGCGTCCCCATCAGCACCACTTACAACGCTTTGGTATGAGACATACCCATATAAACCCATAGTACGTCTCTTGAAGACACTTCGAGACCTTTTGTGAAGTAGAATCCTTCTCTCCCTATCATCATGTGATTCTATACCAGGATGGATTGGTGACGAAAAGCCTCGAATCTTCGATTGATCCCATGCCCTTCACGAGCTGGCGGTCTAGAGCACCTTTCTTATTGCTTGAAACGTACACCCGGCTGGGCTTTTGGTATCACTTTTGACCAAGAAAATCGTCTCAAGCCGTTAGTAGCATATTCGCCAGCCAAAGCCGTTGCGTGGGTTGAGAAAGTGGCCCAAATTGAATTTTTCTCAAAGCCTACATGCAAACTAGGGCGAAAACTCTTGGTTGTCTTGGCGTAAGAAATCAATGTTCTGTCTGTATCTCTCGCTTGCTCAAACTTGCGACACGGGTGGTCCTGGACCATATGCTGCCTGGTGGCGTAGTAATATTGGAGGCCCATTTGCCCGGTCAGTTGATCGACTGAAGAGTCCTTCATTGGTAGAGAATAGAGATGTTTGCTGCGGGCATATGCAGGCTGCACTTGGCCGACAGGAGCCCGGATCGAGAAGCATTGGGTTTTACGTACATAAACCAAGCTTCCCCTGTGCTGCGGGGAACATATAACGTCAAAACTAACGGATTCAACGACGCTGAAAGCACCCTGGTTCGCTCAAGATAGAATCTCAAAAGAACATGGGACGCAAAGATGTCAACTGCGTCTTGGCGCTGCTCCTAGGTCTGGGTGGCCTGACGGCAGGCTTGCCTCCTACCATAGCCAGGCCTTTCAGCCTGTCTCAACCTGTAAGAATGCGTCATCACTGGGATGTAGGACTTGGGGCATTTCAGGAAAGTCACTCATGTTGATGTTTTTCTAGTGTAGACTTCTCGCTGAGAGCGGTTTGAAAGACCAGTTGTTCTTTGCTGGCGACGTAGAGTACTCAAAGACTCTCAATACCTACTATGCTGGCGAGAGTAGGAATATGAGACCGCAGTGCATCGTGAAGCCTGAGACTACTGGTCAAGCATCGATCGCCATCCAGGTGCTCAACTCAGACAAAGTCGGAAAGTGCTGGTCTGTAGCGATCAGGGCAGGAGGGCATTCGAACTTCCCCGCTAGCAACACAAACTCAGGTGTGACGATCGACCTTGTCAATCTGAACAACCTAAGCATCGAGGTAAGTCTGTTCTCTTTGTGAGGCTCAATATCGGGCCTGGCCTCTTATTCATTCCAGCTTTGAGTTGCTCACTTGATGTTCAGATCAATGGCACTGTGTCAGTTGGCAGTGGCAATCGATGGGGTGATGTGTATCGCTTTCTTGAGCCTCAAGGTCTTATGACCTCCGGAGGTCGTGAGAATACAGTTGGCGTGAGCGGTCTCCTTCTTGGGGGCGGTAAGTCATAAACCTCCGAACCTACCGGTATGGGATCCTGATTGATTCTTTACAGGCTTTTCTTGGTTTTCTGGTCAAGTTGGTTTCGCCGCAGATAGTGTGGTCGAGTATGAGGTAAATCAAACATCTCAGCCCTACTTCGCGTGGTGAACGCTCACCATATGCTTTTCAGGTCGTTCTAGCCAGCGGCAACCTTGTCAGAGCTAGTCAAGACGAGAACTTTGACTTGTTCAAAGCTCTCAAGGGTGGAGCGTGCAACTTTGGCCTCGTCACCAAATTCGTGCTCGAGACCTTCCCTTCCCGCAACTTCTATGGCGGTGTCATGGTCTTCCCGTGGGCACAGAAGAATGCCATCATTCAGACGTTTGTGGAGATGATCGACGGCAACACCAACGGGCACCCCGAAGATACTGGATTCGCAGCTGCAGCGTGGAGTCCAAGTGGTGGTAAGAGAATGTCCTTCGTTGTTGCCAACATTGAGGGTCAATCCAACTCAACGGCTTTCGCGGGACTCGAAGTTCTGTCTCCCGTGGTCGACATGCGGGCAAACCTCCCAGTGACCGGCATTGCTGCCCAAATCGCATCGAAGAGCGGCGAGTACCAGGTTTGGAGCACTCTGACTTTTCACAATACACTTGACATGGGCCGCGAGGTTCTATTGTCATTCGACGCCGTTATTGAGGATATCCATGACCAGGTCGAGAACGGCGACGACTTCAGAATCGTCTACCTCCTGACACCGTTTCCCACCCTGTTCTCAAGCTATGGCGACAATGTTCTTGGTCTTGACAAAACCCACGAGAAGAACTCTATTGTTTTCAGCATTCAAGGAATTCTCCCTAACACGAAGTATGTTGGGCTATTGAGACAAAGGCTGAGAGAAGCGACTGCGGACATCGAGGCTTATGCTAGAGCTACTGGCCAACTGATCCCCTACCTATATCTCAACTACGCGGGTCAAGATCAGAGACCATTGGCAACGTATGGTGAAGAAAACATCCGTTTCCTGAAAAGAATTGCGGAGAGGTACGATCCCGGACAGTTCTTTCAGTACGGCGTGCCGGGAGGATTTAAGATCAAGGATGTATGAGGGCTTCCGGCATTGGAACTATCACAAACTGCGGTATGATTCAAAAGAGTGGTGTTGTGGAAACATGAATTTGGCTGAAGGATATCATTTGAGGGCTTTCAGAAGTTTTATTGTCATCAGTTGCCAGTCACACAGTTATGTTGAGGCGTTGGTCTGATGGAAGGTGTTACTCTACAGCTGGGCATTTATACTCGGGCCCGTCAATTGACCTTGTCGGTCAAAGAAGAGCTTCTGACCAGTCCGCAAGCTTTCCTGTAGGCCTGAGGCAATCCTCAGTGATGTAAGAGCCGATCTGAGGGGGATTGGCAGTGGCTTGTCATCCAAAATAGCATCAACGAACGCATTCGCTTCTACAACAAATGCCGAGATGAACCTGTCGTACCAAGAGTTCGTCGGTTCAACCTTGACATAGCCATCGGTGTCGCAGATTTCTACCCGATTCTTTCGCGGTATAGCATTGATTGTCAACTTGCCCGTCGTACCGAATATCTCAGTGACGCTGTCATAACCGTGAGAAGAGCTTCTCGAGTGGTAGAAATGAGCCATCTTTCCGTCCCAAAACTCGCACACTCCGATCGCGTTGTCCGCATCTCCGGTCTTTGAGAGATCTGGGAAGAACGAGGCCGTTCCAATGGCAGAGACAGATTTGGGGACAGAATCCTCGCCCAAGAACATCAGTGACAAGTCAATTTCGTGAATGGCGCAGTCAAAGTAGATGCCACCGGAGTCCCTGAGGTACTGATGAAAGAATGGACTCTGGTCAAGCTTCTCGCAGCCATGAGATCTGAATACGAACGGCTTGCCTATAGCGCCCGATTTGATTTTCTCGTGCGCATCCTGATAGCTGTCGTCAAATCGGCGGGCAAAAGCGACCATGGCTTTGGTCTCTGGCTTTGCTTCCACATGCTCACAGAGAGTCTCAAGCTAGGTGAGAATACGTCAGCACAAATGGAAAAGGAGACAATGATGGCAAGATTAAGTACCTCTGAGATAGACTTGCAAATGGGTTTCTCGCATAGAACATGAATCCCTTTATCGAACGCAGCCAGTGTCTGTGGAAAATGCAGCTCGGTAATAGAGGAAATGATGACAGCCTCAAGCCCTGGCGTCTCGATCATCTCTTCGAAAGTGGGATAAGTCTTAACTCCATGCGGCTTAAGATACTGTTCGGCCCAGTCGAGATCAGCTTGAGCAGGAGAGCAAGCGCACAGAAGTTTGGCCCGCGGGACTAGGTTCAAAATATTGAGGGCATGCTTCTGCCCCATACGTCCAATGCCAACAACTCCAACATTGAGGATCTTGTGCGAAGAGGTCATGTTGTAAATTCGTCGAGAAACAACAAAGTAGTCTGAAGTCAGTTTTCTGAACAAAGTTCCGAGAAAGTCGTTGTAAATATGCGGAGTAGCTTGCTTGTAGTCGTAGTAATCATATTGCGCAGTCTTGTTGGCGATGCTGCGAAAGGTTATACTTGTGAGTATTGAGTGCGGATATCTATTACTGCTTTCAGCGAATAAGGGCAACCGCGGCGATTTTATACCGTATTGGTAATGTGACACTCAACAATGGCTGACGCGACGTCACTGGCGAATCCCGAACACCGAAGTCATCAAGTGTTCACAGTGAGAAGATGTGTGTATAAAAGGTGGAAGAACATCCTCGGGCTTGCAATTCCGTCTGGAACTTTGGATACAGCGGCTCATGATTAAGTGTTGTCCCTCTACGCCTCTTCTCATATCCACTGCCGCCCAAGTCAGCCCCTCAAGTTACCGGTTCCAGCTAAACCCACCTTAAAATGCCGGAATTACCAGCGATTCGCTGGGGCATTGTTGGTAAAGCATTCCCCGCATGCTGAATTCGGGGAAAAGCACACTACTGACTTTTTACTACAGCTACCGGGATGATCTCCTCCTGGTTCGTCGAAGACCTTTTGGTCTCACGATCAGATGCAAAAGTCAAGCATATCGTCCAAGCGATTGGGAGTTCATCCGTGCAAAAAGGGCAAGATTTCTCGAAGCAATATTGCCCGAATAGTCAACCGGCTATTTATGGATCGTACGGGGAGGTTTTTGCCGACCCTAATGTGGATATCGTCTACATCGGCACCCCGCACGCGTTCCACAAGCAAAACTGCCTGGATGCCATCGAAGCAGGCAAACCCATTCTTTGCGAGAAGGCCTTCACGATAAACACTCGTGAGACAAAGGAGGTCTTTGCACTTGCCAAGGTAAAGGGTGTCTACGTTGCTGAGGCCATGTGGCTTCGTCACCGACCTTTGGTTCAAGATCTGCAACGCATGCTTCACAAAGAGAAGGTCATTGGCGAGGTTTTTCGCGTCTACTCTGAGTTCGGTCTCGGGCTAGACATCCCAAACCTCCCAGACAGCTCACGTTATAAGCAGCCTCACCTGGGTGCAGGGTCGCTGTTGGACTTGGGGATCTACACTCTGACGTGGGCTATCTTGGGCTTGGACGCAGGAACTCCCGGTTCTTCTGAGAAACCCAAAATCCTAGCTTCACAGTCGCACGATGGGTCCGTGGAGGTAACTACTAGTGTCATCCTCCACTACCCCTCAACGGGTAGACAGGGTGTTGTCACTTCAACGACAATGGCGACCGGAAACCCAGATGTGTTGGCACGCATTCAAGGAACCAAAGGCACGATTGAGGTACACGGCACCGTCCCATCCGATCCAGACTCTTTCACTTTGTACTCCACATTTGAGAGGGATCAGGTTAAGGGTATCATCGGAAGGGACGCAATCAAGACATTCGATTACAAGCCAGTTGGACGAGGATACTACTGGGAGGCCGACAATGCCGCGTTGGATGTGCTGGCCGGAAAGTTGGAAAGTGACGTGATGCCTTGGGCTGAGACTATCCGCGTCATGGAGATGATGGACGAGATTCGACGACAGGGTGGGACTGTGTACCCTCAAGACAAGGAGTGAGGGCTGTTTTTCTTCAATCTTAGTCCTTACCATATAATAGATAGCGATCAACAAAGATCTGGATTTGAGGGCAACCGGAATATCTTAAGCATTGCGTAGCAAGAAACATCAGATACTTCTCGCTGATGGAGATGCATTGTGATTCAAGGGGGAAGAGTTCTGGTAGTGGTTAGTTTAAGTGCGCACGTAAACAAGAAATAGAATACATCCCCGACGCTTACAGAATGTCAGTAATGTCCTGGTATCGTATTACTCTTTCCTTGATTGTCTCTCTGATGCCCATTCTCTGGGGCTAGTCGACGTTATTTCCTTATCTCGGACAGATCGCTTAAATGAGAAATGGTAAGTACAAGAATAGCCTATTTTGTTTCTCCTCGTCATCAAGAACATAGGCAATTGAATTGTCTATTTTCATATACTACGGGGCCCTCGGAGTTCGTGTGCGGATGGAACTTGATGCTTTTATTGAGATCGTCGACGAAGACTCTGTTCTCAGGCTCGTCTGAGGTTATCAACACCCAGTCAAGCTTCACGAGTTGATGACTCAAGTCTCAATTGACGAAGAATCGTCTTCAATCAAGTCAATAATTTATTGCACGGTGCATTTCATTGCCAGGGCTCTACTTGTACTGGACTTTAACTAATTAATCCTACTAGAAATGGAATTGGGCGATGCTCCAAGAGACCTACAAGCTTTTGACAAGACACCGTTAATGCAACTTGAAATCGAATCTTTGCTCACCCGAACAAGAGATAGAGAGGGTTGCGTTCACTTATACAGAGTGTTGCTTGAGCGAAAATGATCCACTCGTATCAATTAGTAACTTGCGCGCGGGTGTGGTGTTCGTTATCGGCGCGGGCCGGGATTGCCAATCTACTCCTGAGATGGCGCAATACATCAAGATGACCTGATGAACTCCAACTATTGGGCGATGCATGCCTTGACTCCAAACCATAAAATGCCGCGCAATCTATATCACTATCTCAGAGCCTCCGATGGAAGATTGCCAAGTCATCTAGTTACAAAATCATTCATCAACACAACCGATCGGCTCCTTTGTCAACATACGCTCCCATCAACTCATTATCACAATGGCTATCAAGAATTTTAGCGGGCCAAGTCCTCTCAAAGTTGCCATCATCGGCGGTGGACCCGGGGGTTTGGGTGCAGCGATTGAGTTTGGAAAGTTGAACTATGTTGACTGGTCTCTTTACGAAAAGAAGTCACGCATCAGTGAGACTGGAGGCGGAATCAGTCTACAAAGACATACCTGGAGGCTCTTAGAGCTGAATGGGGCGGCCAAGAACATTGATCCTTTGGATTTCTTCAGATCTCCTGATGGAACTAGCGGACAGTCAAGGTAGGCGATGTCCTGTGTCGCAAATAGTTGAGATTTTGGAACTTACTGATAGCGACTCCCCGCCACAGGAACGGAAGAACCGGAAAGCTTCTGGAGCAGCACCATCATCCCAAAGATACACCGCCGCAGCAAGTGAGCTGTCGTATGGTTCGAGCTAAGCTTCAGGCTGCCTTGCTCAAAGAAGTTGACCAAAGTCGTATCAAGACCTCTAAGAAGCTGGTTGATATCACAAAGCTGCCAACTGGTAGGATTGCGATTCGTTTCGAAGATGGTTTCAGCGACGAAGTTGACCTACTAGTTGGAGCAGATGGCATTCGTTCGGTAAGGCCCAATCCCATCAAGATACTTACCTAAGACAACAGGAACTAATAGCTTGAAGTTTGTAAGATCTTACGCTTTCCCAGAGCACAAGATTAAATACAACGGCCAGTCTGCCTATCGTACTATCATTCACAAGCCTACGGCCGAGAAGGTCGAGGGCATCCCGAAGTCTCCCGTATTCTGGCAGAACACTGGTGGCAAATACGTGTTTACGTGCCCTCTTGGCGGAGATGACTTTGAGGTCACTGCACGCATCCGCCGACCGATCGAAGGGCAGGAACATGTGAGCTGGGGTCGGCCTTTTGACTTTGCCACTATCGCCTCAGAGTACGACGAATTTTGCGAGCCTGTCCGCAAAGTCATTCAGCTTGCTGCTCAAGGCGAGACACAGGAATTTGCACTTTTCTCAGGCCCGCGATTGAAAAGTGTTGTCCATGAGCAAGCTATTGCCTTGATTGGCGATGCATCTCATCCTCTTTCAGGAGCCTTTGGTGCTGGGGCCGGATTTGCTCTGGAGGATGTCTATGCCTTGACGCAAAGCATTGACTGGCACTGGAGTAACGGTGGGGACTTGTCTGCGGCACTGGAGTTGTATGACCAGATCAGGTCACCCCATTATCGCGACTTGTACAAAGTCTTGGATGATTTTGGTGCGATGAATACTACGTTGCTTTCGGAGAATATTCCTGTTAATGAGGAGATTGAGGAGCGAGTCCGAAGGGCAGCTGAGAGTAAGAGTACGTGGATGTACCATTACGAGATAGACAAAGCTGTCGAAAAGTTGCTCGGGGCTGCCAATCAACATGGCCAGGTCGCAGCTGTGCTCTGAGCTCAATTTGTAGTTCACTGCTAGACATCTGGTCGCTAATCTTTCCATCGGGACAAAACACATAAGAAGCTCGGCCACAGACGTGCCAAATTCTGGAGGGTGTACGGGACGGGGCGAATGGGACTTTTGGTGACCCAGGGACGCGCCGTGGGACTTTCGAATCCAAATTCCATGACTTGCCTACCTCGGGCAACATCTTGATGTAAGACCACTCGGCACTTGACAGGCCGGAATATCTATGACCGAATACCAGTTGCCGAGCCTGCTTGTCGGGGCGGGGCCGGCAAGAGCGGCAGGATCGGACTGCACTCCTCAGGGACTGCGGAGAGATCACTGGCGATGGTCCTTGACGAACTGTGACTTGAGGTGCTTGCTGTTATGACCAGTCGGACAGCAACATGGCTTGATAATCGCATCGGCCGTAGAGTAAGTAGACATTAAATACATCAGACCAAGCTATTTTTGCAGTCTGCTCATTGTCAACGGAATCTGCTATCGGGATGATTCGAAAGCAAAATGATTTCAGTAAAAAGCCTCGGATTCATCCTTCCCGCAAAGTAAGGTATCCAAGCTAGCCAAGCGCTAATCTTATTATTGTTACATCACAGTCAAAGGCCTGGCTGATCCTTGTATCACCGGGGTCGTGTAAGCTACATGTGGACTAGAGAGGTCAGGGGGCGATATTTACCACCAGATGTATGCGGGGTAAAGGTCTGTTAGGTTTCCCTGTCTTCCACGTCCCCCCAACCTCCTAGCGTGTCTTAGAAAACATAAGATGAGACCCGGAGCCCATTGATGGCTCCGGAACAGAGAACCAGTCTGTCGGGACTCGCTTTGCTAAAGATGTTCGCGGCCGTTTCTCTAGTCCTTGCCGTTTTGCTGGCGTTCGCTACGCCTTCAGCAGCAACTTTTCAGAGTGACTGCCTGGCTCTCACTCCTCAGACTACGGTGCTCAACTCGACTGCTCAAAAGATCAGTCATGTGGAATCCGGCACCAACCTCACTTTTCCAGAGCAAGATGCATCATGCGGTCGCGGAAGCCAGGTGGTCCGCACTAACCTTTGTCGTGTCGCCATGAATATCACAACTTCTAGTAGATCACAGATTGTGGCTGAAGTGTGGCTGCCCGAGAAATGGAACGGGCGCATGGTAACGGTCGCTGGTGGAGGGCTCGATGGGTGTAAGTAGTTGAGTCTGAGACTCTGAGTGGTGGCGTTTAAACCGGGTACGTACTAACAACGAGAATTGCGATAGGCGTTCACACTGAGGACCTTGCGTATGCTACTGCTCATGGCTTTGCTGCTGTTGGCACGAATAACGGGCATGCTGGAACGACCGGTGTGCAGTTCCTCAACAATGATGACGTCGTCATCGACTTTTCGTACAGAGCGTGAGTTATCCCAGCTTCGACTTTCCAATCTACAGACCGACTGACATGCCTACCAGGATTCACACGGGCGTTCTCGCTGGAAAGAGTCTTCTTAAGTCTCTATACAAGGAGAAGATAACGGGGTCATACTTCTTGGGTTGTTCTCTTGGAGGACGGCAAGGCGTGCAAGCCGCGGACATGTTCCCCGAAGACTTCGATGGTATTGTCGCAGGTGCACCGGCAGTGGACTTCAACAACCTCTACTCCTGGCGAGCCGGCTTCTACCCTCTGACTGGGTCTGTTGACTCCAAGGATTTCATTGCTCCCGCTATCTGGAAGACAACCATTCATGATGAAGTGCTTAAGCAGTGCGACACTATCGATGGTGTTCAAGACGGCATCATAGAGAACCCCACCCTCTGTCACTTCGAGCCTGGAACTCTCCTGTGCAAGTCAGACAGCGGCGACTCCAAATGCCTTACTAGTGCCCAAGTCGAGATCGTGAGAAAGATCTTCAGCCCAACTAACTACACGGACGGCAAGCTTTTCTGGCCAGCCATGAATCCCGGCAGCGAAATCATCACCGCAGACGGGCTGTACAGTGGAAGCCCATTTGCTTTATCCCAGAATTGGTTCCGCTATGCGATTTACAATGACCCGAAATGGGACCCGGCTACTTACACACTCGAAAAGGACGGCATCTTTGCTGAAAAGCGGAACCCCAGCAACATCAAGACGTACCCACGGGACTTATCGGCATTCAAAAAGAGGGGAGGAAAGTTGCTGATGTACCACGGCCAACAGGATCAGCAGATCACAAGCTTCCACACTCCCATTTTCTATGACCGCTTGGCAAAGGGCATGCATCTGAACAACACTGGAATGGATCACTTCGCACGCTTTTTCCGTGTTTCCGGCCTTTACCATTGCACCACGGGACCCGGTGCCTGGCTGATTGGTCAAGGAGGCAGCGGTGGGAACTCGGCCGTCATCAGCGATAGTCTCCCATTCAATAGGACGTACAACGTCCTGGCCGCCATAGTAGACTGGGCTGAGGGTGGAATCGCCCCGGACACCATAACAGGAACCAAATTTGTCAATGACAGTGTTGGTTCGGGTGTAGACTTCCAACGGCGACATTGCAGATACCCGTTGCGAAATACCTACCGGGGCGAGGGAATGGACCCAAAAGTCCTGGATAGTTGGCAATGTGTGTAGTTGAAATTCAAGCTGCGTGCAGACTCAGGACGGAGAGAACGAGATCGTATCAGCTCTTATGGACTCGATAAGGGACCAGGGCCAAAACTTACATGTACTAATGATGCGACTACCTTAGGTCGACACTATATGTATTTTGTTTCATGCCAACCAGAAGTTCCAGTGATAAGTCCACATGGCAAGCTGAACAGATGTAGAAGTTGATCCGAATAGGTAGTTTCCATCTTGGGTCAGCCAGACGTGCACATGTCACATCAACCGATCCGGTCAACATCCCGCTTAACCGGGCCGGGAATCGATCCCTTGTCAGGATCAAAGAAGCATCCAATCCAGTCAGCCAAATCCGGCCAAAACAATGGGCTTATGGAGACTTCATTAGTCAATAATTCGCCAGCTAAGGCGAATTTGGGCGTAATTTATACGCCACGCACGGACTTCCGCAACAAATTTTCATTATCTGACTTTACTTATCGGCATCGAGTCATCCTCAGTCGAAACATTTACATGACTGTTTGGTGCACCCTCTATTTTCCCCAGTTCGACATTGAATTTGAGCTTTGCAATCTTTGGCAAAGACCTCAAAATGGCAGACAACTTGGAGAGCCAGCGCGACCGGCGCGGTGATGAAAAGCACGCAACAACAGATAACCTTGGTGCCGATGCACAAGCAGCTCCGGCTGCAGGCCGGAGTAGCAAAGGTCTCGTGCGGAGAGTCTTGATGGCTGGGCGGGTCGAAGAAGGCGGCATCGAGCCTATCCCTCGAGAAGTCCGGACGAACACCAAGTACTTTAATGCTTTCACGATCTGGTGCTCTATCAACACGAATATTTTGGCGTAAGTCTTCTAGCTCTCCAATTCTTATACAGTCTTCGTGCACGCAGGCTGATAAAGTTTTGCCACTCAGTATCACTTTCGGCATGCTGGGCCCGGTCTCTTTCGGCCTTGGCCTCCGAGATTCGGCGCTCGTCATTCTCTTCTTCAACTTGCTCTCAACGCTGGCTCCGGCATTCTTGTCGACGTTGGGCCCGAAGACTGGCATGCGACAGATGATTCAAGCTCGGTTTAGTTTTGGGTAAGTTGATATTTCCCCGATCGAAAGGGCAGGCCTACCTCAGAGTCTTCGGTTGCCCGCGGCGAACTCAAGTATCTCAATTGACGCCTTGCTAGATACTATTTCGTATACATTCCTGTCGTTCTCAACCTCGCTACTCTCACCGGCTTCTGCGTCATTATTTGTGTCGTTGGTGGGCAGTGCCTTTCAGCAGTGTCCGAAGGCGACCTTTCGACTTCCGTTGGCATCGTCTTGATCGGCATCGCGGCTCTATTGATCTCTTTCTGTGGCTTTAATGTGCTGCACTTCTACGAGGGTTACGCTTGGATGCCAGCTCTTGTGGCCATCATCATTGCGGTTGGATGTGGTGGACAGCAGCTGCAGAAGCAAGCCCCCTTTGAGCCGGCAACGGCAGCGGGGGTCCTCAGCTTCGGCGGTGTCATTGCGTCGTACATGATCCCATGGGCCTGTATCGCATCTGATCTGACAACGTACTTTGACCCTACTGGTCGGACGGTCTCGTAAGTAAATGTGCTTCCAGAAATGACCTCAAGACTCACTTTTTATCAGACACCGCATCTTTGCCTACAGCTACTTGGGGTTGGTTGTGCCGACCATCTTGCTCATGACCCTCGGTGCAGCTATCGGTGGTGCTATGAGCAATATCCCGGAATGGCAAATCGGCTTTGACAGCACTATGGTGGGCGGCGTTCTCGGAGCCATGCTCTCCCCAGCCGGCGGATTCGGCAAATTCATTCTTGTCGTCCTTGCATTCACACTTTTGGCGAACATTTCCGGCACCATGTACGCAATTACGCTGAACTTCCAGACCCTCATCCCGTCGTTCCGCCTGCCGCGCTACGTCTTCTCCGTTATCGTGACCGCCATTATCATTCCGATCGCGGTCAAGGCCGCACACGACTTCTTCTTGAGTCTCGAGAACTTCATTGCACTCATCGGCTATTGGTCTGCCTCCTTCGTTGGAATCGTGGTCACCGAGCACTTTATCTTCAGACGCGGTGACTCCAAGCTCTACGAGGTTGCGGTGTGGGATGTGCCCTCCAAGCTGCCCCTAGGTATTGCTGCTATCGGCGCAGCCGTGTTGAGCTTTGGTCTCGTCGTGCCTTGTATTGCCCAGGTCTGGTTTACGGGTCCCATCGCGGTCTCGACAGGAGACATTGGCTTCGAGGTTGCGTTCTTCTTGAGCGCTGTCTTGTACATGCCTCTACGTTATGCCGAGAAGCACTACTCGGGGCGGTAATAGGTTGTGAGAGTTATGATAAACAGTATAGAAATGGCTTCAACTAGCTCAAGGAGCTGGAAGAGCTCTATGATCAATGCCAATCACGTTCAGGCTACGGCATTTATTTGGCTGCTCCGTGTGTGCTGCGTCTCCTTGAGTGCCCGTCTCCGAGGCCAGGTTATTCTCTCATACACGGCACAATTCCGTTCATTGTACGCACAAGTCAATGCCTCTGTTTGTGGTAGCATCACTTGTCAACCAGGGATCATCAGTCTTCCCCGTCGAGAACTATGATTCCACAGCCTCTGGTACTTCGCATGTAACCAATCGCTCGGGCGGCCGAATGGCAGCAAACACGTTATCTGATCTCGGGATTCCCCTTTTGATGGTTCCACAACATTGATGTTACATGCAGAACCCTTCAGACTAGGGTCGGGTTCAGTTTGCTACAACCAACAAGAAGACAGGGAATAGTCAAGGACCCCTCACTCGAATGACTCCACCAGGGACTGAAGCTTACGGATCGTCTCACTGCAGGGTTTCCTTGCAGCTCTTCCCCGAGCATGCCGTTCAATGAGGATTATCCACCTGGCGGCACATGCGCCGACTTGGGAAGTCCCTTTGTTCATCTTGTTGACTGTCCTAGGTGCCGGCAGCTCGTCATAAGCTGGCGTACTTAATGAAGAGGAAGCACTGCTTTCGTATCTCTTCAAACCGCAATGCTCCCGGTTCTCTTTTGTTTTGCTTGGCTATATTCCTTGAAGCAATCTTCGATCTCTCTCCTCACCTCCTCACGATGGCTGGTATCGCACCTGGAAGGACCTTCACCCCCGGGTTGGACTTCAGCAACCAGTCGTACAGCAAGCTTAGCGAAAAGGTTCAGGCCGACATCACCCGTGCTCATAATATCATCAAGGAAAAGCTTCCGCTGCTCACCCAGCTGAACGCACTCGTCTCCTTGACATTCGGAGATCGTGTCCCAATCTTCGTGGATGCTCGTTCATCTGAGGCGAAGTTCCTCGACTCTTGCTCCGATGAGCCAGACACAAAAGTCACAATCAAGCCCGAGTACATCTCTCAGTTCTACGAAGGCAAGCTCGAGCCACGATATGGCCTCTTCAAGGACGCCTTCTTCCACGAGGCTTCAATGCCGAAGGGCAACATCCCCGTCGCCATCAAGTTTGCCGACCTCCTCACCCCCAACCCTCCTGTACCGCCTAAGAAGGTCGTTCCAGGCGCCTTTGCCCGTCTTCCTGAGCCAACAGAGGATATCGATCAAGTTAAGCGGGATATCAAGGAGTTTGGCTACGGTCTCGTCAAAAACGCCCTGACTCCTGAGCAAGTTTCTATCTTGAGGAAAGGAACCCAGGAACAAGCTGCTGGTGAACGCAAGGCCGGTGTATCCGCCGCGGACGGTGGCCCCAACGCCCCCAATCAGCGCATCTGGACTCTTATCAACAAGGGAGAGGAGTTCCTCGATCTTCTGAACCACCCTCTCATCGACGAGATTGTCCCCTGGTTTCTTGGCGAGCATGCTCTTATCCACAGCTACAGCGCCAACATTGCTCGCCCGGGAAATGTCCCCATGCAGCTTCATACAGATCAAGTCGCCATTCAGCCGCCTATGCGTGAGCTCGCCTTTGGCCTCAACATTATGTGGTATCTCGAGGATATCACGGAGAAGAACGGGGGCACTCGTGTGTTCCCTGCGTCTCACCTCGGTCAGATTGCCCCTGACGATCTGTTCACTATCGATGGAACCGTCGCCGCGGAGGGGCCTTCTGGCACTGCTTTGGTGTTCGACAGTCGATTGTGGCATGCTACGGGTCCCAACCGTGAGGAGTCTGGCGAGCGCCCTGTCATCCTGATCTTCTTCATGCGATCTTTCATTCGCCAGCAGGAGAATAACTTCCTGTCACTGCGCAAGGATGTCGAGGCTAAGTTATCTGACCGCCACAAGCGCCTCCTTGGTTTCTACACAACAGGTGCTCTGGGAGGTATCGAGGGAGAGGTCCGGGAGGGCATCTTTGTGACAAGGAAGGATGATTGCGTTGGAACATTGCGTGCCGCTCATGAATGATCACTTGAGCGTCCTGAGATTCAGGTCAACAACTGTATCTTTCCTTAGTTTCTCTGTAGAGCCTGGTTAAGATCATTCAAGTTCTGTGTCAACTCATGACTCTATTCCAGCCACCCTTCCATGTCGCTAAGATCTCACTGTGTCGATCCTCACATCTATCTCATTGAATTCTTCGGCCCGCCAGTCCATTTGACCAGCATCTATGCAGTTGGCCTTATGTCTGGACTTAACTTTTACCCTGGTTATTCCATCGCCGAACCAGTTGTTGGAGTCTTGAAGAGCAAACACGACCCCGGCCGTCGCCCCTAGTCTTCCTCGGGGAGAAGCCGCCGTTGTGTAATCCTTGTACATTGTGGAGCTCTTCTCCTCCTCTCGCAAGCCCCCGGGACGGCACGTTCTCCACCTACTCTCTTGGTTCTCTATTCCGCGTCTTGTTCTAGCCAACGACGTTCCAACAGAAGTCATCCATCTGACACGAAATTGCACTCCGGATAGCCGAGTTTCAAGACCTTTCCACCGGTGATGTAACCTAGTTCTCGGGTCCTAGTAGAGAACATTGGAGCCGGCAGAGTTCTTGTTTGCCAGATTGTCACTGTTGGTATCGGGAATCCAACTCCGGTCGGAACGATACTGCATCGGCAGAGTTTCTTCAAAGAGGCATGCTGGGTAGATCTCAGATCCAGAATCTCCGTATTAGGAAACTCGCTAACATTGAAGTACGAGCAGTGCAGGAGAGCGTAGGGGAGCAATTTACAGCGACTCGGACTTTGACTACTCTCGTCCCCAACATTCTAAGGATCACGAGGCCTATGGTGCGATTGAACTACTCTGCATCAGCTTCAAGAGTGACCATTTCATGCTTGGAGAAGTAATCCAGGTTAAATTACGCATCGAATGTGCTTGAGCTTGATTCAACGGCATGGGCTCAGTTACAAGTTGATGCTTCCTACAACAAGGTCCGCGTGTGGATATCAAAGCGTGGTTTGTGCTTCAGCCGATGGTAGTGGTCCACTTTCTGCTTGCGTTGCTTAGGCTGACTGAACGACACCATCACAGTCAGAAGCTGGGTCATGCAGCGGCTAGCCACACTGCGTCGTTCCAACAGCCAAGGAAGCAAGTCTCCACCAAACACATCCGCAACTCTTCGCAGGCATCGTCTTCCAACATCCAAGCCCTGGAAAGTAATTCTATCCTTGCGGTTCCACTCCTTTACGCAGGCACAAGCAGTTGCAGAGTGATTATTGGAGGCTGGAGCAAGGTTTCTGGCCAGCTCGCATCCATGAAGGATGGCATCGTGAGATATACTCCGTACATGGGTGTCAGGAACTTTTGTTCGCAAACAACCCACAGAAGCGCTCTATCACATCCATGCCCTGAGCTTCATTTTCACTGCATTGTAATCGTATGGCAAGGAAGGTACATCGGGATGATTAGCCTCAATGATCCGCGGCTTGCAATTCAGGGGGTAATATGAACGCCCGGAAGTTAGAATCTAAGTGGACCATGACAATTACCCGTCGATGAACATCGTTTCGATCGATAGCCCAACACTCATTTCCCGTGTTGCTCTACCACAGGAAACTTCATGTTGGTAGAATTGGTCGATCTTCGTTAGTAATATCAATGGCTCACTTAATGCCAGGGTGTTTGAAGGATTTTGTTTTTCCAGTCAAGCACCTTTCTAGACCATATCGTCAGGCGCTCAGCCATAGACAACGATTTCTTCGTAAACATCTTAGATTGCCGTACAACGTCAAGCAGAAGGGTTATGCTCTGTTGGAGAACCTGGAAATTGCCGTTTGAAATTTGACGGTCTTCAGCCTGTTGAGTTAAGCTTTCGATATGGCGGCAAAGCCTTTCGACGAGATGGAGGTAAATTGGATCACTAGACCCAATCTCCTAGGAATGGCAACGCTGGGTATCACGATATGCCTGGGATCCATATCTTTCGTTGTCTTCATCCTACGACTGTGGGCACGACACAAGACACGAGCAACAGGAACAGATGACTACCTCATGGGTATTGGTGTGGTGAGTATCCTGTACGACTTTGCTTTCCTTTCTATTCCTGACAGTTTGGCAATAGGCGATTTACCTGGCATGCTGCGTCTTCACATCAATTGCAGTATATGCAGGCATGGGCACAACGGATAGTCGTCTGAAAGAGTGGAATATGGTGGCTGGTATTAAAGTGAGCTTTCATTCCCTCTTCTATAATTCTTTATTCAAGTCAACAGACTAACAGCAATGTCGAACAGTGGCTTGTGTTTTTCCAGATCACTTACGCATGGAGTCTTCCATTCATCAAAGCCAGCATCTGTTTCACAGTCTTCCGCATCACGAACCGAAGAAGATACCGAACCATCCTTTGGGCCGTCATGATTGCATCAGGGCTTAGCACCACTATCGGCTTCATTGCTGTGGTTGCAGTGTGCCGCCCCGTCGAGTACACTTGGGATAAGTCAGTGGACGGACAGTGCGCACCTCAGAATATCATTACCACGATAAGCTACATGATCTCGGTTTTAGCAATTGTGACCGACTGGACATGTGCAATCGTCCCGACCGTTGTTGTTTGGGGTCTACAGATGAAGTCAAGAGTGAAGGTTTCTGTTTGCGCTGTGCTTGCGCTAGGTGCGATGTGAGTTTGCTGAGCGATTGATCATGAATCTCCTACGGTTGCTGACTGGTTTTTAACTCTAGTGCAAGCGCCGCCACGATAGTCCGACTGCCGTACCTGCAGTACTACAACCAAGTTGAGAATTACTTGCGTAAGTGCTCACTCAATCTGCAGGTTCTTCCTTCCAATCTCCATGGCTGATCAAGAATTCACCAGACAACATTTCTAATATCGTCCTGTGGTCGATTCTCGAGTGCGGGATCGGTATCATTGCCGGCTCACTTCCATCATTGAGGAGACTGCTCAAGTTCTGGCTAGACAAGTCCAGCAAAGGCTCTTACAACAACACAGGGTCGAATGATCTGAATGCAAGGCAGGCTGGGAGTAATGGTATCAGAATGAATAACCTCAGCGGGCGAGGTATGACAGTTTCGAACTGCCAAAGTGGCCCTCACGACAACTGGGCTCAGCTGGATGATGATTCCGATAGCCAGAAGCATATCATCATGAAAACTCGAGAATTTACGGTCCAATACGAACGAGACGGTCAATCTCGTGGACGGTGATTTGAGAGAGCCATCATAAACGCGCCCTGGTGGCCGGTCTGAATGCTGGCCGAAGTGGGGCCGTCATACCGCCCCCGGACACGGGAGTGATGATATGCCCCCCCGGTTCGGTCAATGTATTGCTTCTCAAGTTTCCATAGAACTAGAACTTCATGATTGGCTATAATAGGGATCAAAGATCGAGTGATATGGGATCTGAAGGGAAGCTTTATCATTGGTAAATATGATCACCCCTTGAGATCGTCCCCAGCGGAGTGGAACAGTAGAGTGGAAGTGCCCGCCGGCGCCTTGGCTCTTGGCAGGATGCCGACGGGCAGTGTCTGCATGCCTGACCGCAAGATATGTTAAGACTGGAATTCATTGCCTGCTTAGAGAGGTTGAACGAACATTCGTTTACACCCCGAATTCAATGAGACCAAAGAGTTCTTGGTGAAGGATCCTTAGCGATGATGATTGAACTCTAGCGCTGGCAGTTTGCGTTCCTCCGATGCATTAACTTACCTAATGCATCTACGTGACGGATTTCCGAACGACCTAGACAAGCCACGGCTGAGTAAGCTCGTATGTTTTTGTCTCTGTCCGGCAATGACGCCCCCGCGAGTAAAGTCTCACCGGATGCGGATAAGCCTTCTGCCATTGGCTGTGCGACGTCAATGGCTTCATTCCCATCACCTTCGTGATCCTCCCAACTCTGACTATACCTTCCAAGACAAATACCCCGAATCTCACGTAGACAATCGAGCATTGAAATTCAAGTATGGCTATGGAGATCCTCCCCCAGGAAGTCGTCGACCAGATCGCATCAAACTTACACCGACCTGATCTCAAGAACCTACTGCTACTATCACCTAAGCTTCGCACCGCGGCGGAGAAGTACTCTGATGGCTTCACAGATTACACGCTGCGAGTGCGTGATCTCTGTGAGTTCGAGGAAAAGTTTCGCGGTGCGCGCTTCTGCTGGCTGCGGAAGCTGGAATACAAGCTGGTGTTGCTGCCTCAGCGACTGCCGAATAGGATTCGCTCAACGACAGATAACGCCGCAGAAGCGAAGCGCAACGCGGAGTATCTTTCCAGCCAGATCCATCAGTTGTTTGATTGCCTGAAGAACCTCGAAGAACATGATGGACCGCAAGGCACGATAGATCTTGCAATCACCAGTCCTGAGACGCGTGAGACAGAGATTAGGATACCAGAAGCATGGTTCATACGGCTCCTTGACCCAGACCGGCTACCAACGCTCACATCTATCGGCTCTCTTCACCTAGGACCTTCTCCGACTCAGCGGCAGTCGAACTATTTTAGCAGATTCGATCTTAGAGCTACGCTTGATCTCTCACTCAAACTCCCAGGCATTGAGAGCGTAAATGCCGAACTCTTCGACGAACACAACTGCGATGCTGAAATCGACCGGGTGCGCGTCCATGGGCGAGAGGATTTCGCGAGGGCCGCTACGAACATGTCTCTGCAGACAAGGAAAGCCGAGTTGAGATTCCAGAGCCGGAAGGCACATCAACATCTCGACCACGATGCTGCGATGCCGAAACTCATCCTCTCAGGGTCGTCGGACTCTTTTAGCTCAAGTCTAAGGATTCTATGCCAAAACCTCACCCAACTTCGACTGAGTGCCATTATTGACCATTCTTTTTTCTGGTCCGAGGATGACAGTGGTTTGGTCTGGCCTAATCTGGAATCATTGGAGGTCAAATTTCACCCAGTCACCCCTTCCGGTTCCTGGTATTTCATGGGACCCCGTGGAGAAGGCAAGGACGTGCAGGGATACCCTGTTGAAGGTGTGGGGTATGCCAGTCAAGGGCATTCCGCTAACAGCGATACCATCATACTCGGCCATGCTCCTTGCAGGCCGTCAGGATGGCGTCTCAAGCCTAATCCAGACACACTGTATCCGCTACTCACCGCGTTCGCCAAGGCAGCGGCCAAGATGCCTCGCTTGAGAGAAGCTATGATATGGGCGCCAATCTGGTGGTACTTGGGAGATCACATCTCGCCCAAGTTCTCATACAACAGAGGATTCGACATGATGAACAGCCAGAGGTCACTCGGCTGGGGGATAGGGTACACGGCACCAGATGCCGATGAGGCCTCGGGCTCTGTAGAGTCCGATGATGAGGATGTTCGGCTTTTTGAGTGGAGAACAGGCAGTTGGGAGGCGGATGAGGCGTTAAAACAGCTGTTCCATAACATTGGTCGCGAGACGCACGGTGACGAGTTTGAAGACGATTGGGATCCAGAAACAAATCAGGAAGATTTGTTCTTTGAGAATTTCTGCCAAGGCGAAAGAAATGCGTGATGTCAGGCGCGCAGAATGTTTATGGAAGAGAGAGGTTTCGATGTAGCTTGTTAGTAATTGAGCGCAATTGGATTCTTCTGTCTCTGTCTAGCACTGTCTCTATGTCCCCTTTGCAGATACAAGATTGAGATTAATTTTACTATTGTGTCAGAAACCAACATTTCCGATGACTATTCGCAATCTTATCTCCAGTTCCACGTTCCATTGATTGGAGAGTGATAACAACTTGACTTCCAAGAAGTACTAAGACCTTGGCTGGCTCCATCCGAACCACTGAAAACCCCCAACATCATCCTCCCGGGATCTCGGCGCTCCTGGGCAGACGCATTTCATCCCTTAAGCGACGAACAAGCCTTCCGCGTTCCATAATACTTTTTAACCCCAGGGCCCGAGCGAGTGATAACAGCGGGACATGTTGGAAACCTTCACAGCGAACATGCCCGCCGGCGACATTAAATTACGACAAAAGTTCAAGAAAGACAGCTCTGTATTGCGCGGATCCCGCTCCTCCACGCCAAGACCTAGCGGCACATTATGCAGACATGCGCGATGGCGGAGATAACTTGCAACTCGGTATCACGCATGCCTACTTTATCCCATTCCAATGACCTTATCTCTCAATTAACCGTTGCTCTCCAATGTACCAACACAAACATCCTTAGCAAAGAGCTTCTTTTAACTCCTCTGGGATTTATAATTAAGGTAGACATCAAGACCAGTGGCTGGTGTCGCGTAGTAGTAGAAATGATTAGCATCTGACGTACATCAAAAGCAAGGGTTGCTGATAAAGGTGACAAAAGCCCGGCGGCCGCTGACAGACGGCAACATGGTAGACGGAGTGTTGTTGCTCTGATATATCTCTATCGACTGCCCCGTTGATCCAGACATCGCTCAGAATTGCCAACAGCTGGTTTCGCGTTGAGAATACACTAAGCACAATTCAGCAGCCGACAGGACTCTTCATTCCGATAGAAGTCATTATGGACTCGACGCCAGTCCTGCACCAAGGATGGGGGTCGGTTTCCTTCAAACTTATTCACAGAGTCTTGAACACTAACAACATCTAGCTACGGCCTCATGATTGGACTGGGTGTTCTTTTTGCGTACGTTGCATCTCCTGGTCCCGGTCATCAGGTCCACGTGCTCATTCAACTTACAGTGTGTTTATGATCATCATTACTTGGGCGCTCAAGAGATACAATTATGAGCTGCAGACATCCGAGATGTTCACGACAGCTGGACGGTCATTGAAATCAGGATTAGTGAGTTTAGATCAGTCACACACGACAATTCTCAGCGCTAATTCTTGCTAGGTCGCCTCATCGGTGCTTTCAACTTGGACATGGGCCGCGACTCTGCTGCAGAGCACAGCCGTAGCTTACAAATAGTGAGATCTGTGATGACTTTGTGTCTGCTGGTGAGACTGACAACATCAAGCGGGGTCTCGGGGCCTGTATGGTATGCCTCCGGAGCCACTGTACAGATCATTCTGTTCGCCACGCTCGCTATTGAACTGAAGAGACGCGCTCCCAACGCACACACATGTAAGAGTTTGGTAGAAAATGGCACCCAATTCTCAACTAACCCGACTCTCCGTCAGTCCTAGAAGTTGTGAAAGCTCGATATGGGCCGGTCACACACGGCGTGTACATTGTCTTCTGTTGCTTCTGCAATATCCTAGGTAGGCTTCAGCTCTCGTCACCCTGAGTATCAAAACGCTAAGTTCTCATCTTAGTGACGGCGATGCTGCTCACCGGTGGGTCTGCGGTCATCCAAAACTTGACCGGTGCCCCTGTAGCTGCTTCCGTATTCTTGTTCCCGATCGGTAAGTCAAATCAGAAATTTCAAAGCTTCACTTCATCATTCTAACTGTCACACAGGTGTGGTCGTCTACACTCTTTTCGGTGGTATCAAAGCAACTTTCATCACGGACTACATCAATGGCTTGGTGATTCTCATCATCATTTTCATTTTTGCATTTACAGTTTACTCAACCAATCAGCTTCTAGGCTCGCCCGGGCGAGTATGGGAAATCCTTACTGAACTTGCGGCTGAGCGGCCCCTGGCTGGAAATGCAGGCGGCAGCTACTTAACCATGCGCTCTCAAGGAGGAAGTGAGTTCCCACATTCATATCCTGTTAAGACCCGTCTCACAGTCGAGTAGTTGAGTTCTTCATCATCAATCTCTGCGGCAACTTCGGTACGGTGTTTCTGGATAACGGTTACTACAACAAAGCAATTGCAGCAAGCCCGATTGATGCTCTTCCGGGCTATGTCATGGGGTAAGACTCCCGCGAAGCACTACGAGTGTTTTGTATTCTGACATCATTCCAGTGGAATCAGTTGGTTTGCCGTTCCTTGGCTCACTGCGACTACCATGGGTCTCGCGGGTCTCGCTCTAGAAAGATACGACATCTGGCCGACCTACCCGAACCGTCTAGCCGCTGCGGACGTTGACGCCGGATTGGTTCTACCCACTGCTGCCGTTGCCCTGCTTGGGAAAGGAGGAGCGGTTGCAACGCTCATTCTAGCCGTGAGTTGTGTTTCCAAGCGCGATCTATTTATAGGAAGCTGACTTTTAGTAGTTCATGGCTATCATGAGTACCTACTCGTCTGAGCTAATCTCTGTATCGTCCATCTGCACCTACGACATCTACAAGACCTACTTCAACCCCAATGCTACCGGCAAGCAACTCATGCGAATCAACTACATCGGCATGGGTGTCTTTGCCCTCGTCATGGCTGGGTTTGCGACCGGTCTCAACTATGTAGGCATCTCCATGGGCTACCTTTACTTGATGATGGGTGTCATCATTTCTTCCGCCGTCTTACCCGCTGCCCTCACTCTACTCTGGGATGGGCAGTCCTGGGCGGCCGCCACTTTCAGCCCAATCATCGGATTCGCCCTTTCGATGACGGCATGGCTCGTCACAACGAAGATAAAGTACGGCGAATTGAGTGTTACAAACACAGGTGCGAACGAGCCAATGTTAGCCGGAAACTTGACATCGCTCCTTTCACCAATCGTCTTCATCCCACTTCTGACTTTTATCCCACCTTTCAAGCCCCAGCAGTACGACTGGCAGAGTATGCTCAACATCCGACAAGCGGACGATCATGAGCTCGTTGACGCTGCTCATGTGGATGTTGAAAACTCGCCTGAAGAGAGGGCGAGAGCACTCCAGAGTGATCCTGACGAGCAGGTCAAGCTCGAAAAAGCAGCCAAGACTGCTCGCTGGCTGACTGTTGGTGTGACACTCGTTCTGCTCATTTTGTGGCCGATGCCGTTGTATGGCACTGGCTATGTATTTGGAAAATCTGTGAGTGCTGGTTCAATCTCCAGATAGACTGCTGTACTAATACCGTGTCACAGTTCTTCACCGGCTGGGTCGTTGTAGGAATCACTTGGCTATTCGCCTCTGTTGTCATGGTCGTCTTCTTGCCGATATTCGAATCTCGGAGTACGATCGTGCGAACTACTCGCATGATGTTCAAGGACCTCTTCGGCCTGAGAGGGAAGGGCAAGCCTGTCAGTGAGGGCATGTCGCCTGGCTCAAGTACCCCACCTGAGCTCACGGAGAAGGCCACGTCCAAGGCATGACGTGTTCTTTAGTCGATCTTGGTAACTAAGGTTGATGTAGTACTGCAAGCATGTCACATTATATATGCTGTCAGGACATGATCTACGCACTACCTAGTATCCCGTTCTAAATGTTCTTATTCGAAACCACATGCTCTGATGCTCAGAAATACTCTTTGTCTATCTATTTCCGCATGCTCTCGGATTCCAATATTAACCCAACGACAAATTGTCTCAGCAGGTTAAACTATTCAATGAGCCTATATGCGAGTTTCCAGGTAGCGACTCAACCAGCCGATGATTATTGGTGGAATCTATGCGTTGTGCGCGTCGTGAAGTCTTTGAAAAATTCAAAGATATCCTGCATGGTCGTGAAGTCGAATATCCCGGCAACATCTGGGTTCACAACGTCAATCTAGGAATATTGGACAATTCGAAGGCCTCTTTGACGGAACTTACACTGATCTGGTCGGACGAGAACCATCGCGCCAACCTCTGGATTAATGCCATATTTCGCATATGCTTCTCCGTGGCCTGTATGGTAACTGACATCATCAACGAAAACATTTTGCAGGCCTCCATGATATCGTTAGCTAGAAAACGGGCAGGAAGGAACTGTTTGGGGAAAAGGCGAGACTTCTGAATTCAAAATCTAGAATACTCACATTTAACTCCCCACCTTCCGGCGTTAGGGGTAAACAGCCGCGGTATCTGACGATCTTCCAATTTTCGTCGGTCAGATTTGAGCACCAAAACCAGACTCAAAAAGCTATGGATATCATTTTGAAGTGTCGGCAGCTGTTTCATCGATACTTCAAGCGATTTTGCGACCTGTACAGATGTTTAGCAGTGCTTTGAGCCTGGTGACAAGGGGCTTTTGTGTTGCTCACCTGGAATAAGCGTTTCTCTGCTTGAGCCTCCGAAACATCGCCAGGGAAGACGATCAAAGACCACCTCGAGTCCGCACGTAGAGCATGCGAAAGCTGTATTGCTTTGGCATCAGAGAAGCGAACGACTTGCGCGCTTTGGAACCTCATTCCCACGCTGATACCAGACGCCAGGCTATCCTTGTGACCAGGCCTCACGAGCATTGACGGCTGATATTGCGTGGCTAGACCAGCAGTGTATCTCCCCGATTTGATGAAATATTCCTGAAAGTCTGCAGTGGTGTACCCGTTCTCTTTCCGGTACGTCGAAGAAAACATTTTCGCAAATTGCCTGTCAAAGTCGATGAGGCCCTTGGCGGTCTGGTGGCGTTCAGAGACGTACGTCTCCAATATCGAGGGGTGAGCGTGCTTTCGGAGGACCGCAGAAAGTTTCCACCCAACGTTATACCCATCTTGAAGACTGACGTTCATGCCTTGTCCAGCCTTGGGCGAGTGTGTGTGGCAGGCGTCGCCGGTAAGGAAGACCCGATGATCTTTTGTGAAATGATCCGCAAGTCGTTGTCCGATGGAGTACGCAGAGAACCAGGATGTCTCAGCTATTTCGACTTGGTAAGGCTTGAAAATGCCATCAATGCGCTCCTTGACTCTCTCAGGTGTGACTTCTCCCGGTGTTGAGACTGGCATTTCCATGTAAAACCTGACCATCTCATCGCCCTCTCTTGGAATGATGACCAGATTGCCCGAGTTAGACTGAATGACACTTTTCTTTCGGATGTCGGGAAAGTCGGTCCTGGGGTAGATGTCCATAACAGCCCAAACCACGTCACTGCTGTCGCCCACCATCTTGAAGCCAAGAGACTTTCTGACCGCACTATGTGCTCCGTCGCATCCCTAGTCTCGATGGTTTGTATCGCCGTCGTAGTAGAGGAAAATGAAGCGGGACTTACCAAAGCATACTTGGCACGATATGTGCGCTCAACACCACTTTCAATCGTCTTTATAGTTACGCAACGGGCATCAGGGTTTCCCGCAGCTTCACTATCGACAACAACTTGACGAATATCACTTCCATACTGAATGTGTGATTGGCCAGACGACTTCACAATATCCTCAATCAGGATCTCATTGATGCGTGCCTGATTCAGGATCACATGGGGTAGATGGCTGAGACCGGGCTCGGTATCTGGCTCGAGATGAGACCTGTGGATTCCGCCTTTGCTGTCGGGCGACCAAAACGCAAGTTCGAGAACGTGGTAAGCTTCTTTCAGGACGTCCTCGGAGAGGCCTAGATGCTCAAGGATCTCGACTGTACGGACTTGAACACCGTCTGCCTGACCCTGCTTGAGGGGACCTTCGCGCCGCTCAAGGATCTTGAAGTTGATGCCGCATCGGGCTAGCCAGACTGCTGCGCATAGACCAGCTGAACCGCTGCCGCAGATGAGAACGTCGTATTCTTCAGACATGTTGAAAACAAAATAACGTCAGCAAGATTCGGTGTAGCTTGCATGTGGTCGCATATGACACTGCTACTTGCCCGTCTTATACATCACTAGCCAGCCAAAGTTCCGAAATCAGCTACCGGGCGGGGTTAACAATTATTTCCCCGGAAGTCAACTCGTGCGGGGGATTGTCATGGGGACCGTCCCTGCATCCAAAGACGTTTCCTGTGCATCCGACGAGTCTTCCGAATTCCGTCCGGGATATGAGTTCGGCACCGGCGACGACACCCACCAAACTATTGAACCTGTGGATCCGGGTCCGCGTGGGTCCTCGAGATACCGACGGGGCCACGGCAGGTTTTTCACAAAATGCCGGAGGTTCGGCCACAAGATGATCATCTGAAAGGATTGAACATGCCGCCTTGCTGCAATAGTACCAAGAAATGTATGGCATGCCAGTGCTGATGTATGACGAAACCTGCTTTGCCTAAGCGCTTATGCACCCCAATTTACCCCTCAGTTCCGCGCCTCAACACAGCATGACGCCTTTGGCCCTTGGCTGCAAACGCAAAAAAGAAGAAGATGGGCAAAAATGTAGCTAGATAAGGGCAGCTACATGGAACTTAACCAGTCAAATTCTGCCTCGGCGGATCATATTTCCATTTCCACAATTTTACGTCATCAAATACATGAAAGAATTTCTCCTACCTTTTCACTCCCCTGCGCGTCATCATTGCAAGTCTGCCCTCCCCCAAAGTAATCGTTTCAATCATTCAACAAATCATCACCATGTCTTCCTCCGTCATTCCCACTTCCACCTCCGTCGTCGAGAGCGCCGTCATCAAGGCTCCTCTCAGCCATGTCTGGCACTTCATCAAGCGTAAGTGCAGTGAAAACCCGGTCCAGACAGTGGATCAAGGATGAGAGTGGGCAAAAGCTGATATCGAATTTTCAAAACAGTCCAGAACTTCCAGAACTTCTGGTCTGCTCTGAAGGGCAGTGAGTTCGTCAAGGCTCAGGAGGAGACCGACATCGTCAGATGGACTTTCCAGGACGGCACCGTCCTCGAGGTCAAGCAGGAGGAGCACAGCGTAAGTTTCCTCATCGCGGGGTTACTTCCTCGCGATTGCAAACGGAAGACTTCACCGGAGACTGATACCATATTCAGACCATCAACCACTACATCACCTACAGCGTCATCACTTCCCAGCCTGAGCTGTCTTACACCTCCGTCGTCAGCACCATCCGCTGCTACCCCGTCACCTCTGGTGAGAACGAGAACAGCACCTTCGTTGAGTGGACCGGCAACTTCTCCAGCGACGCCGATGCCGGTGTCATCCAGGACGCCAAGTTCAAGCGCCGTGAGGCCCTTGCCGACCTGGCCAAGGCTGCTGCCAAGTTGTAAATGTTATAAGCGATGAGACTGGAATGTCGAATTGTTGAACTTTTGCGCTTGCCTCGTCAAGGAAGATAGTCAAAAAAGTAAAAGATACCACTTGTTGTTCACAATTTATTCTGCCCCTCGTATTTTATGCTTGAATATTACAGTGACCTTCACATTGCATTCGTAAATATTCATACAGGGAGGATTTCAAGTGAGACAAAGTATGAAAGACCCATTGAAACTTCCTTCTATGAGTCAGTATATTGCATCAAAGTGGACACAAATCATACTCGATTTCGAGTTTTGCTGGTAATGAATACCGACTTATATGAGACTCGCACTGCCTCCCCATTGAGGGCAGCTGCACTCTCGTCATCAGCTCGCAATTCACTTTGACAGTCTTTTCAACCTCATTCCTGCATTTTCTGTTTGACGAGTTCCCCGTTCCAAAGTCTCCTTCCTCATACCATGCCAATCCTCCTTCTCAAATTCGCCAATTTCATCATCAACAAAGCTCGCAGCAATTGCATGCCTACACTGAACTGCTGCCAATAGCGGTTCCGAGCCAATGGGTTCCGAGCTAGGCCGAATAGCAGTGACAGAGCGTATCCCACAACAGCGGCAACTGCCAACTTCTTTGGCCATGTCCGTCTCCTGCGCCCGGCATGGGTCGGTCCCTTTGATATGTCAGCACTTTGCCGTTTCAAGTAACCTCGTCTCGCTCGCATGCTTACACGTATTTCCAAGTCACCAAAGTCGGGGAACAAGCAGCGATACCAGAAGTACGCTTGAGAGTAAGGATAGGTCGAGCCGTTCCACTTCTTGCCGTCCGTTGTGTCTTTCAGATACCAGCTAGTGCATCCCGTAGACCATACAGTCTTCTGCATGTCGGCCTGCATCTGGTTGACGTATTGCTGCTCTGCCTTTTTAGAAACTTCCACGGTTGTTCCCTTGCCATCAAGCACCGGTTTGATGATGCGAAGCGCAAAGTTGATGGAGTTTTCCGCTGCGATAATTGTGGAAGTGTGGCCTGTGAGTGAGTTCGGTCCTAGAGTGGCCTGAGTCAGCAAACACCCTACTCCCGTATGGCATATAGCATAGAGCCTACCAAGAAGTACAAAAAAGTTTGGAAATCCGCTTGCAATCGTGCAATTGTAAGCCTCTGGGCCACCAAACGACTCCCAATGCTGGTCTATCTGCTCTCCGTTTCGACCAATGACATCTAGGCCCCCAACAGCATTGTTTGTTACGAAACCATTGGCTAAAACGATGACATCCGCCTCTGTCACGCCTTCCCGGGTTCGAATACCCTCTGGTACAATTTCTTGGATCGGGTTGTCTAGCAGAGTGAGATTCTCCGAGTGTAAGCTCTTCAAGTAGCCTGAGTCGAAGATGCGTCTCTTGCAACCGAGTTCGAAGTCAGGTATGAGCTTTTCATGATACTTCGCCGGCGCCGTTGTCTTCATGTACTTCTCAGCGCTGGCTCTAGCACGCTTGCGATACTTGTTTCCATCATTCGTCATATAAAACCCTCGCAATGTGTTTTCTGCCGCAGCAAAGACCAGAAATCTCTGCAGCGTCTGTGTTCCCGGCACATGCCTCAAGACGTTCTTCATGAACTCTGTATTCTCATTGTCGACGGGGGGTAAGACCCAGTGCTTTGTGCGGATAGCTTGCGTGAGGTGCTTCGTCTTGCCTACAATCGCCGGTACGATTTGCGATGCGGTACACCCGTTCCCAATGACAACAACTTTCTTGTCCTGGATATCCACGGTTTGATCCCACCGGGACGAATGAAAGATGCGACCCTTGAAGCTTGTTGAACCGGGAACGTCGATCTCCCGTGGTTGCATGAGTTGTCCCGTGGCAGCGAAAAGGAACTGACATTCATGCGCGAACACCTGATTGGTTTCGTAGTGACGAATGTTCATCCTCCAGCGTTTGCGCTCTTCCGACCAGACGCATTGCTCGACGTTGACGCCAAATCTCATCTTCTCGATGAGCGAGTATTTCTTGGCCACATCGTGGAGGTACTGCCATAGCTCCTGTTGCGGAGGCAATACTCGACTCCAGTCTGGGTTGGACTCGAACGAGAAGCTGTACAAAGCGCTGGGCACGTCGCATGCACATCCTTTGAGTTGATGTCAATGACTGCCGCCCTTGGTGGAGCCCCTGCTCCGAGGGGGAATGTTACCTGGGTATTGGTTGATGAACCATGTTCCTCCGAGATCACTGTGCCGTTCAAAGAATTTGATGTCGCCAATGCCGTACCATCTCTTCAGCGTAGCACCCAGCCCGATCGCCGAGAACCCAGTCCCAACGCATGCGAACTGACTGTAGGTAGGCGTTTCCAAAGCTTTCGACATTTTCCGCGTATCAAATCGGCCCGTGTTATTGATACTAGAGGTACTTTCGAAAGGAGCAGTCACAAATAACCGACTCTCACTTCAGATACACCTGTTGACTTTGTTCCCAGAAAGGGTGAGGTCAAAAAGTCAGTTTCAGGAAGCAACCAAACACTCGCGGAAGTCAGGATGATGCGGGGGAGCATGTCGTCGTCGACCTTGGTCAACGGGAGCTAGTTCGCTCATGCCTCGGCTCGTCCCACGTTGGGCGTGCCCGTCTCGTCCGACGGTGGCAAGCATATGCATGCTACTGCGACGTCGTTGTGAAACTTTGTGAGAGCTTCTGAGAAACACCATGACCTAAGAGACCTCGTTTGATGGGGGGATCGCCCTAAAGTGGAGAGCTATGGCCCGGGGATGAGGGGAAAATGGAGCTGGTAGCGGAAAGGTGACGATCCCGCTCGGGACTATTGGTCAATGATGGTTCTTGGCAGATCGGGAGCACACGAGCTATGTGAGAATGCAACGGTTCACGGCCGGAGCGCCGGGGTAACGGAGATATTGACGCCCCGGTCCATCTCGATTCGGTTGAACTCATCCGGCTAGGGGCCCTAGGAGACCCATCACCACATTTGGTGAGCTGCGGGTCTTAGCTCTGTGGACGCGCATACGTTGTAGGTGTGACAGGTCAACATTTTGACCCGGACTGAAGAGGAGAAAACGGAAAGTGGTGATATGTTGGTGATCCTCAATCATACTCATATTTGGGCACGTTGAGGTTGTTCATTATTTTTTCTGTCTCACTACATCTAGAAAATGGCAAACAAAGTCCGTCCAACACACTCACTTCTCCGCAGGTTCTACCATCTCAAATTGACCAGTTGTGTCATCAATCTTTTGCCTTGGCGTATACGCGATATCTTTCGCGCTCGCAGTAGTTTCCCTTGCAAGACGCCATAACCACTCGGGACCAGCCCGCTGCAAATCAGTTACGTCAGTGTTGTCTAAACATTCGAGGAAGCATGGAACTTACCAGGGCTGTCACAGATGACATGATACCGGGCAGATAGATCGTCCGTCCGAAGCCACTGTATAGTGAGTCCACGATGGCCTCTCCCACTGAGTCAACATGAAGCAGCGGCATCATAAAATGAGGCTGACCGGGGTCAAAGGGAACCAGCGGCGTTCGGATGAAGCCAAAGATTCCAAGCGTTTGGCGAACTTTGGGCGCTTTGTGAATGTACTTCAGCTCAAGTTGAAGTGACTGCAAAGTGTCAGCTGTCGTCAGAGCGCTTGACAAGTCAAAAGAGAATCATTTACCTCATGCATCGCGGTGAGTCCAGCCTTGGTGGCTGAGTAGTCAGCAATTCTCACTGGGGGAACCACTGAACTCATTGACCCGACGTTGACAATATGGCCATGATTGGTGCGAACCATGTACGGCAAGAATTCTTTCGTAAGCAGGAACGGCGCGAGCAAGTTTGTCTTGATGGTCAACTCAACGTCTGCGTACGAGCCTTCCATGATGCTATAGCCCCGCGCGATTCCCGCATTGTTGATGAGAACGGTGGGATCACCGACTTGAGTTCGGATCAACGTGCAAAGAGTCTTGAGCGCCTTCGTGTCGGTCAAATCACACTTGAAGAAGTGAATGTTGGAGCCTTTCGGAGGCTCCCATAGTAACGGAGCCAGGTCGACAACAACAATATTTGCACGCGGGTTTCTGGCCAAAATATGTTTGATGATACTGTGACCAATACCGCTGCTGCCGCCGGTAACAACGATGATTTCTTTGTCAAAATCCCATGTGTGGTCCGTCGTCCAGTTGTTTGCCGACCACTTGTTCAGATACTCGGTAGTTGATAGGACAAAGCTTGCTAGAGCCGCGAGGAACGCAACGCGCTGAGCGGTGTCAAATCTGATGTCTGAGAGTCCGACCGTTCCGTTCTTTCTTGCTGATACCACCGCCAGCCCTGTTGCAAGCGGTATCGAGAGGTATGGATTGAGGACTGATTTTCGGAGCCATCTGGCAATTACATCGACTGTGAATCCTTCTCGTGAGGTCAACATGGTGCAGTTGCTACTAGCGTCATCAATCCCACTAAACAATTGAGACAGATAGGAATATTGATCATGAACCGGATGTTGAATGCAGCCTGGGGTTGGTGTTTTAATGTTATGGGCGAAACTGTCACGTTTCAACACGGGCCGAGATTGACCCCAACAGCTTTGGAAAGATCCCTCCAAAGTGAGCAGCCGAGGTCCGGAACCACTTCCACGAGATCAGACCAGGCGACTTGATACCCCAATCTGCACGAGCATGAGGTTTGGAGATCCAAGCTCTTCTTCCCTGCACGTCAAAGTGAGGGGCATCCCCCACGCAATAATGCAAGGGTCTAACCTGAAGAAGCAACATGATGCTACGTAGGAGACTGGCTTTTGTGACGAGTTTAAACGAGTGCGAACTACCTTGCCAGCTAGCTCACACCAAGCTACTGTTACCTCTGCCACCCTGAACAATCTTGAATTATGCCTCGGTCGGAAGCATCGGTAGTAGAAGCGTCTCTTCGGTTGCCCGTGCCTCCTGCGGATTCCTGCGGACAGACATGTCAATGACATTCTGAGCCACATTTGCGTTTCTTGTCCACGTCAAACCTCCTGTCTGAACCTGTCTGAACGTTTTCCCAGAGTTCCAAAGCCACCCTGCGCCGTGCTGTGGTGATTGCTTACTCACTTGCCAGTTACTCGTAGCACAACCTTTGCTGTTTTCATTTATGTCGGCCATACGGCTGGATCGTAGACAGCTTTGACACCAGACGAACCGAACCCCTAGACACATTAGTAGGCTTCTTTCCGGGTGCGATCATCGCGTGCGAGTGCGACCGAGAGAGAGAAAAGAATGTCGATATCGAGACCGCAGCTTTCGCTGTGGGAGAAGAGGGACTTGGTCTTTCGTTTGCTATTCCGTGGTATGTCTCGCTTCCGACCTGTCTCTTGTTTTCCAGCGAACCATTGAACGGTGACTGACTCCGTGTACTGGTAGCTCCGATACAATTGGCGTGGAACTTCTTCTATGGCATCCCGTTCGCTATCGCGAGAGGCGTTTCGATCCGCTTCTTTGCCTTCTGCGCCTATTACCGATTCGCCTTGGGGTCGATGAGAGCACGCGAGATTCAATTCCTCATCCCTCCTTCAATCAAGACGTACGAGAAATGGATCGCGAAAAAGCAGAAGCGTCATCCAGAGCTCGGGGACAAGCTGCAGAAGAAAATCGAGACCCTCCCTGCTAATGACGGCTCGATCTTGTGGATCGGCAATCGCCAAAAGGCCACAAAGTTTGTCCTGTTCTTCCACGGCGGTGGATACGTGGTGCCCCTTCTACCTGGACACCTCGACTGGTGCTGGAACGCGTATGTCACCGGCGGTCCTGGAGCTCACGCAGAGGTTGCCGTTGCTGTCTTGCAGTACACCCTCGTCCCCGAAGCTCGGTATCCCACGCAACTCCGTCAGGCGATCGCGGCGCTCAACCAGCTGATTCTCTCTGGCATCAAACCCAACGACCTCCTCATCGGCGGCGACTCGGCCGGAGGCAACCTGGCGTGCTCCGTCGTTCGCCACATCTGCCACCCATGCCACCTCGAGATCCCAGCCCTGCGCTTGGAGAACCGCCTCGCAGGTGTGTTCCTCGTGTCACCCTGGCTCAGCAGCAAGACGACAACGCCCGCGTTCACGGAAAACAACTACGTCGACATGCTTACTACGACGTGTATGTCCCGCGCCACAGCCGAGCTCCTCCACCCGCGGTTCCCCGTGCGAAACAAGTCCGACGAGAGCGACCTCGCCATGGCGATGCCGATGGACGGCGACATGGCGTGGGTGGATGAGATCTCCGCAGCGACTAAGAGCCTGTACGTCACTGGAGGTCAGCAGGAAGCTTTCAGAGATGACATTCGAGCGTTCTCGGAGCACGTCAGCTGTGGAAATAACGATCTGGATCTTCTAGTCGAATTGCCGGAACGCGAGGCTCATGATTTCATCTTGCTTGAAGGTCAGACGGGTCGGGTGGGCGATGCGACGGTGAGGATGAGAAATTGGGCTAGTTCACAGTTGGGCACCGGGCGCGCGTCAGTGTAATGTAGCGTGGCAGATGAGAGCGACACATGTATGAGAGGTGGCGGTGGTGAGTAATTCGCGCCAATAAACTCACTGGTTGATTGATTCATGAGCGAATAAACTGTAATTTGATGTTAGAGAATGACCATGCGCCAGGAGATATTGAGATATTATCATCGCGTGCATTTGCTTCGCTGTCAGCAATGGAGGTTGAGAGTGAGACTGAGAGGCCTATGATTGTGACATTGGTGAGGGGTCTTTTCATTCGCTATCACGCTTCCAAGGTGTAACAATGTGAACTTTCATTGTTTCTCACAGCGCAGCGAGGCAACATGAGTTCCTGAGTCATCATATCAAAACCCTGGCTCATTTAGTGCCTTGAACCCTGGTTCTCATCCCGGTCAGAATGAGCGGTCTAGTCGAATTAGAAAAGACATCTTCTGCATCTGTCTGCACCACCTGCTTGAAGAAGACAACCAGTCGCCAACGGTCTTGCCAAGCGAGGCTTATTTTGGCCGCTTTGAGAGCGGGGTGGAAAGAAACAAACGCGTCGCGTCCACAAACTCCAGGCAACAGAAGGCACAGCATCTCATCGAGGCTTCTTCACGATAACACACATTCTGCGGGGCAGTTTAAGTGCTTTCTTTTTCTTCTCAGACTGTGATCTACTGTGAGTCTCAGGAACCAAACCACCAAACTCTCAGACTCACTTTGCTCACTTACCCCTCATATTTCAGCCGTGGCCATCGTCGACGAGATGCCTCCAGATCAACCCGCCCTCAACTGCGCCTACAACCGCGACGATGTCGTCGCTGGTCTCACTCAATACTACTCAGCCCTTACGCGCCTGGCCTACATTCCATCAACATATGTCGACTTCCCCCCGCCAGGAGGCTGGACAGATGCCGACCTAGATATCGGCGCCCTGCGCGCTCTGCGACGCTCCGAGGTCGTTATCGACCTGCTGCGCCATCTCCCCTACGCCAGACCGATGCACGACGGACCTCGTCCGGGCCCCTGGAACGTCGCACCACAGACCAAGGCTGTGCGCTACCTCCGTCACATGGGACACTTCAGCCAGTGGTCCGATCGCGGCGACGCGGGGCTTCACGAGCTCGCTGCCCTTCCCACACGCGATACGGGAGCGGCACCGATGGATTTGCCGCCGGATGTTGTCTGTCTCACGTACGGAGAGTACCGCTCTTCCAGTTCGCGCACGAAGCCTTATTGGTGGATTGTAGACTGCAGCCGAGGCGTTCTCACGCCGTACGAGGAGAATCTCTACACCGTCGGAAAGGTCCCGCGTAATAAGCCGTGGCGGTGTGTACGGTCGTACTCTGTTACAGACTACTTCTCCCAGCTTGTGTCAAGCCTAGGTGTTCAGCTGTTCCCCGTGCCGCCGACCGAGGACGACGATGCCGAGATCCTCGATCCGAGTGCTCTCGCCAAGTCATCGGAACCGGTGGATATCTATCGCGCCCATGGCTGGGGCACTGGCGATCTAGCAGACTTCAAACACGACGAGTGCATCGTCGCGCTCCAGGCCTGGCGGCGCCGGGTACACGAGGCAGAGCAGAGGAAGATCGCCCAGGACGAGGACGACGCCGACGATGAGGACTTTGAGATGGATGACAGTGATGATGACGAGGATGCGGCACACGAGGGAGAGGCGGGTGATGGACTTGCTGATGCTGTGGCGGACATGGAGATGGATGATTTGAGTGCCGAGGCTGCTGCTTTGAGAGCTGACATGAGCCCGGAGGAGCGTGCAAAGTTTGACTGCAGACAGACGCAGTCGCACTTTGATTGGATTGACGAGGAATGATTGAGATGCAGCATGCCTTATGAAGCCAAGTTTATCGTTGATTTGGAACTAGTAGATGAGATATAGAACAATGCTACAAGATAATGACCACGCTCACACCTCTGTGTGGAAAGCTTGGAGATCCAGGTACACGTCAACACACAATCCGAGCCTCGTATTACATCTTCGATTCGTGCATCATCTTCTTCACTTCAAAGTCCCAATTTGGATCGGCCCCCTGGCTGTGTTTCTTCAATAAGGTCATCGAGTTCCCTCGCAGAACCTCGGGTGCAACAATTGACCCTCTCGGATGAGAAGCAACAAACCCCTCATATAAAAGGACCTGAAGCTCAATCAGCGGGTCAGGGCAGTAAGGAAAGTCCGATCCAAAAAGGATGTGAGACGGATCTGCAAAGTCGAGCAGGCCACCCAGCTGGGTTGGGCCGGAACTAAGCGCCGTGTCGTAGTAAAACCGAGCAAAGTCAGCCTGAGCAGTCTCGTAGCCCACAGCAACAACGTTCGCGAGAGCTGGGATATTGAGAGTCCCCAGCACACGGGTAGCTAAGAATGGGAGAGTTCCTCCAGCATGCGAAAGAATCACGTCGACGTCGGGGCAGGAGTGGAGGGTCCCGGTGAGGACAAGGTCCACCGCGGCCCGGGTAGTTGCGAGAGGGTAGTCAACGATCGGCTGCGGGAGGGCTGAAGCTATGAGCTTTGGCGTTACGTCGAGACCCGTCGGATGAAGGAAGACAAGAGCCTTGTGAGCTTGAAGCTTCTCCCAGATGGGCTTGAAGACTGGATCACCGAGGAGCTTGCCGCCGTACGAGGTAAAGACGGTTACACCGTGGCAGAGTTTCTGTTGCTGGTAAAGAAACTCGATTTCTGAAACTGTGCCGTCGACGTCTTGCCAGTCAGGTAGGATTCCAAAGAACCCAAGGCGTCTCCCTGCTGATGACTTGCTGATCTGGTCTGCGAGGTCGTTGTTCAAGGTATGTGCAAGCTTTCGTCCGTCTTCACCACTTCCCGCGATCGATGCACCGGGGGCTGAAACTGATAGTATCCCTGATCGTTGTATTAGTCGAATGAAGAAGTGATGCACAATTCCCCCCAATTCATAGATCTCACCTATTGATGTGCTGATGTTATCCATCAGCTTGAGAGCATCATCTAGAGACCACTCAGGCGATGGAAACCCGGAAGGATCCCCTCCTGCGGCGTTCACCGCTGAAAGGTAAGCCGGAGGAAGCGCGTGAATGTGGGTATCAATACGTCCTGACATGTTGAATTGGTTATGATCCTGATTCAGCGACATGGAATCTTTTGAGTTGCATCCTCATGTTGTTAAATACAGCTTATGAGGTATGTAAGTGCTCAGGCAGTCCTAAGTCCCCAGCCAACACACGGAAGCACGGTGCCGTTGGCCGACCCCTCTCGAGGCCGAGTTGCCGAACTAGACATCTTTGATCGCCATTGGCTGCTCTTGGTGGTCGGCGTCAGATATTCGCTAGCTCCGACATTTGCCTCAGAAACGGCATTCGGTGTGTACAATCACCGCGAGCGGAGTCAAACTACACTAAGTATTTGTTTTCGACGGGGTGCTCTTTATGCGCAACATTGTATCTTGTAAAGCTCGAATGCCTATGCAAGGAAGAGACGTCGCCCGACAACACGATGGAATTGCCATGATCAACGATATGTGAACAGAACTGCATGGCAATGGACAACTTACTCGCAAACTAGGCCCACCAGTGCCATGGAGGAAGTTGGTATGATCCATGAATGGAACAAGAGATCAAGTATCAATTTAACTCGAGTGCCGGATTTTTAATATCAATCACCAGACTGTCGCTATCTGGAAGACATCTACTTTTTTGAGATGAGTATCACGCAAAGTCCGCGGAACCAGGGGTGGCAAGGATTGGGTTGACATGTATACGCCATATAATCGCCCGAGGACTGTGTCTTTCGGCATGCTAGGTTCTGGGGTTGTCATGAACAAAAAACGAGCATCTAAAGCAAGCTCTTGTCGAAGCTTCGTTGAGTCGGTTCACCAGGCTGCTTTTCCTCTGTCTGAAATCGGTTTCAAGCATCACTAGTAATCGTCACTACTTCGGTTCGGTGAGGGATGTGGAAGCAAGGAAACAAATGTGCAAAAACCTCATGCAGGAACACCACTGGTTACCTATGGCCCCATTACACTCAAGAGTCCGAATTGTGGAGATGCTCGAAAATAAAGGCTAGCATTTGGCGGTCCTATACCGACAAGATCGTCACTCAGGACGTCATCAGGTCTCCCTTATGTAGTGCGACATTACCTGCCGTACCAGCTCGCCTCGCCCGGCACGATGCAGGGTCCTTGATAACTCAGCAAGCTTTCACATTGGTCTTCTTGCCAAGAGAACTTCCTATCCCTATGGCCAACGGCTGAGGGCCCACGCTTGTGAGATTTATCTCGGCTTTTCAATCCACAACCCAGCCAGCATTTTATTCGCCATCTCTGACTGCCCTCCATAAAATTTCACTGGCGACTGATCGTCGTGCGGGGACGCATTGCCTGGAATTCTGCCTCGTTTCGCAACTAAGACATCGTTGGAGATTTTTGCCATATCCAACGACACATGCTATCTGTAGCACCACACGTTGGAGCTGACAACTAACAGTACTCCCGACTACCTTGTAAAGAGAGTGAACGCCACAGCATTGGCTGTCTTAAAATAGCTGCTGAAAACGTATTTTTCTCAGCCCAATTGTATCCCTGGCTGCCTTCCTGTTATGCACATTCTACCGACAATCATGTATCGGCCACTCCTTTGCCCCTCCTAGTGCTTACTTCCTTGGTCCAACGTCGGTGCTGATTCCCTATGATAATCACGGCTTTCACTTAAATGAAGCTGGGCAAAGCACACTCTCTCCATTGCTTGCGTGTGAAATATTGTCAGGGTCGCTAGAGCTCTTCATAATTCTTCAAATCAGCATGAAGATCTCTAATGATATCAAACTCGACCCTCTGTCTACCTCACGATCCATTCGACTTGTAGTGCTTCAAAAGAGCGTGAAGAATAACTCCGTTCGAGAACCTCTCAGTTGTCGACTTGTCGAAGCAAACGTGGACCGGCCGCCCTCATACGCTGCGCTATCTTATACCTGGGGCGGAGAAGAGCCGTGCGAACCGCTCACAATACGAACTTCTGGGTCTTCCACGAAACAGGTACTGATAACTCCTAATTGTGCTACCGCACTGAGGCTGTTACGTCGATCCCTTCACCGCAAGACGAAAAATCATCGTAGCTTGAGTGTCTGGATAGACGCCATCTGTATCGACCAAGCGTCCGACGACGAACGCAATGCTCAAGTGGCCATGATGGCCGAGATCTACCAGCGCGCAAAAACCGTCGTTGTCTGGCTCGGGGAAGACCATGCACCGGCAACTTGGCGTAGTCTGGCATGCTCGAAGCCTCTGGCCTTGTTTCCACGTCTGGGGTATGATCGCGGTCGCAATGAAGGTGTAAAGAGCTTGGCTGCCAGAGTCGCTCTCAAAGGTACAATGTCCAGCATATCATTCTCATCAAATTTGTTCCTCAGCCTCTAACCGAGTGACAGTTTGCAACAGTGACACGCTACATCACTTGAGACTATCACCCTACTGGACACGGGTATGGACACTCCAAGAATTCGCCCACAAGAACTCCGCTGTCCTCTGCCGAGACTCCCGACTCTTTGTCTTCTCAAGTCTTGCCCGCCTCCTGGCAGTGGCACCAAAAGACGAGAGCGTACTAAGTCAGCAGGGCATGGACTTACATGTCGACCTCTACGAATGGAAAGCAATGGCAACAACACGTCCGTTCCGCGCAGCAACGAACCAACTACGTCGCGTCCTCACAATGCAAGCCTCAGAGCCGCGAGACAAGATCTTTGCGCTGCGGGCGCTGTCTCCAGGCGTACTCGGCAAGATGACGGTGGACTACCGGAAGCCCGTCGGAGAGGTTTTCCGGGACGCAACGAGACTCATGGTCGAAGAGGAGGACAGTTTGCCGGTGCTGTACTTTTCGAATCGGAAGAAGACAACGGCTGGTGTTGCGTGGGAGACCATGCCGTCGTGGACTGTTGACTTTGCGACTGCGGACTCTGAGGTGAGGGGGTCGTATAAGTACTACTACACCAGTCTCTGTGCGGCTTCTGGCGGGGCCAAGTCGTATTTCGCGTTTTCTGGAGACGGGAAGAAGCTTACCCTTCGAGGGGTTCGTGTAGGAAAAGTAGGGAATTTCGTGAGCGACATATTCCCGACCAAGAGCCAGTGTTCCGAGGGGAGATGTGATGTCGACGACAAGAAGATGGTGGATAAAGATGAAGGGTGTAAGGTGCAGTCCCCATTGCCACACGACTGCGGAAGCCCGTATCTAGATGTACTCGGCCGTTTCATGACGAGCGTTACGAGCAGAATTTGGGCAGGGCCGAAGCTCGACGCAATGGGCCGCAGTCTCTACGAGCTGTTATTGTGGATTATCCAAGGGCCAAAGAAGTATGGATGGTCGGCAAACATGTCATCAACATCGACATCATCCTCGTCTTCGTTTTCCAACAAGGCGGTACGAGGTATGTCAGTCATCTCATCACTCGTCAAGTGGGACTCGCTGCGCGGGTGCCAGTGCCGAGTCGAACTCCGGCTAGGGCGGTTGTTCTACACTCTTGATAGGAGAGCTGGGTTTGGAGTCGTTGGTGTTCGTGAGGGCGACACCGTGTGTCTTCTCGCTGGGATGGATCATCCATTCATCTTGCGGCCTTGTAAATTCGAGGTCGGGAGGTATACGATAGTAGGGCCAACAGTGTTTGCTGGTGCGATGGGTGGTGAGATGTGGCCGACTGATGAGGATGAGCTCGAGTACTTTGAGATTGTGTAAGATGTGGTGTAAGAAATTGTGCAAAAGCGTATGAGAGGCTGTGAAGCATTCTCTCAAAATATTCCCAGATGGCACAGGAACGTCTGTTTAATGTTAGGCATTATTGTTTGATTACACGGACGTATAGTAGTGAGAGGTAATGAAGCTCCATAGCATGCTCTCTACATTCGTGAAGAATCGCGCCGAAACTCAATCCCTCGGTCCCTTGAACCGCCAGGATCTGTGATTACACTTTCAGAAGAAAATGAGAAATTATTCAAGAGGACCGGGCACTAGCTTTGTGAATGGACTCTGATAATTCAGCATCGGACCTTTACTTCGGGCAGTCCGACCGAGTCAATCATCTGAAGACGACCTGCTTTACTATCAACTCTCCAAGCGCGGACGTACGAGCCATCTTGTAGTCAATCCTCAAGCCCAGCTTCACGAATAAATAAGAAGCAACAGCCCTGTCGAGGCTGACAACAAATGACGTTGTACTGGAGTTCTCCGTGCGTGCGTGTATGTGTACGTGCGATGTTGCCCCTCTTTGTACAACACATCAACTTGCCAACAATCAATTCCTCTCTTCTGCCCCACCACTAAGCCTCGTCTCGGAGCCTCACTTTAGGGGTGTTGCCAGTTGAAGAGGTGGGTTAATTGACTTTAGGCTGTGCCTTCATGCAAGACCATCCCTAACTCTCATCAACCTAGGATGACTACACTTTGGGGAAAAGTGCGCCAACACACCCCCGCCGCCGATGATGAAAGTACGGTTCGGACGACTCTGAAACCCCAAGTGAAGCACCTCAAAGGCCGTCATACGGCCCTTCCCAACCGGAACCAACACGCAAGTTGCCAACCCCCTCTTCTGGCGGAAATCTCATCGGCCTCATCCCGGTACGGCACCCAAACATCCGATCCAGAGCCCTTTGCCGCTTCCCACATGATCATGCGGGAAGCTCCTGAAAGTGTAATGTGAATTGGGCTATTGGAGGACGAGGGAGAGAGTTAGGGTATAGCAGACAAGCAGACTCTCTCTTTGCCCACTGATATATGGGCCAGTCTGTGCCCGCATGAAAGACGTTACATCGAATGACATCTTCCCCTTCTCTCCCCCCGGACCTCTGCTTCTGCGCCCTCATTCAATCCATCCCATCTTTTGCTCATCGCAGCCTTGGCGCTTTTACGCGCATAGCGCATTCACCTCACGAGCTTCCATCATCAGGCAGGCGGTTTTTAGGAAAAAGAGAAAATATGGCAAGACTCACAAGCTGGCTTCTCCTCTCAGCATGGGGAAGAGCAGCCTCCGTATCGGGGCAAGGCCTCCACGAGCTGGCGGTGAAGTCGGGAAAGCTCTTCTTCGGCACGGCGACGGACACGAACCTCTTCAACGATGCGGCGTACATGGCGGTCCTGAACAAGACGGGCGAGTTCGGCCTCGTGGTGCCGGAGAACAGCCAGAAGTGGGACGCGACGGAGAAGACGCAGAATGAGTTCCAGTTCACGAACCCGGATTCCGTGAGGGCCGTCGCGCAGGCGAATAAGCAGATGATGAGATGCCATGCGTTGACGTGGCACTCTCAACTTCCACAATTTGGTGCGTTCCGGCTCATCATGGCACTGAAAGACTCAAAAACTCGAACCAATACTGACCAGAGACCAGTCTCAACGGGTACCTGGACCCCAGAAACCCTCACCCCGGTAATCCAAGCACACATCTCCAACGTGGTAACGCACTACAAAGGCGCTTGCTACTCATGGGACGTCGTCAACGAAGCCCTCGCCGACAACGGCACCCTCCGCGACAGCGTCTTCTCCCGCACGCTCGGCGCAGACTTCATCCCCATCTCCTTCAAGGCCGCCGCGGCAGCCGACCCGGCCGCGAAGTTGTACTACAACGACTTCAGCCTCGAGTTCAACTCCAACAAGACAGATGGCGCCGTCAAGATCGTGCAGGATCTCAAAGCCGCCAACGTGAAGATTGACGGTATCGGGTTCCAGTCGCATTTTCAAGTCGGCAAGACGCCGTCGCAGGATACGCTGAATAAAGTCATGACACGCTTCACGGATCTGGGGCTGGAAGTCGCGCTTACGGAGCTGGATGTGCGGCATGACAAGTTGCCTGCTGATGATGCTGCGATACAGCAGCAGGCTAAGGACTACGGCACCGTCGTCAAGACGTGCGTGGATAACGCAAAGTGCGTCGGCGTCGTGGTGTGGGAGTTTACGGATAAGTACAGCTGGATCCCGTCCACGTTTTCCGGGGCCGGGGACGCGTGCTTGTTCGATAAGGATATGAAGCCCAAACCGGCGTACGCGGCTGTTGCGGCGGCGTTGGGAGGGCAAGCAGCAGCAGCAGCACCGGTGGCAGCACCGGCGCCGGCGGCTGGAGCGCAGGGCGCGGAAGTGGTGCTGTCGTCTGGGAGCAGTATATCTGGTACCGGGGCCGGGTTTGGAGCCACCGATGACGATGCCGGGACCGAATCCGAGGCCGATGCCGACAGCGGAGCGGGGGCATCCTCAAAATCAAAGGCGAAAAGCAATGTGGAGGCAGCAACCAAGTCACCTTCCTCTTCAGGAACAGGTCGCTTCGAAGCGGTGCTGCTGATTTCACCGCTGATAGCCACCGGTATCGGCTGGCTCTTTTGGTTGGTGATATAATCTGTTAGACACTTTTTCTTGTTACTTAGCCTTTTCTCTTGATGGCACAATTCTTGATACCAATTGACAATATCTCACTCGGATCTTTCCCGTCCCAGAACTTTGAAGCCGCCGATAGCAAATCATTGAGGACTGACGTGCTTCGGCTGCGACGTTGCGTGTGTCAATGGGAGCCCGGTGCGCGGGTGGTGTAAGTGAGGAGATGGATGATGTCATGCCGGCAACCTCCACTGATAAAAGAGAGACCGGGGGGGGGGGCTGGTTAAGCGGATAGTAATCGGGATGATGCGATTTCAAAGCGAAGAGGGGAAAGAGGAATTCTGCCAAAAGACTGCAGTTCCCATTAATTGAGCTACCACAACCATTGTCCACAGATAGTGTGAATAGCATCACGACGTGGGAATAACTCAATTAGTGAGAACTAGGCTGCTGAATAGCTTCGTCATGGTGTACCTCAAGACACTAGTCGCCGCTGCCGCTGGTGCAGGCCTGGCCCAAGCTTCTCTCTCTGGCCTCGACAAGATCCCGCCTCTGGGCTTGGGAACATGGCTATCCGACAAGAGCAAAGTCGCCGACGCCGTTGCCTTCGCCGTGGGCGAGGTAGGCTACAACCACATTGACGCCGCTCTCATCTACAGTAAGTTCCATTTCATAACTCACATGTCCTACCTCATACGCTCACGCGGGTCAAACAACTCGCACGAGTCATTCACTCCCTCACCTCAAACCACTTCATCGAGATCCATCCAGCCCGCAAACTGATAACCCACTCAGGAAACGAAGACCAAACCGGCAAAGGCCTCGCCTCCTCCGGCATCCCACGCAAAGACGTCTGGGTCACCTCCAAGCTCTGGAACACCGACCACCGCGCCGACCGCGCCGCAGCCGCCATCAAAAAGTCCATCTCGGACCTGGGCGTAGACTACCTCGACCTCTACCTCATTCACTGGCCCGTCGCCTTCATCCCCGACGACCCCAACAACGCCCTTGACCGCGAGACAACCCTCGTCGACACCTGGAAGACGCTCGAAGGCTTCGTCAAGGCAAACCTAACCCGCCACATTGGCCTCTCCAACTTTGCCAAAGCCGACGTCGAGACAATCTTGAAGACGGCGGAAATCAAGCCCTACGCCCACGAATTCGAAACCCACCCGTACCTCCAGCAACAAGAGTTCGTCGACTGGCACAAGGAGCAGGGCATCGAGGTCATCGCCTACTCCCCGCTCGCCAACACGAACCCGACCTACAGCGACGACCTGCCCGCCATCTACGAGGACAAGTTCTGGGTCGACGTCGCGGCCAAGAAGGGCGTTTCCGTCTTCCAGGCCGTACTGGCGTGGGGTATCCAGCGGGGCACGAGCGTGATTCCCAAAAGCACAAAGGACTCGCACATCATTTCCAACCGCAAGGCGCTCGAGATCGAGTTCACCAAGGACGAGTTGAGGGAGATTGGCAAGCAGGATAAGAAGCACCGCTTGAGCAACCCGGGTGCCAAGTGGGGTGTCAAGCTGTTTGCTGATTTGGATGATCCTGGCAGGAATGAGCCCACGAGCGAGGAGCTCTAAGCGATGACTTCTGAAACTAAAATGCTGAAGTGGTTGAGAGCTATCTAGTGTTATCGAGTCAAGCCTCCCAAGCTACCCATCTCAAGTCTCTCTTTGTATTCCTCGCACGTGCTGTACCTAGATGAATCCAAATTGCTATTCGTCGATATCTACTACCTCAATTGATGACACAAGTCGTCTTAGTAGGTAGTTTAATCAATGGTCGGCCCTGTTGCAATGGGCATAGTACTTCCTCCTAGCCCAGTAAAATCCAAGCCCGACAATCCACAGCACAATCAAGATGAGCGCTTGCACAGGAGCAAAGATAGCGCCTCTCACAACCACAAATCCACTGACCAGCGCAAAGATAAGCGGGATCAGCACAAACGGCTTGTACGGTCTGCGCAGCTTCGGCTCTCGAATGCGCAGAACGACGGCACCAAGGACCGTCAAAAAGAAGAACGTGTACTCGCCCAGACCGTTGAACGTCAAAAGCGCGCGGAAATTGCCAAACAGAATGTACAACGCCGAGAGAATCGTCGACAGCAAGAGCGCGTTGAGCGGTGCGTCGGATCTCGCGTGCGCGGGGCCAGGCGATGCATCGGCGGACGAGCCGGCTGGCGAGCTCTCCTCCAACTTGAACCCGACGCGGCCTACGAAGCCGAGGAACTTGGGTAGCCAGTTGAAGTTTGACGCTGCGACGGTCATGCGGCCTACTACGAAGGAGTTGCCGAGGAGGGAGCCGGCGACGACGAGGCAGATGAGGACTGCAGCGACGATGCCGAAGGCGGGGCCGAGGAGGCGGTTGATGGCGGTCTGGCTATTGTGAGTACGGGAAAGGAGTTTATTGAGGAGGTTGATGGGCAGGACTTACGACTGCCACGCTGTCGGTCAATGCAACCACATTCCAGGGGAGAAGGATGTAGTAGGCTGCGTTAGCCGCGATGAAGCACAGAATGATCGTTGGTACGGCCGTGTTGATGGCAAGAGGGAGCTGGCGTGCCGGCTGCTGAAGCTCAGCTGAGACGTAGACGGCCTGGGAATTGTTAGATGTGACAGTTGATAAACACCAAGATGAACAACGTACCTTGTCCCAGCCAGAGTACGCCCACAGAGCACCGTAAAGCGCAGCAGAGTAGTACCCAAGCATATCCCACGTCCCGACCTTGTTCCAGTCCAGCTCGCCGCCACCCGGCAAAGCCGTCTTGCGGTTCCCGAACCAGGGCTTATTAAACCAGTCCCGTCCGCCAACATCACGGTCGTGGTCCGAGACTTGGAGGATGACGACGACGATGCCGGCAAGCACCACGGCAAAGATACTGGTGAACTTGGTCACGACAAACAAGTTGTTCAGGCGAGTGCTCGCCTTGGTGCTGATGGAGTTGGCGCCGTTCATGACGACCAGGATCAGGATCGAGAACAACTTGTGCGACAGGGCGCCTGCCTGGTCGGTAACCCCGCCAGCGGAGTAGATGCTCTCGACGAATACGATGCTGAGGATGGCGAGGGTGGCTGGCATGACGGCCACAATCCAGGTCCAGGCGGCAAGAAAGCCAAAGACGTCGCCATATATGTGCTGCAGGAAGGGTTGAACACCGCCTATCTACATCGTCAGCGCCGTCATACCATACATAGATTCGACAACAGGGCTGAGCTCGCCTTCACCAGGGATCGCGGTGCCCAGCTCGGCCATGGTACTTGCACCAGTCCATGCCAGGACGCCACCAACAAGCCATACTACCAGCGCAGCACCGGGCGACGGAACATTCGTGTCGATGGAACCCGGAGAGGTAAATACGCCGCTACCAATGACGATGCTGATGACAATGGCAAACACCTCAAGGGCGCCGAGATTCTTGGAAAAGGTACCAGCCCCGCGCTCCTCGGCGATGAGCACAGGAGGTTCGGGCCCATCGGTGCCGCCGTACTCATGATGGGGGTCTGCCAAGAGGGGCCGTTCCGCAGCGTCTTCGGATTGATTGTTGGACGGCATCTTCCCGTTTTCGTATGGTTGCCAGCGAGGGACCGTTGCCAATTGGATGAGGAGGTCCGGAGAGATGTCGAGAGTAAGGGACAAGGAGCTCGGGAGCTTGAAGCTTGGAGCTGGAGCTTGTAGTCACCCGACGAATCAGGCATAGCGTCTTTCGTGAAGTGAGCTCATCATTGAGCTGTACATGCCTTTATGAGGGTGGCCCGAGCGCTGGTCTGGAACCCCGGGGTCCGCTTCTACCATCCACCCGATGTACCCACCGCTTTGGAATGAAGAGGCCAACGTTTGGTGCACACGGTGCCTTACCTAAGCAGATGCGAACGGCGTCTCCGCACCGAGAGCTTGCCTGCCGCTGTCAGGTGTCAAATCGAATCCGCCGGAGTGAGTGCCGCCGGACCAGATCCCGTCGGAGTAACGTCCGTCGGAGTAACGTCCGTCGAAGTGGACTCCGGGATCATCATACATACGTTTCATGGCTTCAAGGAGGTGGTGGGTGCTGTCAAGGTTTTGAGGGCGTTGAATTATCATAGCCTAAGTTCACGTGTATTAGTTCACGTGTATCAAGAGTATGATGTTGCTTCGCGCACATGATTGCCTTGGCGTAAGAGGGTCAAGGCTGTGAAGAGGCCAGACACGAAGTACTAGGCGATTGACTCTCTCATACGTTTGAGACTCGCTATGTGTTTCAAGATTCAAATTAGGCTGCTAGCAACGAAGATCGTTGAGCAAGTACTCAAGCGCTCTAGATGAGAAGTATGCTTGATTAACATTGTCGTACGCATCATGCTGCTCCCCGAGATTCTGCAGCGTACCATTGAGGCCCTCGACTATGGAGCCCACAGCACCGTACACATGAGGCTCGATTCTAGCGAGCGAAAGTACTGACTGAATAGTTACTGAGGCACTCTCCTTGGGCAGTTGTGAGAGAGGCAGCTGGCGGCCAAGCGAACCCAGAGCAGTGGCCATGCGTACTTGTCTGTCAGACCATCGAAGGGCTGACTGAGTAGCAGGCTTAAGATAACTAGCAACTGAAGATGATGCGCTATCGTACGGGACGGATGACGCAAGTTGCTTCAGTCGAAAAAAGACAACAAAGTCGCCAGTAGATGTAGACAGCGGCGCCCAGAGCAGCCCGAATATGGTACGAGCACTTGTAGCGATCCCCACATCAGGCAATTCAGCCGGTACGTCTGTCGACATGATGACGGATTCACTTCGGTATGGTTGAATGCACCGCACAATTGCCGTTGCCTCGTGGTACAACTCCTTGCTAGGCTCTCCAAGTCTGCCAAGCTCTCCTCTAGTAGACATCAATGCAAAATCGGCACCAAAGAGGCGCAAGAGGTCCTGCGACACTGCGGTGTTCTTCGCGGAATTTTGAATTGACGAGCGCTGGGTTTGCAACGATTCAACATGACCCAGCATAGAAGCGTATGACAATCTCTCGATCGCAACGCCAGATGTACTGCCAATGAACTCGCACATTTGGCGTCTGGAAATGGGTATTCGTGTTCCCTCAGGACTATATCCATAGCAGACTACCAACCCCCACCGCTTTCCAAAGGTGTTGATTGGAATGGTCAAGAAGGAGCGAGCTTTAGAGTCCTCGGATGCGAGCTCTTCAAAGAAGGTTGGCGAAGCTCTGCTGAGGTAGGATTGGTCCAGATGGATAGATTCATCTTGATGGGACTCCGCGTTCTTGTAGACGAGTCTTGCAGGTTGCGCATCGCGATCGTGTAAAATCCTTAGCTGACTCGGGAAAGGCGGTTGATGGCTGACGTTGTCGGCGCGGCGGGGCCTCGTGAAATGTATGCATCGCTGTGAGCCCCGCGATTCCCTGTCGGAGGTGTCGAGTATCGTTATGGCCATGAACTCGTCGATGCGGTATAGTACGACTCTGTCGAAACCTGTGACCTCTTCTACTGTAGCCACAATGGTGTCGGGAACGGCCGCTAGACCTGCTATGGCGGCGAAGGATGCCTGGATCTCTGACATGATTCCAATCGCCTGCATTGTGCTCAACTCCACGCCTTCTTTTCCGACTCTCCTAGACATTCGGGGGGTCTTCGTCACAATGTCGCCCGTGGAACTTCGAGGGCCCATTTGGGGGGCAGAGCCATCCTCGTGTGGCTCAAATTCGCAAATGATCGTTTCGGGACCTGGGGGGTTCCTGGTAAGGTGCATGGAGCACCAAAATCGTGTAGCTTTGTCGCTTTTCTTGGGAAGAATCGACAAACTGAAAACGGCACGGCCACCTGCAGCTCCTACATCGAATTTATCTTCTCTGAGCAACCCAAGCCGAGCCATCAAGGTTCCCACATCCGCTCGCTCCAAGATGCTGCCAAAGTCGAACAAGTCGAACAAGTCGTTCGGCGAATAACCCGTGAATGTAGCCGAGTTGTCGCTTGCGCAGTCGACCACGAGACGGCTGACATTGTCCTCGGTCGCTGTGAGCACAACCAAGAAGCCGAAGCTTTGTATAGCAATGGCCGCGGGCTCGGACAGATTATCAGGATTTTGGTGTAATTGGACATCGTCTTCGATTGGGGGTGCAGGCTGAGCCATAGCCGCCCCGAACGACTAGACTGTGCCGTACCTCTAGCTTATCCGCCACATATGATGTCGATGGACTGCGTGTAAATGAATGCTGGACTGCAAGATAGCGACAGAGAGTAAGAGCGACGATGGCAAAGAGCAGAAGGTCTGCGCGTGGTATGTTCGCTTGGTTGTGCCTGCATCGGTGTAGTCAGGCGTGCGATAATACCTAATAAGTACATGTGAGCACTGACAGATGTTGATGCTTCGTGAAGATTATCACTCAACATTAGCGACCGTTCTGGACAAGGACCGTGGCAAAATCTTCCTTCCTTCTGCCCACGGGAATAAGTCGAGTCATGAGCGCTGGCCCGTTTCTAGCAGATGCGCTTGGCGCCGTTCAAAGCGTTATTCGTGAGGAACGAAGAGGTCGAAAGAACTGATAAAAAGCGAGTGGCGGATCTCAACACACATCGAAGCCGATGTACAAACTTTTGCCTTCGACATGTCAATCGAACTTGAATAGAGTCGAATCGAGAGAAGTTCGCCGCCCGCACGTGACCGTATCTCTTTCGGAAAATGTACGTAGCCTGACGGTCTTACTCCTGCGCCTGGCGCCTTCCCAGTTCCCGTCCCGCCTTCCCCCCGTTGTTCTTCGCGACTGCCCGCCCAGAATGGTCCAAAATGACCGGACGATTAGCGGTTTCTGACGTCACTGCTCATTTTTCTGGTTTTTGGACCCCGAAAGCCCGTTTATTTCTAAATTACCTAATGGCCGTTTTTGGGATGAAAGAAACTGTGGAATGGATTCGTCGAAATCCCGTTTAATATAGTGGAACGGCACAAGCTGGACTGCAACAATGGGGCGGGTTCATACAATCCGGGACAAGGCGGATCACCACCATCACACCAGACCGTTCAAGAATCATCATCATCATCATCATGGGTATCAAGGGAATAAATAAAAAGGTGCTGTAACGCAGAACTCCCGTCGATGGCGCTCAGCGTATACTCCTAGAACGCCTCGCTTAATTGTCATGAACACAATGCTCCCTTACGCCGCCCACTGTCATGTTTGCCTCACCACAATCTCACCGCTAAATGTGTCTTTCCATTGTCTCTTGGTTTTTGGACATGCACTGGAAGCGTTTTTGCGTAGATAATGCGCATATAACAGTCCACATACATTACAGAGCGTCCACCGACCGTCGGGTCCGTACCTCCGTTGGGGCGTACTCGTTGCCTGACAGGAGTGGCAGCAAAGGGAGTCGTCCACGACACGTTTCTGTTATCATGATGATTTAGTTCAAGGGATCTTGTTGCCGGCTGGAAAGGATTGATCGAGGAAAGGGAAAGGCATACCACTTTTGAAGTACGATCAAACGCCGCCACATTGGAATACCGCCTTTTCTTGGTTGCCTTGGGGCTCACAGTTTGTTGCCGCTCTGCATCTGCGGTGCTTCTGTAGGACAGCAGCGCCAGGTCATCCAGGTTGCTTGCGATGACTTCTGATAAACTTTGCGCAGCTAGTATTCTTGAACTGCGGCTCGCCAACTCTGTAGAGGGATCACTGCACTCGCAATCGCCTTTCGAACAGGTGCCATCGACTAGGCCCTGGAGATTTTGGAGCAACTGTCTCGCATCTTTGTGTATCTGGGACCCTCCGTATTAGTAGCCACTTGCACCGATCGAGACCGATAAGGATGAAACCGACATCATCAACAAATTCAACTCACCCTCTGTATCATTTCCGTTGCCTTGATCTGATCAAAGGACGTTGGTGGCGGCGGCGTGTGGGCATCGCGGGCATCGTGGGCAGCAGCGTCGTCCGGCGCTGCATCGGACGCGAGTGCATTCGCCGCCGCCTCCCCCTCCGCTGGTATCTGCAACCCGAGCTTGGGCCGTTTGTGGATCAGCTGCGCATCAGTTTTGATGGAAACCATGGAAAAGTCGATGGGATTTGGATGGGAATGTCGATGTACTGGGGATCGAAGTTTTGAGGATCGAGATTCCAGATTTGCGATCAAAAGAATCGCGGAATTCGCAAAGGTCGGAAAACTGCATGGGGAAGGGATGGCAAAAAGAGCGACAGGATCGGGAGTTTGGGTGAGGGATCGGATGTGCTGATGCAGTACGGTTTTATCGAAATTCGAATCCCTGGGGGCGGGTTCGAGAAAGCGCAGTATCTCCTACCGTAATACCACAGGCCACAGCTATGACGTACCGTTTTTAGGACCCTGCTTGAATGGGAGACTGACAAATTAGCGTGCAGGCCATCCGTATGTATCCGCAATTCCGTACGGGCAGGCACTGCAGCTTTTCCCCTCTCTCCAACAAATTAACAACCTGAAAAGGGCTAGAAGGGGTCCAAGGGTGCAAAAACCGGGCTGTCTCAAGCAATCAGGGTCTTTAGGCAGTAAGGTACGTACTTGATGTGCCTAACTGTCTAGCGTACCGCGGCTAGCACACGTCCGTCCACGTTGGATCGTCCGACAATGCACAATCATCCTTCTGTTCATGCACAATCTGACAATGCTATACAGAGGATCGATCCGGCGACGCCGCCCCAACAAATTCCCAGCAACAATTCAAGATAAAAGACCAGAGACTTTCCACACGGTTCTACATCTTGTATTGGAAGCATCAGACTACCTCACAGTACTTCAAACCTCTCTCATTCTCGACAATGAGCCCCAGCGGCGCAGAGTCTGGTCAAGTATTGCCAACTCACGACACACACAGTGTTGAATCGGTGCAATCCTCAAGTGCCATGAAATGTCTTCAGTAAAGGCGCCATGGATACCACCTGTTGCTGCAAGTACTCGGCGAGTAGCCTCTCTCAAAGAGCTCCGGCAGTTTACACTGTCGGCCTGCAGATGGACTCATCCGTCGGGTCTCCAAAGTCAGGCGCAGAGACTTGCAAGGGACTGACTTCCTAGAGACTGGAAAAACCGCACACAAGTCTAGGCCCAGGCCTAGGCCGTCTTCCGTTATCCTCCTTCCACAATGGCGACAGGCTTAGAAAAGCCAATAGGAAGTCTCTCCAGGGCCAGATTACGGTGTCCGATTGGCGGAATTCTCTCCGACTCGGTGTTCAATCTCTTCCATCCGCCCTTTTTGCCTCAGTTTTTCTGACACCAGAGCTGGTCCCTGGATCCCCCCTCTGTGCTGTTGCGTCACTGGGGGTCCAGGCCCTATTGTCAGTAGCGAAAACGGAGCTCTTAAGAGCCTTAGTGCGGGCAAAGACTTCCTGGCTGGGGCTGGCAATGTCGTGTTACTCCTCACTTCGTGACACAGTGGGCAACGTGTCAGCCAAAGGCAGGACTTTGCGACATGGTGCCCCGTGACACCTTGTATTAGCATATGAAGTTTGTCACACTGGACGGACCACGCTTTTCTGGGCCACAAATTAGGTGGGTGATACGGTGAGCACAGAGAAAGAATGGGGGAGAAGAGGGGGTGGAAAGCTTTGCCCTGTCCACTCTCCTTTGCCCACCCTCTAGGCACTCCATCGAATCTGTCGCGATTTGCCACTTTACTTGGACCATGATAATTAGCAATAGACGCAAGTAGTGTTGCAGGAGAAAGTCTCTATGCTTGGTATAGCGGTAGAAGTAGGATAAGTGGGATGGAAAGAATGAGGGGGAAGAGCGCTTTGTTTTAATTTGGGTTGCGCTTTCTCACTCACCCTTTTCACAACCCCTCCTGCGTAGCACAGTGGTCACAGCTTCGTACTCGGCGCATCGCTCGCCTTGGAATGATCACGACGACCAAGCCCAAGAAGAGAGCTTTGAGCAATCTCTTCCTTTACTTGCCTGCATGTACCATCATACAGCAAACGAAGATGATTATCGAGTATTGCTGCCATGACGACTCGGTTTAAGCAGATTTCTGCTCTACTAACAGTCTAGAATGTTCAATTGACTTAGTTCTAGAATGAGCTCGTCTTTTGGTGGGCTTGAGCATCCAAGTTTGCAAGGGACGATTGACATCGTGACACATCTTTACCTGTGAGTCGTGGGACCACACGGGCCAATGTCAAAGCAACTTAGATCTTAAAACAGATCACATGTTTTCGTACTGAAGAAGAAAGAGTAACATTGAAGTGATACCTTGCAGGCTTATCGGCAGACGCTTGAGTTCGAGTTGTGTCGAACACCACACCTTGCGATCCTTTCCGTCACCAACAAAACGGAAGGGAAGTCAGTGCTTCGTAGGCACCAAGACTATGGACAGGAAAACCAGATGAGAAAGTACCCAAGCATGGAACCATTCTCTCCTGATTAACGTAGGAAGATATTCCTCTCAGTATTTTCAATCCCATGAAAAGGTATGACGAGAAGGATTATCTATTGCTTTAGTCATTGAACATAAAAGGGCTCAGTGAGATTTCAAGATCTATTATCTGACCAGGAACATCAAGAAGAACACAAGTAGGTTTGTCGAGGTAGACAGATTTGCCTGTTTGCAGAGTGCAACACGTGTTGAACATTACGATGTATCCGTGGGGCTCTCCTGAAGGGCGCTCTACAGAACATCACCTACCGGCAGAAGTTGGTAAAGGGGTTATTACAGTTCCAGGAGCGCATAAAGAAGTAATAGTTGTGCGTTGGAGGCCTTGAACAGCATTTGGAGATGGCAGGCAGGCTGACAGCATGAGCAGAGTTTTCATCAGGGGAGGCACGCTGAATTGAGGTCCTCAATGAGTTTGTCCTCAGGGCTCAACCTACCGTTCGAGAGGCACGGGAGGAACGTCTTGAATTTGCTGGCGTCAGAGATACGGATAGCAGCAATGACAAAAGTAGCAACATACCATTGAGCCTTGAGGGGGGCAATATCCGTATCACGCTACCCCGTATGCTTCACCACATTGCCTCGTACACACGCTGGGCGAACCTCTGTTGGCGTCGAAATTCCTATCACACGGGCAACCTATCGGGGAACAACCGTGAGAGTAACGTTTCGTGACGACGGACCCCCGTCCGTTGAACAATCTTATGGCTAGGAAGGGTATCCGTACAGAAGGATAGACAACCAAACTCCAATTCCAAACTCCCCAGCCAAAGCCCAGACACCATGGCCCCTGGCCCTCGGCTACCCAAAATAACCCAATGACCAAAACCTCCATTCTTGCAGTCCCGTAACTCTAGTAAGCATCGATGAACGCCAATCCGAATCGAACAAAATTGGTATCATGAGGTAAATTGTGAGCGCAACAGAGAGTATTCGTACCCTAATCGCAGCAATTGTGGTAAAAACAAGTGATGAGAAGTGGTGGAAATAGCCCCAGCGCAGCCTCAGGATGAAAAGGACATTGAGGAAGACGCCGAGACACGGTTGCTGTGCCTGAGCCTTTGCTTCCGCTGCCTCATGGCATGAATCAGGCCGCAGACATTGCAGAGAGTGCGCGGCCCCGCGGGTCCGCTACGCCACTGCGGTGTACAGGTGGTGTGGCAGTTGTGGCAGACGGAGGGATCGGGCATGCTCTGTAACTGTTGTTCATTGTGAGCTACTGTTCATTGTAGCCCCCCTGGCAGTGCTTCCATTGTAACAAGGGGTAGAAGACGAATGGCATGAGATGTAAACAAGAAATAGACATCATCTGCCCGGGGAGAGAAATGAGAAACATGAGACGAGGTCTGCGGCAACTTACTTCATTTGAGTGATGGTTCACGGCAGCAGCAGCAGCGTGCTCAAGTTGCCCGTGTTGCTTGCGGCGGATCTTGCGCAAGTGGTTGGGGCGTTTCAGTCGCACTGCTGTCTCTCTGGACTTCTGCGAGATGGCGACCAACTCCGCCATATCTCCGGTAATGTGCTGGGAAATCTTCTGCGCGTGTAGCAGCTTTGGGTTGTTAAGCAGGACTCCGGTCAACAGGCGGCCGCCATCAAGCGTGGGTGCTCTGCTATACCGGAGCAAGCCCTGGATATTGCGAAGCAGGTTGTTCGCATCGCCATGGACCTGTGTAAGTCAAAGAGAGGCTTTGTCAGCACAGTATGAACGTGTTTTGGGCAAATCGCATTCTGAAAATCGCATTCTGAAAATCGCATTTTTGGCAATCGCATCGGGTGGGCAGAAACGCACCCTCTGAATGGTTTCGCTGGCCTTGAGATGGTTCAGGGACATGGCCGCCAGTGGTTCGTTGGCGTTGCTGCACTCATTCTCGCTAGGACGGCGTCGCCAAGTCACGGCCGGCACGGGCGTGACAAGATCTGCCGGGGTCCGGGCCATTGAAATCTGGGAGATGGAATTTTGAACGGACTCGGCCGGTTTGGGAAACGGACTGGAATCCATTGAAAGTCGAACGGACCAATCGTCGTGAACGTCAGAGCGGGGCTGATGCCAGTTTTGGGAATGGGAAGAAAGTCTGTTAGTGATGTCGATGGGTGGAGGAGGCAGAATGGTGTAGAGATCGAGAATCATGAGAGGGATCGAAATTGAGGGGATGGGGCCTTCTTCGTTTATAGAGGAAAATCGAGCGTTGAAAAGAGGGGAAAGCACGGGACCGCCCAACACTCCGTTTTACACTTTGGTTTACGCTTACGGTTCCACGCCCTCTCCAACGTTGCAGTCAAATCCCTAGTTTTGTGAAGTAAAACGGTGGGAAAGCTACCAAACTCATTAACACGGCATGCATGGTTTAGACGGAAGGTTTTATGGGGCTGAATTGTGGTGAAGCTGAAGAATTGATTGGACGATGTTCGGACCCATGCAGAACGTAGCAGCTGCAAGGGCACAATATTTGATCCAAAACGGACATTTCCGTATCCGTAACTTGCATGTTGCCATTTTGGAGACATGGTAAACGTAGAGTTTTCGATCCGTCGCCAGAGAACTCAATGTGCATCTATCGCCACCGGCTGAGTATCACAGAGGATGGGAATTTGCATCGCTTTTCCACTTCTCGATCTGCGGTCAATTTCGATGGCGAATAATTATTTGGCAACGCGTACAGTCAACCTCGTTCCCAAAGACCAGGGCGAGGCAGTGATATCCGTCCCGGTGCCATGTCTCTGCAGCCCCGGGTGGCGGTTATATGGAGGGATTCCGTAATTGGACTGTACGAAGTAGAGAATAGTGGCCAAATTTGAAGCCTTTCCTTAGGCTCTAATGTTCAGGGAATGCCTAGCCACTTTCCCAGACGACTGTCCAAAGTGTTGAACGTGTCTTTTCTCCCGTCGGCCTGCTTGTGGCCTCCAATAATGCCAGAGTAAGGCGGCGCCTTTCGAGGTAAGGCATCCCGTCTTGCTGTGCTGCGTCTGGATCAACTGGGCGACAGAACCAGCCACTTCCAAGGCCATCGGGGAGTAGGAGAAGTTGATGTTCCGCATGAATGAAGACCTGAAGTCCAGTTTGCACCGTTGCCCACGGGGGAGCTGATGGCCAGGCGCGCAGTTCGTAGCAAATCCCCAGTAATTGACGAGAGACACGATGTGTTTGGATCACGTGAGAGGCTCACGATTTCAGGAGGTAGGAACGTCAGGCATAGCATCAGGGAAAGACCAGAGATGTCCAGTCCCTCCTCCCGGCCTCGTCGAAGGTTCCCGCCAGGTACAATTATGGAAGTAGCAGTTCTGTCGACATCCCTTCCTTTCTATCTTGCATTCGTCGCTGACGCGTTCCTTCCTTCCTCTACAGGTCTTCCATCTACCCCTATTTCGAGTCGTCGACCTTAACAAACCTCTCCCCCGATAAATCCTTGCTTGTGAACGACATCGAGTCAATATCATACCATACTGCCCATTGGATTCAACATTTGATAACGATGCCTCTCTTTGCCCTATCCCATCTTGCCAGTGTCGAGTCTGAACGAATGACATGAAGGGTAGTGGAATCAACACAAAGTCCTGTCCATACTGGCAACCGGCGGTGCATATACTGCAAGGAACCCACACTCGCGCAACACTGCAACGAGTGTCAATCCAACTGGTTTTGCAGCACCAGGTGTCAGAGGACAAAAGCCCACAATATGGATGCTGCCAACTACATGGCCCTTGGCCCCGTGCAGAACAAACGACTGAATACCCACCGTTACCTCGCCGAGTCCCTCAGAGCCGGTACCTGCGAGCCTCCCACTGATGCGCAAACACGAGAAGACTTCGGGTTCGATCTTTGCCAATATAGCAATAAACAAGAGGAACGCCTCCTTTGGGCGCCATAAAAGTGCCTTGGCTGTCTCTTCGACCTCGACAGCGTCGTTATCTAGGGATGGATGATTGCCAGGGGCAAGTCACTACTCGCCGGGATGATCAAGCAGTATTTTGCCGAGGTTCACCTTTTGACGAAAGATGTATACATCTGGTGGTTTCGCCATAACATCTGGGTCATCATACCTGAGGAAAGCAGAATAGGATATGCCATGGCAGTCCATACCGATCTCGTCCGGGAGTGCGCCAAAATGTCGCGGGTCTTCTGTCAGATCATGAATGGCTGGGACAGAGAGCGAGAAAGTTGGTGGACCGGGCACACCATTGACTATATGGCAGCTCGCGTACGTGAAGCTATCCGTCCGGTGGAAGAAGAGCATCAAGCGATGGACGATGCCTCGAGCGGCACCTTAATTGTCGATCATACAGGAAGCGACTCCTCAAATAACGACGACATCCCAGGAAACGATCCCTCGAGTGATGACGCTGCGTTACGATAACGCAAATGCCATCAGTCTCAACGAAATACCTATGCAAGAGATCTATCAGAAGCACCCAAGCCTGAAGTGACAAGAGATATCGGCATGCTTACTATGAGGGACAGGCCTCAAGTAATTAGGAATAGCAACAGGTGTTAGAAAGGAAGAGCTTTCCCGTAAAGATACAGTTCCCCATGCGGAGGTTTCGTGCATGTTTTCCAAAGTCAACATTAGGCAGCTCTCCAAAGAGAAGACGCCAACAAAGGTATGCCAAAGAGGCTCGATAATCTACGCCTCTCGTTTCTGATTACATCTGCAGACTTCCCGCGACCAATTCTCTGGTTTGCTGCCTACGGGGCCATGGTGCTGAATACTGGCGACAAACGGTTTGCTGCATAAACTGCCATGCCTTCAATCTATCCGTTTGCTAGAAAAAGAGCTGAGGCGACAAGAACGGGCCACGGGCCATGGGACTCATGCTGTTCGTTTGACCTCAAAGAACTTCTCAGTCTCTCAACAAGCTTCACTTGAGTGAACTTAAGAACCATTACCTCCAACCCTCCCCTCTCACATGTACTACCTCTTTACTCTCTTCCCACCTACCCATCCCTAACATTCAACTCTCATCGCATCTGCCATCATCACAAAAGCTTCGCACCAGAAAAGGTCATCTCTTTTCTTCGCTCAATATTGGCTTGCTATTTCATTACTAACTATCGAATTGACAGCAAACAACGCCAAATACCAACAACACCATGGCCGAAGTCAACCCCCACCGGTCCACCGCCGAGATCCTGTTCAAGGACGTTGTCGAGAGAAGACTTCCGACAGACCCACAGACCCTCAAGGACTTCTTCTTCGACCGCTGTATCACCACCAAGGGCCAGGAGAAGCTCCTCTCCGTCTATGACCTCCTCATGGAAGGCAGGGACCCGGCTATTCCCCCCGCTCAGCTCCAGGCCTGGGCCGCTGAGGGCGACCACGAGCCCGGCAAGTACATCGGCACCGTCTTCTCCAAACTCAACCAGAACAAAATCTCAGCCGGAATCGTCACCTAGTTCGACTACAACCAGTACATCTGGAACCCCAAGGACGTCGACGCGGGGCTCGCCGCCCACGCCGAAGAGATCATGGACGCGCTCGCCGGTCCCGCTGACGATGATGGATATATGGCTCGCATCCCTGTCTTTATGGAGGGTCAGACTCGTCTTCGCCACAAGAAGGAGGCGCTTGAGGCCAAGGGCGAGTATGTCCGCACCGTCCGCGGCACGCGCTTTGGCTCTGTGCCCAACGTGGACCCGAATGGACCCTCCGCGGCTGGCCATACCATCTTCTGCCCCGATGGCTTCAAAGGCGTGCCCTTTAGCGAGATCGCCCGTGCGATGCAGGGTATGGCCGGTGTGGTAAGTGTTTTTTCCCTGCCGACTTTTGCGAATCTGTTGCTGACGCATATGTGCTTCACAGAAAGTCCACCTCTTCCCCCGCAAGTAAGCCGAAACGACAGAAGGATCTGGTTGATATGTCGCCAATTGAGACGGAAACATGGGCTTACAATGATTTTCGGGTAATTGCGAATCGGGATTTGGACCCAGCCTTAGCAGAGAAGCTTGGAGGAAGTTTAGCTAGTCTTTGAGAGTTGCCCCGCGACAACGACTCAACAATACCATTCAGTCACAACAGTCCTTGTTCCCCCGGTGGCCTTTTGCTAGATAGTGATTGCGTGACTTGGGCCACCAAAGCCAGCGGCGTTTGTTCTAACGAAGAACGGAGTAGCTATTCTAACTGACAATGAACAGATTAAGATCTTGCATGGAGCAAGGCTTGAAGGCGTTTGCTGCTCCAAAGAAAGCTTCGGCGTCATGATTCTAAATAAGTAGTGCATCTCATCCGCAATTGAGTAAACACCACCATCCAGTACAAGCACACGCGACTGCGCATTGATACCCAATAACAGTTTGATCCTAGCACTGCATCAGACCCAACGACATCTTGAAACCAAATAACACCAAAAACATCTCGTAAAAAAACATACACCATGGAAAACGAGGAGAATCAGACCTTCTCCAACGAGCAGCAAGTCAAGCCCACGCCCAGCTTCCTCCAAAGAGCAATGACGCTGACAGACCTCCCGCAGACTCCCCAAGACTTGCCCGCCATGCAGACCTGGTTCTTCACCCGCTGCCAGACCCACGACCAAGCCTTCAACCTCCTCCGCATCTATCAGACCCTCCTCATCTACCTCGACTTCACCTCGCGCGAGATCGAGGGCTGGCTGGCGCAGGGCCATCTCGGCCGCAACATCGTGATGCACTTTGAGAACAACCTGGACAAGGTACCCGAGACCCGGATGACGTGGTTGATGGCGCACATATGGATCTTTGGCCTCGAGCCTGGTGCCACCCTCCGGGGAGATGTGCCCGTTTTCAAGTTCTTGGACGAGGATAGGGAGTTTCTGGGGCAGTTTGACACCCCTGCGGAGTGGGCTGGGATGCTTACCCTTGAGATTGAGTCTGCGATGGAGTGGGAGCTCGAGATTGCTAGGTCGTTAGCGCGTGTACGGGCTGCGACGGAGCCGAAGGGCTTTTTGGAGAAGTGGTTGTTGGGTCCGGGGGAGGAGGAGCCGTCTTTGACGTGTGAGCGGCGTCTTGAGCCTGATAATTGGAGGGAGTTGTACTCGAGCTGGAAATGGCGGCAGAAGATTGCGGAGATGTGGTATCAGTCGCCGCGGATGGATTGGATGAAGAGATGAAAATGGTAGAGCAAGGCTAGATGTTTTAATTCGATTCTATAGGCCTGCTTGACAAATTGATAGCGCGATGACTCCACCAATACGCCTCTACTTATAGCTACGCTCCGCTTGTTGCCCAACATCGCGGAGCGGAAATGATCCTGGATGCAGAGCAGGCGGATATGAGCGGTTTAATCCTAACCGTGGTATGAGGATTGCGCTCTTGTAGTGACGGTGTATTGAGTGGTTGTTTGGCACCGAGATCGGTCGCCCGCAAGAGAGTGTTTGATGGAGGGGCAAGGAGGGGCGTCGAGCACAGTGCGTAGGACGTGGCGGGGGTCGATGCTGTGGGCGAGTGAGGCTGACGCCGAACCTCGCGAGGCGCTTAAATTCATTTGATGATGTTGACTCAAATAGCTCGTAAAATTTACGAGCTTTGTTCCGAAACTTGTGGTATCTAGATGACTTGACGACTAAGTTGATGGGGAGAGGCGAAGGAGGGAAGTGGATGGTGGGTGCTTATGTAAGTGAAGCTGCCAACGTCAACCGCAGGAAGGAGCCGATCTCAACTGCCTTCCTCAAGACTGACATCCGGGGGAAAGACAGGGAAGAAAGGAACGAGAGTTCTCCGGGTACCTTCCTTTGGGCATTCGGTATTTTGCGTCACGAGCATCGTCATCACGTCAAATATCGCGAAAGGGGATAAATTTCAAGCCAGTGTCATCTTTATTAATAGCATCTCAATGTCTATGAGTGCTGTACTATCAAGGCGACCAATTCTCTTTCTCCAAGCACAACTGTATGGCAAGACCTGCCGCATCCAAACCCAGCCATTACACTCCTGTTTCCAAGCTCAATACGCCATATCGAAGCAAGCAGTCGAGGGTATCGTCGAGGGAGACGTGATGATGGTGTAGGGTTCGTTCGACTAGGTAGCAATAGGCACTGTCATGTCTCGAGGTCAGCAACGATCTGATTCCTGGGAAGGGCTTAATACTCACATCTATGTAGAACTCATCATGCTAATATCGAGCACTTTCCTTATCATATCGAGAGAATAATCTTGCCACTCTCGTCGAGCATTCAGGAGTACCAATCAAAGTCGTCACCAGGGCGCTTGCGAGCGTCATAGTACTCCTTCAACTCCTTCGCAGCGCGCGCAGCCTTGGCCTCGCTGACGAGGTTCTCGGGGTCCCAGATGTACTGGTTCTCAAGGAACCACTTGTAATCGCCCTGGTAATCCTCCGGATCCAACAGCACCTCAAACTTGGCCTTGATCTCCGCGGCAACATTTTTCAGACCATCCTCGTGGTGAAGCCACTCGTAAAGCTCCTGGGGCTTGACCTCAAAGTCCTCGAGGACGGTGCGGTAAACATTGTAGAGCTTGCTCTGGTCGAGGGTGATGTAGCAGCGCGAGAAGCCGTAGTCGGCCTTGATCTGCGCGTTGGTGGGAATCTTGTCGTTCTGGATGGCGGCGAGGAGGTCGTGGGCTGTGGTGCGCTTGGCGTTCTTGTTGCGCTTCGCGGGGGGCTTGTTCTTCTTGAACGATTTGTTCTTGTTTCCCTTGGGTCGGCCGGGTCCCATGATGGGCTTTTTGCAGGCGGGCTTGGGCTTGCGGGAGGCGGTGGTGGTGGTCTTCTTGGGGACAGCCTTGCGGGCGGCCGGCTTCTTCTTCTCGGAGGAGGGCTTCTCGGGCGAGGGATTTGAGGGCTTTGAGTCTGAGAGTTTCTTTCGGACGGGGCGCTGGGGGGCAGAGTCCTCAGGGGCGGTCTCGGGAATTGTCTCGAGGACGGTCGCGGTTTTGGTCTCCTTGGGGCTCATCTTGGTTAGTCTTTGTTGATACAGAAGAGGTAAGAATAAGTGGTGATGATGCTGAAAGTTGGCAAGGGAAGCTGCCACAAGAAGAATGTGAAGAAAAAGGACGCAAAGGAAATGGATTGACAGAAGGGAATTATTTGGGAAGGGTATAAAATACCTCTTTGTGGGCGCGGACGGGAATGCGATACTCACCTCAGATGAATTGATCCGGTTGAGTATCCGGAAGCTTCACCTCAGCTTCAATCGACCGGGCAACTTTTATACACAAGCAGGAATGTGAAGATCAGCCCGGGGTGGGTCCCCACTCCGTGACTTCATGAATGCTCCTCGTCCTTATTGACTATCCTTCAATGCGAATACGGTCCTGGAATACTGTAGAGATGATCGTACCTTAGGTGAAGATGGACAGTGATTCACATAAAAGAATGCCAAAGGGACTAAGCACCCTACCTTATATAAAAACCAGGGCATGCGACTAAGTACTGCCCACGACGTTCAGACTCTGTTCATTGAACCGGCGAACGTGGCCCGGAAAACCCCTCCACTCTGAACATTCAATAACATAAGAGAGCAAGCATTCAACGTGTTATAGGGAGATAGATATTACATACCTACACCGCTCGACCTCATTCTTTGCAAGGGAGATACAAGGCGATGGGATTCTCTTCATGAAATACCGTTCCTAAACTCCTACTCTGAACAAGCAATACCAACTAAAACCCAACCAACCTCACAAGTAACCTACCTCAAAAGCCAACACCTCACTTCTTCAACCCAACCTCACAATCCACCCTCTCAGCATCAAACGCCAAAAACGCAAATTCATAACCCACCTCTCCTCCCCAACAACCACCGCCAATTCTCCCCCCTCACACTCCGCTCATGCTTCTCCGGCAAAAACCGCCTCGCCTGCTCCAGCTCAACCTCCATCGCCCACTCAATCTGCGAAACACTATACCTTGCCCAAACCTGCGGCCACCTCACCTTCAAAAACGCCTTATCGTCCTCGGTGAACTTCGAACACAGGCACATCGTAATTCTGGATCTCGCCGCACCAGACGTGCTTATGCTGCTTCACCCACTTCCTTCGCTCCTTTGAAATCTCGTCCTCGACATAGGCGTTCTCGACCATGAGGTGCGCGATGCGGTAGCCGAGACACTTGTTCGCTTTCCACTTGTAGAGTTCATCGGGCGTGACGTCTGGGTCGAGGATGAGGGTGTTGTAGACGCCCAGCAGGGCTTTGGCGTCCTTGAGGGTGCGGCAGCGCGTAAAGTACCACTCCTTGAGGACGTGGATGTCCTTGGGGTGCTCGGTTGCGGGTAGGCGGTCGTAAAGGAAAACAAGCTCGGCGAGGGTGGAGGTTGTGGTTGTGGTGGTGGTTGGGGTGAGTGTGCTGCTAGTAGTATCCATCTCGTCAGTTTACCCTTTCTTTTTTGCTCAGGCTGTTGGAGGTATTTGAGTCTGTACGGCTTGTCGGAGTTTTGGCTGTGAGACTTGGTGAAGGTAGTCAGTCGTCGGTACCGTGGAAAGTTCTGGCTTATGTATGCATCCCATCTCGGACTAAGTTACAGCACAGGAAACATCGCCATTGTAGCCGTAGACAAACAATGTCGAACACTGAGGGTTAAGTAAGAAAGACCAAAGACAGCTATCAAAGATGTCAAAGAAAACCCATATTGGACCAAGACAAAGTGGATTCCGTGTCTTCAAAGGCCCGAGGAAGAAAGAGGGAGGGCGGCGTCTGGTTGCCCCGAGGGCCATCTATCATGACATTCGTCTATTGCTATGCCCCTAAGGCGCATCAAATCGTGTAGCCAGCGATTCCACCCAGTAAAGTCTAATAACTCGAGCCAGGTCGTTGCAGTGATGCATTCCAACCATTGGGGTATCTCATGTAATATGATGGTTTGACATTCCCACAAAAGATTCTGTTCCTAACCGCCATGGTGGTTCCATCCCAACTCCTTCTAAGCTAGCTTGACCCGCGAACCCCCTCATTTTCACCCGTGGCCCATTTCTCATCATGCTATACCCTTGTTCCCTAGTATTTTACTCAGCTCCTTCAGGCGCACAGGTTTCGTCAAAAATAGATCAATACCGCTCGCGAACGCTTCTTGCTGTGCATCAGCTGATGCCAATCCCGTAAGTGCGATAATCAGACTGCGTGTCAGGCTGCTTTTCGTCTCAAGAGCACGTATTCGTCGCGTCGCCTCAAATCCGTCCATCACAGGCATCGAGATGTCCATTAGAATGCAGTGATACTCGCCCAGTGCTTCACGGAACTCGTCCAACGCTTCTTGCCCGTCTTTTGCGTTCCGATAGTCGTGTCCAAGCCTCTTCATGTACGTCGCCAACATTTTGAGGTTGAGCGGGTTATCGTCCACCAAGAGAAACTTGTGACGATCTCCTCTGGTCTTCTTTGGTCTGTGCGACAATCGTGGGATGTCTTGGCCCTCAGGCGTTGGTCTCTTGGGATGTTCCTCCGGCGTGTCCGGTAGGACGATATCCTCAGGCCTTGGCTCCGTATCTCTCTTCTCCATAGGTTGATCGTCCACGCTCTGCCTTGTTTCGACTTCGGTGTTTGACAACTCCTCCAATTTCTCGGCAATATCATCTTCGGCCGGAAGGTTTGGAAGGGCTTCGGTACTTCCCACCTCCGTAAGTCTGTCTTGTGCTCGCCCAACCGGCGTGTCACCACCCGCATTGGACGCTTCTGGGCTGGCCAACGACAGCATTGTAGGAGTCGGTACCGCCCGCTCTTGTATTTTCGTCCATCTGTTGAAGCTCAGCAAAAGCACTTTGGCAAGCTTTCTTGGACCGATCCTTAGAGAGAAATTGTCAGTTGAAGCATCTCTTTAATTTGGGACGTATAAATTTACGGCTGTGAGATGAACTCAAATATGATGCGATTGCCGGTGAATCGTGCCGAGGTAGCTAGTTGGCGCGCAATAAGCGCGTTCCGGCATATCACCACGACCGGTGTGTTAATGATGCCCCAGCGGCGCTCCATCAAAAGATGCTCTAGTTGCTTTTCTGTAGACAGAACCAAGTCGGGAAGGAGTTGTTGTGAGGGCGGGATGGACTGGTCGATGACTTGCATCTGAAGCCATTCTTTGCAGAGGTTTGCGACCAATGCTCCTTCGCTGGGGGTGTTGCTAGTCAACTCGTCGGGCATGTTGACTCCGTAGTCTTCAGGGAACCCCTGAAGTTTGACTCTTAGACCCATGAGTTCGCTGACAGATGCCTGGAAGGCATTGAAGTTGGCTTCTTCCACGTTGGCTATCGTTGGTGTTTCTGTATTGGCGCACAGCAGGGGAAGTTGAACCCTCACTTTAGTTCCTCGTCCGACCTTGCTCCACACCTGGATAGACCCGCGCAGCTTGTTGACTATCTGCTTGACCAAGCTCAGACCCAGACCGGCTCCGGCAGAAAAAGAATTCTCCTGAGCGAAAGGTGCGAAAAGATCGTGCTGTAAGTAATCCTGACTAATGCCACGTCCGGAATCTACCACGTCGATTTGAATGATGGCCTTTTTAGATGGCGCATCGGTGCGCGGGGCCAGCTGGTTTACAGTGACATTGATGAATCCTTTGTCTGTGTACTTGAGCGAGTTCCCCAGGAGATTCATGATGACTCGCCTCAAAGCTCCTGGCTGTGTATGGAAACCCCAAGAGGTCGCGGGTGAAATGTCGAAAGTGACGGATACGTCGCCGAGGACGACTTGAAAGTCCCCAACTTTGTTGGTTCGCGTCGCCATTTCCTCCATTGCTTGCATACTGTCAAGTCTGCGCAACGCCGTAGTGTCGGCGTGCTCTGTCGGTCTGTTTCCCGCAAGTTGGGCTACAGAGACGCGTTGGTAACTGAAGCCAGCACAGACGCTCTCGACAACCTCCTCAGACAAAACGTCGACTTCGACATTTGAGGTGATGCTCATCATGCCAGCTTCGATGGTAATTTTCTGACCCCGAGCTCTCAAGCCTCGCTCGCCGAATGCGGTCGAGTTTCTTCGGTGTTTTGGAGACCCGATGAAATTGTTGATCTTGCTCCAGTCCAGGAGGTGGTCAATAGTATCCAACAACGTGCGGCCACAATTTTCTATTGAGACCAGCGTCTCTCCCTGGAAAGCGTCCATAGTGGTATCGTGCAGCAGCTCCGCGCCAAGGATTATACCATGGAGCGGCGACCGTAGCTCGTGAGAGAGTGAGCTTAACAGGTCCGTCTTCGCCTTGTCCACAAGCATCGAGTTGACATGGTCGATCTCTGACATGATAACTGAGGCAAAGGCGCGTAGATAGCTGAGCTCGCCTTCGATGGTAAGGACTCGAGTCGGAGTCTTGGTGCAGACGAATCCGCCTGCGTACCAGCGTTGCTTTTGTGCGTCCCACAAAGGTATGACAGCCATGCTTCGTGTTCCCGAAAATAGACTGCTGAGTGTTTTCGCTTCATTTCGTCTCGAGTAAGCTTGCTTCCGTTTCTTGTTTCGTTGCCGTTCGTCCTCGGCTGGGGTCTTTGCGACGTCTGTTATCTCCTGGAGTGGTGTTTCTGGCTGTGTAGCGTGATCGTCGCCAGAATGGTCACTAGATTGAATAGAGCCGTTCTCGTCGAAGCTGAAAATTCTGCCTTTCGGATGTCTTCGCAATAGTTTAGTGAGAAACTTTTCGGATATTGAGGTGTGATTTAGAGACGGCATGTCTCCGTCGACGGTTGAGATTGATGAACTCGAGAAGCCGAGAACTGCACAAAGGTTGTCATCCTGGTCGTTGTCGCTGCCCAATACGCTTCCAGTGCCTAAGCCCGGGCTTATTTGCTCGTCACTAGAGGATGAGGACGAGCCACGACCCCTGGAGGACCTCATGTTGGTCGCTCTGGGGCCAGCAAGCCCTCCAAACGAGCCGATACTGGCGTCCACAAAAAGCACGCTCTCGACCTCTATAGCTTCCCGAATAATGTTGGCAGCCTTTGAGAAAATGTGCTGAATATGTGACATGTGCGAGTCGCCGTCTCCCTGATCAACACCTTCTGACCCAGAACAAATGCTTTCCAACGAGGTCGCAGACGCAGATGGCAGTGCCCTCGGGTCTTGGTTTGGGTTAGGATAAGGTCGAGATTCCGTTGTAGGCGAAACCGGCTGATCATCCGGTCCTTGAGCTTTTGGTTGCGGCGCACTCTGCGTCGCAACAACAGACGGGTGAATTTGCTGCGCCTCAAAGGCCTGGAATGCGAGCATTTCTTTGTTGCGTTCGATCTTTTGCTGGTTCTTATTCAGAGCTCCCTCAAATGACGAGTGGTCATTGAACGAGTCAACGTTATTCCTCTCCCTCCATCCCGACACGGTGCTCTTGCCCTCGATGAAGCTGCCGACGCCACGAACCATCCTGTCGGCGCGTCGGTGATCGTCCCTGTTCCGTTTGGCGTCTAAATAGTTCAAAATCACTTTCGAAATATCCTGCATAAATTGATTTTCCACATCATCAAGGCCGTCGCGCGGGGTATCCCCGTAAATACTGAAGACACCAATGTGTATACCGCGCTGAGAACGAATTGGAACTCCAGCATAGAAGCGGCATTGCGGCGTGTTGAGACAAAAACCTCGCTGGGAGGTCCTGGGATCTGCAGAAAGATCTGGAATAACCGTCACTGGCAGCTGATGGGGACCGTCAGGATATTGTTCGTCGAGGTGATCGGAGACTGGGAGGATGAGCTCGCAGATACCGGATGGTCGTGGGATAGCGGTACCGCACAGTAGCAGCTGGTCGATATCCCCGCGCTGGGATTCGGGAGGTTTGGTGTTGGGAGTAAGGGCCAATGACTGCGTAGCTTCAGCAATGACATACTGATACTTGCTGTCGAAGAGGGATATCATCGCCCGGGTCGCATTCAGACGTAGAGCGCCGAGCTCCGCGAAAGATGTAAGTGTCGCATCAGGACATGATCGAAGTTCTGAGGATGGCTGGAGATTATTCGGGTCGTTGTAGACTGTATGTGCGATCAAGGAGCTGTCATATCTGCGGAGACGGTTAGGAACTTCAATACTCAAATAAGCGTAGCCTGCATTGACGAGAAGCCATCGAGACCCATAAAAAAGTAGATTGGGACGCTGACTTGAATGTCTCCCTCTCGCGGCGACCCTCAGAGACGGCCTTGGCCGGTGGAGTATTGACCATGTCCAGGCAGCGTGAAGTTCTATCACGAGAGACCGGTCGCTGTTTTGTCGGCTCTGCTTGGTTGCGCACTTGAGTGTCGAGGCAAGCCTTGATGTCGGCGGGCAATATATTATTTGACCTGTGGTATTTATGTCAACTCGAGCGAAGACTTGCGCGACCGAGAAGGGTTCTGTCCGAAAAATGAATCATGCCGAAAAATTTTGCGACGGATATGCACTTCTCGGCCGCTATTGAGGGAGGCGGGGGGGGGGGGAGGAAGAGCATCGAAATCAACCGGAGATGAGGTTGGAAACACACACACAGTGCCCCTCCCTCTTCCCACAATGGACTGGCTCAATGCGCTCATGGGCGTGCATCCTTGCATCACCAGGCATATCGTGAGTTGCTTGACACAGGCGGGCTGGAGGAGAGAGGCAGTAGTACAGAGGTGTAGGGCACATGTATGGAAGGCAAGGCTGATAGAGGGGTACAGAGGATTGCCAAGGCCAGGAGCAAGGGAACAGTGGAAAAGGTAAAGGGATGGGAACACGCAGAAATACCAAGCTTGGGTGAAGGGACATGAAGATAGGAACACACTCACAAGCAGGCAGACAGCAGTCACCGTAGATGTTTGCTTGTTTGGGAGAAACGTCGCAAATGTCGCAGGTTGTCTAGACCATGGCGGGGTTGGGGGGAGAGGAGTAGCGGAAAGGAATATGGCAAATGAGAGATGGCAAACGTGTAGTTTACGATGGCAACGACGATGCGCTGGACGTTAAAAAAGATGTATCGCACAGGTTGCGCACTCTCTCGGTTGGGGGCTCAGGTCGGATGCCGAAGGGGGCTGGCTTGAGTGATGCGGGAGGTTCGCTTGAGGAAGGGAGGCGAAGAAGCCAGGCGAATACCCAGGGCAAAGCACAAAAAGACTCGCAGATCGATCCCCCGGTTCATGGAAGATGTGAGAAGAGGTTGGCAGGAAGTCAAGTATGGAAACAAGGCAGGCACAAGGACTGAAATTGCTGGGGCCAAGTTCTGGTGGCGATTGACAGGACGCGGGATGGGTGAGGTCAGTACCCAAGGTACCTTAAGTGGACGAGACTGGACGACGGAAGGAGCTGAGTACGGATAGAGTAGGTAGGTAGGTAGGTAGTAGAGGGCAGGCACGCAGAGTGCTCCTGCCAGAACAGCAAGCAGCGCAACATGGGGCGCTAGGTGAGCAGAGAGTGCGGAGGTCCAGAGGTCCAGTCCAAAGTTCGGGAAGATTGAGGTGAGCGATTGACAAGGCCACTGGCCAGGTCCAGACCCATGGTGGGGCATATTCCGTATCAGGGTGCTATTCTGGCTCTATCATTGGCTGAGATGATACAGTGCGTATCATGTCAGAGATACTTACGCGGAACCTTGGCCTCTGGCATCTGGTCCCAATGGAAATTTCAGATGGCCGTACTGGAAATTACCAAAAAGTCGGACCGAGAATGGCATAGTGCCATTCAGCATCTGCCCCAATGCCCTGCATCAACAGTGCAATAGCACAGTGTTTGCTAAGCTGAAGGGCGCCGAAAATGGCTATCCGTGCCATCCTGCTGCTGGCGGGACTTCCTTAGCTAAGCTTGTCGGTATCGAGATTTGAGAAATTCGATGCGCTCTTCACCAAATTGCCACTTTGGCCCGATTTAATGGCGTCACATACGTCACTCCGGAAGTCGGTCCACAGTTGTCCATCGGCCATGGGGGCTATCGTCTCCTCGGTCCTGCTTTTTGTGTTCTTCTTCTTTGTTTTGCCTTTTCACCTTCTTCTCGTCATTTCACGATTGGTCTTATCTTTCCCCCATGGTAGTGGCAGCAGGCCGCATCTGACGTTTTCCAATACCCTACCTTAGGTACCTGTCCCTCTCCTTGCACCACCACTCCCCCTTGTGACACGCTCTGTAGACCTAGGCCTAGACCCTCCGTTTTGTCGTACCTCAGAGGCTAAGTCGGTACATCCTGGCCACATTCGGTCTAGGGGCGGGGTTTGATTTAAAATATCTCTGGAATCCAATCCTCTCTGAGCTAAATACTCAAGTTGTAATTCTGCTCTGCGCTGGAAATGGCTTGATCTGCTAATTCAATGTCACAAGCTGCAAAAAGAACGAGATGCTGGACTTCCTTTCATGCATTTTCGGCGTTATTGTTGTATGCAATACATGCGCATGCGAGAGCATGGTGTGCACATGGGGACTGCTATGCATAGAAAGAAATCCACCGTAACAAACGGAGAGAAAGAGCCAGCCATACATGGCAGGAATGCTAGACTCTGCTCGTGGGCAGATGCTGGGCGGCGGGCTTTGTTCGGTACCACTGGAACTGTATTCCCAAAAGGGCCCCGCGATGCCTGCGCTGGCGATTTGGGCGAGTGCTCGACGGCGCTGTTTCCGATAGTATCTGACTGGATCACGGGCGGAAAAGACCCCGGAGCAGCCAGACTGCAAAAGCACAAAGATCTGCTCGTGGGGTCATCGCGCCGAGTCCACTGCAAGTCTCACATATGTTGCGAGTGCTCCGTACGGCTAGAGCTTCTCCGTGACTCGCACCTTGCAGCGCATAGGCTTACCCAGGCAACGACGACAATGAGAAATAAAAGGCGCAACAATGAACATACTCGCTGATGCTGAAGTGTAGGTACGGAGTACACTCCTGCCACAGGACTCCCAGGACATGCACCGGACGAGGGTCTTTCCAAATATGCAGGGAAAAGGCAGGACCATGGTCTGGACCAAGCCTTCCGTCACGTGCATGTCCCGGTTGCATCGGCCCACCTCTCCAATACAGCCAATCAATAAAGAGACCGGCTGGACCAGGGATAAGCAGCAAGATCAGATCTCTTGAGATCTGAGTGCACAGACCACCATCCAGCCGCTCACCTGCCATTTCTCGAATGCCTCATGGTGGAAGGTGGCCTATCGACCTTATCGCTCTTATCTCTGTTATCGGTTTTCTACCTAATCGCACTGGCTTCCAAGTTCCATTCATTTCGGTGGGTGGCGATTCCCAACAACAACATCACCTCGACAAAACAACAGTTGGACGACACTCAGGACTGTCGGCTTTTCATTTACTATGATCGTTTCCATCAGCCACGGCTCGGATGTATCGCACCTTCCTTGAGTGAACAAGCGGTAGAGGCGACAGCGCAAAGCTACGCTGATGTTGTCCTGCGTCGGCGTTTCATTCGATTGCTGGCCTTTTTTTTTTTTTCGCTTCTTCGCTTCAACTTCGTCTCCGATTCACAACTTGCTCAGCCTTGCTGATACACGTCTGAACGACCACAATTTCCCATGATATCGAGGCCCTTCTCTTGATGTCTTCCGTGTCTAACCATACCGAGGCGGTGCTGTTTGATAGTTGGTGGCGAACGACCGCTCGAATGGTAACGGCTCAGCCTTCTACTGACAACCCCGGGTGGCGTCGAGGACCCGGCTGTTTTCACCTCAGTTCTCTGCCGCAGCGGGAGAGGCTGCGGGTGGAGCATGTCGGCGTCCCGGTGCCGCGTGATCGACATTATCGAAAGCACAGACAGTCGTTGCGATGAAGATCTTGCTGTTGGCAAGCCAGCCCAGGCCACGCACTCCGGGACCGAAGGATGCTGCTGCTGTCCGAACAAGATGATGGACGCCAAGGTCGGCTTGTCAAACTACCGCCATGACCCTTGCCCATGGTCAAACTCGCCATCGAAAAACCTGCATGTCCCGTGGGCGATGCAAGTCTTGGAAGTACTGCAAGTGCAACAAGTGCACGTGAGTCGGCAGGGAATATACGCATTAGGTTCGTGGAGAGCCTAAGTCGTTGTCTTCGTGACGGTGCATGCTTGATCGGCGCTGCGGCACTACCTGCAAGTGTGAAATCATTACTGAAGACTTTCTGTTTGACCATTTTGACTCAACGCCAATGCAGTGTGTTGGCGATGGACGACAATAGCCTCGGTGAAGGAAGATAATAGTCTCGAATGGGACTTGCCGAATATCGTATTCGCTGACTACGTCGGTATAGCATGAGAGCAACGTCAGCGAAGCTGCTGGACCAACCATCGGAGCAACGCGTGGCATACAGCGGCCGCCGTCGTCAAGGGCCACGAGTGCTTCGAAGCGTTTCTGCCTACAACGAGAACGAGAGAGGGAGCAGTCATTTCCGCATCACTCGCCTCAAGAATTTGCGTGACGCCTACAATTCGACAATTGGGTTTTCGCATCACGAGATGCACGTCACGCGTTGGGCCAAAAATAATCGTCCGAAACAGTTTTGGACCCCAGAGTGGCCTTATTCGATACTGAAGGCGAGCAACGGCCCTCAGCCACAGCGGTGATGTCAATCACTCCATTCACCCTCCTTCCCAGAGACAGAGGCAGAAGGGTGGAAGAGGAGAGCAAGAGAGTTCGGATTCGGGCCCGTCGGGTACAAAGCAAGCACTTTTTGTACCCTTTCGATCCACCGCGGGGACTGCATATGCATAGTTCAGACTGCTTGTCATGCATTCGGATGAAGTCCTTCGGCATCTTCCGCGGTGGGGGGCAATTGAGCTCGTCATCCCAAGGGTCTCCGGGGTACAGCGGAAGGGTCCCCGACGGAGAAAGACACGGACGGAGAGTGATCCACATCCGGCCGTTCTTCAGCGGGGCCAGGCCTGGCGGTGCCCATGAGCAAGTCGACCCGTTGCTCAGGAAGCCCGCTTGGCGGAGGAGCGCCGGTCTCGACGTGCAACACGCCGATCACGACGCCAATTGCTGTCGAGGTTTTAGGGTTGGCTCTTAGCACCACGTAAGCCACGCACCCACGGCATCATCCTATTACACCGCTGTCAATCCATATCGCCACGTCTCACCTCCTGCAACGGCTTCGCAATGGCGCGATTCCCGAACCCTCTAACGCGCGGAAGGCGCTGATCAATCATGCCGATCAGCAACGTTCTCAAACTGTAGTCAACTTTCTGACATTCACACTCAGCGCCCTGCTTGAACGAGAAGAATAAGGAAAACACGAAGCACACAATGTCAGTATCCGAAATCAAGCGGCGAATCTTATCTCGGAGAAGGACTGGTCTCTCGATACCTCCAATGACCCCTAATGATGACATGGAGTAGGAGAACCCCTACAGGTCTCACAAATTCTTATGTGATCGACGAATTGTCTGACTTCGGCGAGAACAAGCAACACGAGCTCGACGAAGCTACTCAATTGGTCCTGAGAGGCTTCACTCCATCTCAACGTACCTTTGCTGTTGACATCTCGTAGGACTGTTCCTCCCAACTCAACATCCTCCCGCAGTCCTTCATCCCTTTTCGCGGCATTAGACCCCGCTCCGATCGCGGTTGCATGCATCACAACAGTCGCCAGGGTTGGTGGAAGAGCATGCAATGAGCAATGAGCAGAATCCATTAACTCCCTTCCCGCAGCAAACGGCTTTCAACAGCAATCAAGCATGACCCTGCGGTCTCATGTACGGAATTTCACGCACTCGTTCATTTCCGTGATCATCATCAACATCGTCCGACCATCCCCCAGATATCTCGTCTGGATCCAGCGGACCGAAGACGTGCATGAATATGGATACTCTTCCGCGACTGGTCCTGTGCTCGGGATCCTTTGCGCACCGAACTCATCCCATTTCAAACGACCTAATGAGCGATTGGGGTCGACCGACGGATGCGTGCGCGAGAGCTCGACGACAAGCTGTTTTCCTCCTCGGCTACCTGCACCTTAATCATTCCTCCTCGCCTGTGTCACTCTCCGACTCGGCCTTGTTGTTGTTGTTGACGGTTGCTAGTCGAAGGATTGAGGGGTAATCTTTCCTTCTTCACTTTCCCCTCGCTATCTGACTCCGAGCCTTAATAGAACTCAAACAAGTTGAGACGAAGGCTTATGTACGAGCACAGATGGACCAGTGAATGAGCGTGAGACCAGTGTGGCCATGAGGCAGGGGCCCGTGCCAGCGTCTCTATGGCTTTCTTGTTGGGGTGATCCACCCATCTGGCCTTTCTCGCGCCTTTTCCTCTGTACCAGTCCCTCCCGAAATCTCACCCACACCCCGCGTGCCGGCGGCGCTTTCAGCTGACAAGCATGACACCTCTAGGCATCGTTTCCGCGGGGATTTTGTGACTTTTCTCAGCGTCGGATACCCACTGCTTTATTTTGGACTTAGAGGCGTTCATGATGAGACGATGTAGCGCGCTGCTGTCTCACCCAACGTTCCTGGGTCGTCTCTGTCTCAGTGGCCGCACAGTAGCGGCCTATAACGGTCCAGACCAGCTATTCAGTCCGCTCTATTTTTCACACAATTCGTCTGCCATTCCTCCCGTCGACTGCCCCTTGCTTCATTGCGGTGCGAGGCGAGAAAAGTAAGGGCCATGAGAAGCGATCGGAAAGGGTGTGAGGGGCCAGTCAATTGTGCTGGGTGTGACTGAGGCGCTTTCTGGCGCCCCAGCCAGTCGGTAGCGAGCCTGTGCTGCTGGGCAAACCGCCGATCTCCCGGTGTCGACCATGGCACGGCAAAGCGAGATTGCGGGGAGGGGTTGGCCATGACGAGCGTCGAAAGTCAAATGAGCAAAGTGGCCGGTCGATGGTTTCCTTCTCGAATAGCGCCAGCGCGTAGTGAGCCTACCAGTCGACAAGTCATCGACACAAGCGTCCTCGGCTACCAGGAACTATTGACCGGGCCCGAAATTGAATGGGTGTCGAGATTCGACAGAGGGCAAAAAAGCATCTTGTCGGAACCTGCAAACTCTCTTGACTCACTACAGCAGGGACCTCGCTGCCACAGTCACCGTCTCAACTTATTTGCATCCGGAGCAACTCAGCTGCGAGCGAACCGCAGGGTCAAGGACGATGAAAAAAGTTCAGCTTACCGCCCGATGAACCAACAATCATCGCCAATCAAACGGCTGCGCCGTCATCTCTTTCCCTTACTGGGTTTCTCTTCCGTAGGCGCCTGTTTACTCACGGCAAAACGCGTCGCGATGGATGAGCGTGGTGGGTTAGCTTGGACACCTGCTGCCCAGCTGGCCGGCCCAGAACAGCGCCACCAGTCGACTTAGTCATTCAGCTTGGCTTGATGGCCTGGCGCCTTGCTTGGTCCTTGGGCCGTTGGTTACTGGTGCTTTAGCTTGAGCTACTCTGATACCAGTCTAGACTGAGTAGCCCAGACCATGCGGCACTTCTCTTCGGGTACAGCCCCCCCTCCTCTTCTGAGTCCTCTCCCTATTGCAGCAGAGTCTCTGTATTGGGTTTGGGGGCTGGCTAGCTACACACGCATACGAGCGAACCATTGAGTTCACCCTTGATGCGCATGAATTCGTTAACTCGCCGTGTCTGCGAGTGAAGACTTTGTGAGGACGTTCACCCACCCCCAGCCTCCTTAGGTTATGTGGTGACGATGCAGAGACGCTTGGCACAAGGCTATGCTTGCTCATTTGCCCCTTATTTTCACTTCTTTATGACCGTTAGGTTCGTTAATCACCCCCAATCAGGATTTCTTGGCCGTCCTCACCCTGCAGAGATTGTATGCTGAGTGTAAAGGGATCATGCCGGGCGGTACCGTCAGTGCGGCACGATGGGCGCCACAAGACACACACCCTACCTTCGACCAGTCGGGTATCGAGGTTCAGCTAGCTGACCGACCATTAACATGCTACGTGAAGCTGCGTGACCTTTAGTTCGGTTAGTGGGGGAGCCACACCAGCCCTACATGTGCAAGCGAAAGCAAGTTACCTAGCAGCCTGCCAGCGGCTGCTGTGCCACCTCATCGACCCTCACAGGCACAGAGAGGACGACTGGGGAGGAGGCGCTGATGCATGGACTCACACACGTCTGCTGACGCTAGCACCGCGCAAGCACGGAGAAGCCACCACCTAGATTCGGCCGCGGGATTGTTATTATGGATGATACCCGTACCCGTCTTGGAAGAAAAGGGTTTCCTCGAGGCTTGGAATTGGGCGGGGGGGGGGAGGGGGGTGGCCGAGGTGTGTATTCAGAGACCAACAACAGGGACCCTCAATGTCTCACACCCCTGTGCACGTGGCGTTCGTCTATCTGAGTCTCCGAAGTGGCCACAAGGGACCCAAGAAGGTTCAAGCAACGCAGGGAGAGGGGAGGCAAGTGGTGGGAACACCCATCTCGCCAGACTTCCCAGAGTAGATATATGACCCTCGCCCCATTCGCACCACTTTCCGGACTGAGAGAGGTTCGCCATCACTGATCAAACGAAATCTACGGACAACCGACTACTTCTTACACAGTCCTGCCCGTTCTGGACGAAAATTCCACTTCCACTCTCAGGACGTCCGGTTTCATCGACACTTGCACCATATCACCTCAACACTTATATACGACTACCACCAAGATCTCGGCAATCATGCTGTGTATCCTCCCAGACGAGCTTCTGCTCATCACAGGCGTCACTGGCCACGTTGGCTTCGCCGTTCTCACTCACGCCCTGAAGGCAGGCCACACAGTCCGCTGCGCCGTCCGCTCAGAGGCAAAGGCTGCCTTCATCCGCTCCCGACCCCAGATCCGCGCACTTAACCTACCCCGCGCGAGACTCAACTTCACCATCGTGCCAGATATCACCACCGATGGTGCCTACGACGATGCCATCCGCGGCGTCTCCGCAGTCATTCACGTTGCTTCACCACTTGCGACTGCCGACTCAGTACCTCGCGATCTACACCAGGAGTACTTTATCCAGCCCGCCGTCCGCGGCACCCTCGGTATGCTTGAGGCCGCCAAGCGTGCGGGCACTGTTCGCAGGGTCGTTATTACCAGTTCAGTTGTTGCCCTCACTTCAGTAGACCATCTCGAGGGTCGCGAGCGCAAGGAGGCTGTCCAGCCCACGGAGAGGACCGGCTTCAAGCCTGAGCCGTATGAGAGCGAGTTCGCCGCCTACGCTGCCTCCAAGGTGGCCGCTCTCAAGGGCGCCGAGGCATGGATTGCGAGAGAGAAGCCCCGCTTCGAGGTCATTCACCTGCACCCGTCCTTCGTCATCGGCCGCAACGATATCGCGACCACGGCGAGCGAGGCGATGAAGGGTACCAACGCCGTCATCCTCGCTACCCTCCGTGGCAAGAAGATGGGCTGCAGCTACCCCGGCGCAACGGTCCACGTCGACGACGTCGCGCGCGCACACGTCCAGGCTCTTCTGCCCACTGTCCCGGGTAACAAGAGCTATATCCTCAGCACCAAGTCCCGCTGGAACGACGCGAAGCTCATTGCCAAGCGTAGTTTCCCAGAGGCCGTCGAGAGAAAGCTGATTGTCAGCAGCGGCTCGGTGGGCACGGTCAACATTGACTTTGACGCCTCTGCTTCGGAGGAGGTGTTTGGCTTGAAGCTGCAGGGTTTTGAGGAGCAAGTGCGCAGTGTTGTTGGGCACTTTGTCGAGCTGAGATTGAGACGCCCTGCGCTCCCGACGGTCTCTTCGTCCTCAATGGCGGTAAACCAGCATCTGAGGCCTGAGATTGTGGCCGCATAGAGATTTTTACGGCCTGCTTGACGACTTTTACGAGCATTTCTTCTCTTTCTACTTTCTACGTTGGACATTGGACAGGTCAGCAGACTGCATGGGGTTACAAGACATTTCACACTGGGGACGGCGGCCGACTGTATCAGCCAGTCAAGGCGCATTGGATTGGAGACCACATTGTCATCATTCATGGGAGCGTGAGACTAGGGAAAAGGCAGCATTCGATTCACAACGGGATACCCCGCGGACTAGCATCCGCACCATTTACCTTTAGTGTATATACTTTTGGATTTCTCGAAATCCACAATCCGAAACTTTTAGAAGCCATCCATCATCTCATCCGTCTTACATGTTCGTGTTCCTCTACCGCTTGTGTCCACCTTCACCCACGCCCATGTTCACGGTTATTCACTCTCCCACGCCCACTTCCTACGCCCGCTCCCACGGGAAGCGTAAGGGTAGGGAGCCGTGGGAGCGCAGTGAGGGGTAAATTGGGGGGCTGAATCACGGTCCAAAAGGTCTGAGGGATTTCCCTCACCATTGGGGCCATGGGAGTATGGACCATGGTCCAGAGAACATTGACCACCAGCTGAAGAGTGAAGGGGGAGAAGAAAAAAAGGGCGGCGGGTCCAGCCCCAGTGGGCACCGGGCGCGCCGTTCAGCCTCAATCTCCGACGGTATGATAGGCTCATTTCTTTTAGGCCGTTCTCAATTCTTTTCTATGCGCTATGCAGCCTTGGGATTGGGGGTTTTTCGGGAAGGGGGAGTGTTGTCTCACTTCTTGGTCCAGCTACCCCAGACAACTGGCCTGCATTACATACGTGCACGCTGAGGAAGAGACCAGACCAGATTATGGGGACTCTGGAGCAGTGGAGAGACACACGTGTACAGAGGGAGAAGGAATGCTCGCTAATTTTAACTCGTGTTGGTTATGGGAGTGAGACTCGGATTTCGCTCCTCGTGTCTTGTGGAAGAAGTTCATGGATTTGGTAGGTTCGATGTTGTGAGTTGTGAGTTGTGAGTTCTGTGAGCCACTAGCCGAAGAAGGTATCCCCCTCGGTCGGGCGGTGTTATGTGATTCCACCCGATTATTTTATCTAGCTGAAGTGCAGAACTGTATTTCCCTAGGCTCATGTTCTCAGACTTTGATCTTTTCCCCTCCCTCCTCCTCACAGAAACAACAAGAGTATCCCACTCGAACCGCGCATTTCTAACCAGTCCAGCGCCAAGAACCATGCCGGTCTATGTGAAGCTCGAGATCTTGCGACACGGGTACCTGTATCGAAGACCAGCTGATCAGGATCTAGGATCTCTCGTCTCGAAGTGTCCTCCCCTGTGGAGTTCGCTTCGCCACGCTGCCTTCCCGTCTGAGGAAACAGAGGATGGAACAGCAACGGTTATGCCGAACTATGTGGGGTTGCGAAGGGGTTTGGATGGGATGGGATGAGAGGAGGACGATGGATCATGGGGAGCCCGAGGAGTCGAGGGCGTGTGAAACGGACACATGTATGTTCGCGGCTCGTCCTTCGTCCTTTCGCGGTTGACTCTAAAAAGTGCGTTGGGTTCGGCGCCGCGACTGCTGTGTTTCCCGGGTTCGGAGAACAGATGCCGCCGGTGTTTGATTCTAGCATGCTTTCTCACATTTCCGTGTCTACTGTTGTTTTCCCCGAATGCCAAGGCCGCGGCTCTCTGTGGACTTGCGTGAGAGTTTTCAGCTCGTGAAGAGTGAAGACCCAAGCGAAGAGTTCCAGACCTCGAGAAAAATCTTTTGCCCCTACAGTCTAGACCCTCGAACCCAGGACAGTGGTTAACAGACGCAGTGACTCCCGTCCTGCATGCAGCCTTAACGGGCCCTTCCAGCAACTCTCACCTGAATGCACTGTCGCTCACGCACTCTAGAAAAGAAAGAAAGATAAGAGAAGCGTGGAAAACCCTTGATAGGTCTGAGCTGCGCAGCAGAGACAGACGCAGTGTCTTTGGATTAAGCGAGGAGGCCAAGTACTGGTGTGGTAAGACAAGCAATAACGCCAACATTTGCCGAAGACGCTTCGTTGGTGATTTTCGTTGTCTGGACGCCTCGAGCGTGGGCAGATGAAACTTGGTATGGCTTGTGGCTGATGAGTGGCTTTCTCTGAATCCCACCCCCAATCGTCAACAGCGTCGGGGCGTGGACAAGATTTCCATTCTGAAAGAGTGGAAGATCGTGAGATTTTCGTTTGCCTAGGCCATCACATCTCACCATGGACACTGGGTAGGAAAAGGGATTTTTGCTTGTAGGAATCAGGCATCAACGTCAAGGTTCGATGGCATGATCCTTCTGACCCACAGAATCCTTCAAACATGAGTCGAACATCACGAAATCTCCTGCCTGGCGTAGCAGGCAGCGAACCCTTCATCGTCATATATCCATGATTTGCAGTCAGGCAACTGAAAAGAAATCAACAGTTGAACTAAGTAAAACGAAGGAAGAAAGTATCGCGGAGCCACATCCGAAAGTCGTCTCGCTCGTCAGCGCCAAAAGCATCGCAAGGACGATTGTAGCTTCTTTGTAAGCAAGCCACCGCCACGAAAAACTGACTCGAGTTCGTCTTTGCGATGGCGGCGCACTTCATCCCGTCGGCATCTATCGGTTCCCGAGAAGTTTTGGCTCAGGAAAGTGGGCGCGAGGTGGAGGAGGAGGAGGGTGGGGCGGAGGAGGAGTTGTTCACTGATGAAGAAGAAGACGAACCTGAGATCAAGGACGAGCTCAAGATCTTTGTCGACGCGACTAACCGGGAGGCGTGGTCAGATGTGGTTTTGCAGGCGCGGAGGCATATGCGATGCCACCCTAAACACCCAGGACGCGTTCGCGACGGCGGCAGGGTGTGCATCTTGGTGGATTCTTCCTCATCAGACGAAGAAGATGGGAATAATAAGCTTCTGGTCCGTCGAGCAGAGCCAGGCCCAGCAAACCCCACATTCACCCTCTTCACCCAACTGCCGAAAGAACTTCGGGACAGCATCCTCCTCACGGCCGTCGACCCCATCGCCATTGAGGGCTGGATCAAAATCGACCTCGAGTGGCGGAACGGGCCCCAAGCGCACTTTTTCCTCCGCCGAATCAGGTCCTGGGCCGCCATACCCCTCTTCGCCGTCAGCCGGGAAACCAGGGCGCTGGCGGTCACGGCCTTCGGCGTGCCGGACCCGCGGACCTTTCCGTTCAGCCCCGCTCGGGACGCTGTGGAGCTTGTGTGGGATGGGGCCATGCTCCCCACCACGTGGAGGCGGGTGGAGGACTATAGGCTGGCCGGGCCCGTTATCGCGGGTAGGTGTAGGTGTGGTGGCCGAGAGACGAGGCACATCAATATTGACCATGAATGGGCTATGCCGAGGGAGACGCGTGAACGGGTGCAGAGTATGTTTGTCGACGGGCGTTACGCGAGGTTCGATTTGGGGCTGAGGGATGGGACCAAGGGGCCGTGGGGCCTTGTGTTCGGGTTGGTGAATGGGTTCTTTGGCGGGGTGAGGGTGTTGGGGGTGAGATTGTGGGACTCGGATGATGAAGGGTTCGAGGGGAGCTTTGACACGGCGAAGGGAGAGGCGCTTTACAGAGTCGACCAGATGGACTTTTTCGATGGGATGGAGGAAATTTTGTCTGAACCTGGAGCTGAGGATCAAGGGGTGAGAGTAGAAGCTCCCTTCCCGAGGCTGAGGTTGCTGAGGGTCTTGCCTGAGATACCATGGCCCAAGAGACCACGTAAGTTCAGGTTCAGAAAGGTAAGGGGGAGTCACTTCCTGGTTGTTGGTCGAGGAGGCATACCGACAGCTAAGCCTTGACTTACATGTCACTCAACTTGATATCGTGAAGAGCAATGCTCGACTTGAACGTGGCCGAGGACTCACTCCTATGAGCCTCGAGGGTACTAGCCAGACAGGCACAACACATCATCAAACAGCACAAAGCCTTGAATGACAGTATTTTGTAGCCTTTTGGCGTGAATTGTGTAATGCAGTGCTACCGTCGAAACAACAAGAGAAGAGGCTTGACGGGGAATAAGAGTGTACATAAATCATGACACGCCACAAGACTGGGGCTGCATTACAGCTTTAGTTACCATCACGGCATTTACTACTCGATATCATACGTGTTGTCCTGCTTTAATGGTCATGCTCCGATGGTAGCATTCGTCCATAAGAGCGACTTTCCTGGGTACTTTTTCCTTATGCTATGCTGACGCTGTTCCAAACCGCATACCATAGAATCGTGGAGTCATATTCTTCAAACACATCACGTACACTTGTCGCTTGTCAATCCTTGACCCTCGATAACCACTCCTCAGGAGGTCTGTCCATCGTCCGCCGAAAATCATCGCTAAGTCTCAACCTTGACGTTGGAACTTCAACATCGAACAAGCTCATTCTTAGTTGTGGAGATCCGACTCCAGATGAGCTCGTCTTAACAGTTGACTCTGTCTGTTTGCTGGCTTGGTGAGAAGGGGGGTTGATCTCACGGATCCCGTGGGGGGATGTGATATCCGAGTCGGCCGGCCCATCCTCTGGATCGAGATTGTGTGCCTGTCGCACCATTCGACTCGTCTCGTTTCTTCGAGCCTGCTGTCTCTCCAATCTGTCTCTTCGTTGACGGTATACCGACGAGCGACCCATCCTGGTGAGCACCATTTGATACAGAGGTCGCAATGTTGCTATCGAGGCTGCCACGATGCCTATCCCTGGTTCTACTGTGCTCCATATTGCAAAGTTGGAGGTTTCGTCTGCAGGATGAGTAGTTGCGTTAGTTTTCTCGAAGGATTTGTGGCGCGGAAGCTAGGCAATGGGCTTACAAAGAAAGTCCTTGCCATCCAGTAACGTCGGGATATAGAACGCTCTAACAATGGTGGCGGTACTTCCTCTACATCCAAGACTGTCAGCTTTACCCCTCTGTCAGACCAGTATGTCCGCAGCCTGTCTCTTCTCACACTTACACAGCGGCCAGCCCCAGGATGCAAACCACCACGATCTTGGTCCCGATCGGAAGATTCATGGATCTGACAATGAACCACGGTAAAGCACCGAAAATGAAGTCGGCACTCGTGTTGATGACTGTCGCCGCAATCGTCATGATGTAGATGACTCGTGAGGGCCAGCATTTCTCCGGCGTTCTAGGCCCTTCTTCCCAGTACGTTGGCACAGGTCTACACTGGAAAGCTACCATGAATAGGTATGTCGTTCCGAAGACAACTGTACCTACCATAAGAGCTCGAATTATCCATATGTGCGGTCGATCGAGTGCGACCCGGAGGAGGAAGTAGCCGACGGAGATTTTGAGTAGACATGTTGAGACGACGTTGAGTAGCTCGAGGATCCACCATAGCTGGAAATCATATTAGCAGGGACCAGATTGGAGATGATGTGACATAGTCTACCAGCAGCATGGTTCTCTTCTCTCCGGCCGTGATCTCATTATCACGGCGGCCGATCCCGTGAGTTCCCCCGTAAATCTGCAACACTAGATATCCGGTGAAAATGGCCTTGTATTTGTTATAATCTTACTGCTCTCTAAGGACTACAACCAGCGTAAAGGTCACTTACCAGAAGGAAGACCATGATCTTGTCGTCGATACCGACTGACCGCACCAACGTTGTCCGGCAATACACACGGAGACTGACGGCCAGCCATGTTGAGAGAAGGAATGCTGAGGCCGTTACGACAATCTGAGCACTCTTGTCCGCCATAGCGACGGTAATAACGCTGCCGATTCCATCGAGAACCACCTTGACTTGAGGAACTGAGGTGGAAGTTGAAAATGGCGAGACGCTGTGCTTCCGACGGAGACGGGACGAGTAGCCAAACGCCGCTTTATCAAGCACCGTGTAATTCAAATAAGCAGATTGCCATACAGGATCGCCCTGGTCTTTGAAGATCGATCACGGTCCGATCACTACGCCACGAGATGTTACAGATGTTGAGCAGAGTTTTGAGACCGATGCACGTGTAGCGAATGGGATAGTGAGCTTGGACATAGCCACCACTCGAGAAGCGTCGCAAAAAGGCCTTTGCAGGGTAAACTATCTGATCTCAATCAAGAAAGCCATCTTTATAGAGCTAAGTTCCTGTATGGTAGGGTCCTTTGAGGATGGTTAGAGGTGACTCTATCTACCTACATAAGACTGCGAATCATGCAAGGAAGACGGAAAACCAGATGGGCTCGGCTGTCTAGATTTGATATATAAGATCAAATGCGAGATTGCTTAAGCTACAAGTACCTCCGTGGGGTGCATGGTAAAACACCTGGTGACAAGCTGGGTTGAAGCGGGTATGTTGGTAAGTAACACTGTGATATTACAGATCACATTGATTGTCGCTCATCGTCAATATTTCATGTCAAATCTAGGCATTTTGCTGACATAATGAGATCTAGATCAAGTAACTTGACTATCGTGAACATAGAATTCCAGCTTGTACTGCGGCATTTGAACTTGAAGTCGACTTTGCCGGATGTCGTCTTGAAGCCGCGGACAGTTCACCTAGGTGAAAACAATGCCGTTCGATCCTTGCTGATAACTCTATGTCGGCAGATTTTCTGCTTTTGAGTTCAGACATGATGCAGCGTGGACCTTGGGTTTTGACTTGCGAACTACGCAGTACTCGCTATTGCCGCACGTGACTCCAAGTTATATCGAGTCATTTAATCAACAGGATTCTGCAGCCTCATCTTTCGCTTGGTTTCAAGCCGTTCCCGCATCTCATTCAATGGACAAATTACGACCAGTGGTTGGTCTTACCTCTTCCCCAGGCTAGATCCAGTCGAGGGAAAAGTCGATATATGTGAAAACATGCAAGAAGGAAGCATAACATTCGAGCACAATAGCATGAGCACCGAATGACTCTCTGGCTTAGGCTAGCTTTCTAACCTGTCTTGGTAACTAAAGCGGAACATGTATTCCATTCGTCTCCTCGTGAAGTGAGCCTTCTGCCATGTAGAGCCACGTTTATGTGCTTGGCGGCTGTGAGTGGAGTGAAGCCATGTCCATTACACCCGCTCCTAGTCACTTGCAGGTTTCTTCCGACTAACTCCAAATGTAAGTTTTGAGTGTGGCTAAGAGCTCGTTCGCAGGCTTTGAGAGGTAGCAAACGTATTCGCTTTCGCTTGCGAAAATGGACAAGTCACCGCCCCCCTTGCCTTGATCACCTCCATATCCGACATCATCTCCTCCCTTCCCTTCTCCCTTTGAGGCTCAGGCCCAATGGTCATCAAGTCATATCCCTGAGGGAAATATCTGCTTCCCCGCTCGCCCGGAACCTTTCCACCCACCGCTTTGACCAGCCATGCACCCGGACCCCAGGTCGACCACGTTGTTGGCCGCATGTACCAGGGTTGAAGGCTTTTTCGTCCAAAGTTGTAGAGCTTAGTCTCGGGATTCGAAGTGTCGTTGACGAGTTTGACTGCGGATGAGTCGGGGCGCGGGAGGGCAAGGTGTCGAAGACCGAGTTTTCTCGAGTTGCGAACTAGCGCAAAGAAGGTAGAGAGGAGGATTCCAGGAGATTCCAAACTTTGGAGAATTAGTTAGAAGAGTTACAACGGTCTGAAGGTTGCTTGAATTGGCTTACTTGAGGCTCAATCGGACCACGTCGCCCAAGTCGGCTCCGAGGGACTTCCTCAGTGCTGTCCTCAAGAAGCCGGGTAAAGAAGACAAGGCCGAGTCGACATAGACTCTGACGTATTGATCATTTGTCGGCACTGGCTTACACACCTCCTCTTCATATTGCACTGTCCAGTCTCTGAGCTTCACCGCAAAGTGTAATCCGTCCATCCAGCCGTCTTTATACGAGGGTAAAAGATCGAAAGGAATGCCCATATCTTCTCCTAGGTTCTTGTGGAAGATGCCTAGAGCACATACTTCGACATCGGTCAATTTGCGCCATTCGTATCTGTTGACTACATTGATTATTTCAGCAAGGCCATCGCCGAGGGTGTGAAGTAGGTCGGGGTCGGTGATTTTGTTCGCGCGGCGGTATCGAGCATGTCTGTGGAAACAACGCTCGTTAGTAAAGAGTGTACACAAATTGTAAGGCAAGTCAATGACTTTGTGACCTACAGAAAGTTCATCCTCGCAACAGACATCGCATATCGATCCGAGTCTCTTGCCTTGGACTGCACTTCTCTAAGAAGGATTTCAGTGTCGACTGATCTTTTACCCGCGTTGCGTTTGTTATTCTGGCCTGTCACTGCAAATAGTCTTGACATTGACGGAACACTTCCAGCCTAGTACGTAGAGATCCCTCATCAGTTTGATTTGGTCATCTTTTAACCGGGATCAGTTTCCCAAAACAGATTCACTGTAACCAACCTTTAGGAGAGCTAATTTGCGAGCTTTGGAGAAGGCGTATGGGAACTCGAGTTCTTGGAGCTGGGTAATAATGTCGTGAGACTCTTTGACGGTCATACTCGACAACTCGCGGCCACCCTCAGTAAACGGGGCTTCAATATGCATCATTCGGCGGTAACGTAATTGTCTGACAGTCAATATGTAGCTGAAGAGAATAATTGTCGTTGCTGTCGGAATAATCCATGATGAAAATTTGCCGATTTCAGGACTGGTGATTGAAAAGAACATGTCGCAGATGACACCACCACTGGAAGCTGCAAAGTGAATAAGTGTTCATAGCTACACGGGCACGAAAACTTTGACATCTGAATACGATTATGGCAATTATACAATATGATAATGGATCGCGAGAAGTCGAATTTCTGACGAAAGGAGTAATCCAGCCGAGGTCCGGGAGCTGCCCGTGTTGTGGGTAAACACGTCGTGGGTTTCGGCTCTTTGTGGGTCACTGAATTCAACAGAAAGCGCTTGTGTTGAGTAAAGAATTGTGTCTGCAGCTGATATCTCACGAACTTTCCCAATGAATTTTGCGCCGAGGTATTAATGAATGAATTTTGACAATATTTTAACACATGACGGGGTGGTGATAATGCCATGCGAACTACATCACCTTTCTCGCCAAACTTTGTTGCGAATTATATTACATTGAAATGTCTTCATCATTACTATGTTGAGTAGATACAGCCTCTTAGGCCTGCTAATAGTGAGTGAACATGTACAATCTTGTTAGGTTGTTGCTCAAGGAACTCCAGCGGTCTTGCCTCCCCTCAAACACTCATGATTGTGGCTTGATCAGCCCAATGCTGCTGAGCAATGGCCTGTCACTAACAGCAACAAGGTACGCCGTAGTAGAGCCCTCGTTGATATGCTGAATCTTGGACCACGCAGGGACGGCAAATGTGTCTCGCGAAGTCCACTTGAAAACCACACGGGGTCCGGTGGGCGGTTCTACAATGGTCCGACCTTGGCCCTCGTAGCAGTGGTAGAGGAAAGAAGCCTGCTCGCGAACCTCCTGTGTCGTGTGGTTGCCGTCGATACGCTCTGCCTGCGCCCCTAGGATGGGTGAAAGGGGCTTGCCGTGACTTGTGTAGTGGTGGATGGCGTAGGGGCCTTCCTGGGCCTTGAGCTCGGCTTCGACTTGGTCCCATGGGTGTCTCCACACGCACGTTTCCGTGAACCTATGAATTGTCAGTGGTCTTTTTCTTATTGACCATCTGAAGAAGACTTACACGCTTGGGTAACGGCTCTCATGGTACTGCTCTGCAAAGTGTACCGGTGTGAATCTGAACAGCGGAAGGTTGAGTGCATCGAGCCAGATAACCGGGGCATCGCTCTCGTTTCCATGGTCGTGCCAGTGCCATGTCGGCGTCACGACAACATCTCCGCGTCTCAGGGGCATCTTCTTTCCCTCGACAGCAGTAAAGCCCTCGCCATCGATGATGAATCTGAGTGCGAACGCGATGTGCCTGTGCGCAGGGGCAGTCTCGCCAGGGTTGACGATCTGAAGTCCACCATAGATGGTGTCTGTTGTGTAAGGGGATTCTGTGACATCTTGTGAGTACGAGCAAGGTTGTCGTAAGTCAATCAATGACGCTTACCCATATTGGGGTTGACCAGCATCAGCACTCTCCTCTCCGCTTGCTTCTCGCCAACCATCTCTGCGGCCTTGTGAAGAAGAGGGAGGCTGTCGGCGTACTTCCACATGTGAGGCTTGGCGACGGGTGCTGGTGTAGGTGGGACCATCACGTTCATCTTGGACCACAAAGGCTCCATGTGCTGTGATGGTAACTCCTCCAAATAGTCGTTCATGGCCTTAGCCCTGTTGTCGTCCTCGTGAGGGGAGTCCATTGTGAGCGATCCCTTGGACGTGCGTGGCGTATGATGGTCTGAGTGCCTTGTGGCTGTACTTGGGTATTTGTATCAGTGTGTAGAGAGTAGTCTGGATCAATTCGTGTGTTCTATAGTGAAAGCCGTGATTCTGAAGATGAAGTTGGATGTTGGAGGGACATGCGAAGGAGGTTATCAAGGTCCGTTTCCACGTTATCCCCGGACTGTTGACCCCCCTTGTCCGCAGCTATGCAGCGGAAGCGCCACGCGGGACGGGACTCGATCTGGCAGTTGAGGCAATCCCGAGTTCCGATGTATCACCCAGCTCCCCGCGTTCCAACTACGGAACCACCCCTGATTGGTCAATCCGAGCCTGCTCCAATCGAGGGGCACGATGATGTACGTCTTGGAGGCACACACTTAAGGAGCTGAGATAATCTGGGAACAGCTTTATGCGGCTCGTCACAATCGAGAAGTCAACTCAGTGTTTTGAGCAAATTTCTATTTCCGGGCACAGTATCAAACACAATGTCTTGGAGCCGTCTCATTCGCTTCGTTGATGACAACGACGTCGAGCACTTTGGTGAGCCTGAGGTGCAGGACGAACCAGAGATCACGTCGCTTCTTGACAAGAGCGACTTGTGGGCTACTATCTACGATGGTGCCAGCCCTGTCTCATCCCTGGCCAAGGGCGAGCGGGTGCATGTCAAGGCCCTGAGACCGCTCTTGACACCAAAGGACGTCCCGATCATTCGGTGCATTGGCCTCAACTATGTTAAGCACAGTATTACAACCCTCCCCGGCATGGAGCTATTATAGATATCTAAGTTGAATCACAGTCAAGGAGGGTGGCAGGACACCACCGCCGTTCCCCTCACTTTTCATCAAGCCTGCGACATCAGTCGCTGCGTGGAATGAGGATGTGCCGATCCCCAAGGTTGCACAGGATGGCACCGTTGATTACGAGGGCGAACTCGTGAGTACCGATTCTCTAAGGCGACCATTCGATACAAGTCGCTAACAAGACTAGGCCTTCGTGATTGGAAAGTCAGGCAAGAACATTCCCAAGGAAAAGGCGTTGGAGTATGTCGCCGGCTACCTCACCGCAAACGACGTGTCAGCGAGAGCCTGGCAAAGAGACCCCGCCAAGGCTGGCGGCGTGCCCCAGTGGTGCTTCAGCAAGGGCTTCGACAAGTTCGCCCCCTTCAGCCCTGTTCTGGTCTCTCCGGGAGTAGTCGGAAACGCCAGTGACTTGTTGCTGCAGACCTTTGTCAACGGCGAGGAGCGACAGCATGAGAGCACTGGCGACCTACTTTTCGGCGTGGAAGAGATTGTGAGCTTCCTCAGCCAGGGAACAACGTTAGAGGCCGGCACAGTGGTGTTGACTGGGACGCCGTCGGGTGTCGCTATGGGAATGAAGCCCCCGCAGTACTTGAATGATGGGGATGTGGTGGAGGTGAGGATAAGTAAGCTTGGCAGTGTGAAGAACAAGATGGTGTTTGAGTAGAAAGTCATCACGAATGAAATGCTAAGTTTCGGAAGTTTGAGCATAAGAGGCGCGAAGGCTGGGTATTTTGGAGCTGAATGTACATGATGGGGCCTGTCAACTGCCGGCTATAGACTTCCGGGCATACTGTTAAGCCAAGAGAAGTCATTGATGTCAAACGTGATTGCGTCCATATCGAACGCTGCATCCTGCGCCAAGTAAGGAAAAGGCATATCAAAGGTCTCCTGCTGCTCGTTGGTGATGTTGGGCACCGCTGCATTAGTATCCGAGCTTGGAAGAGCAGCTGACTGAGGTTGCTGATCCTGGAACATCTTCGTCGAGAGGATCTGAAGTGCCGCGGCACATCTGCGCGGAGAAGGGCCTAGGTTCTCATGGTCATGGAGCAGAGCCATCGCTTGATTCCACGAGCGGGAGATGTCGAGCGAAGAAAAGACCGCGGGTCGGAGTCTTGCTGCGATGAGGACAGTTGCTGCTGTGTAGATGTAGAAGACACGATACCACCAAGCTGGGAGGAGACCGAGGGTGCCGTCGTGTTGTTGGAATTGCACTATGAATGAGATGAGGCTTTGTGCGGCTTCGACGCAGACCATGGCGCATTGCTGAACGACGCGGGATGAGAGGTCATCGTGGACCTGGGAGGTTTCTGGGCACTGGGACAGACAGAACCGAGTGAGCATGGGTCTGAGGAGGATCATGCGTGCATGAAGGAGCCTACAACCTGTCAGCCATGGCTCAGGGATTGGCCAGATTGGCTGTGAGCCAATTCTTGAGTCACAAGTGTCATCACTGACCTGATACGCAAGATTACCGCCTGCCTGCGGAAGACCTCATCCAGAGTAGTCTCAGGCTCGGCCATGGTCAAGAAGCTGGGTAAGCTCTTCTCCCATTTCGTCAAGCGCTGATCAAGCTGTAAAGCTTTCCCAAGATCTAGCTCTGGTCTATCCAAGGAGCGCTGAGTCGTGCTTCCAGTGCCGTTGGTAAAGGTAGGCGACTTAAGCGGCGATGTTGACGAGTAAAACGCGAGGACTGCGTGGTTGATAACCTCGTAGAGCTCGAGTGACTTATGGAAAAAGGCCTGATACCGAAGCTTGTGAAGCTGAATGGCACCTAGCTGTACTCCGTCGACGCTGGTGACATTGGTATCCGGGATCGAAGGTAGGACCAAACTTAACGCTAATTGATCCGAGATCATTGCCGGGCGTCCATGTGTGATGGCAATCATTCTGGTCGTCGAGTTAGAGGTTCCATGCGCATGGGGCCTTGTATCGGGATGACACTCACCGATCCATCAGGATACATCCATGCCAAATCCTCTTGACGAGATCCCTTTCGGGCTCATTCGAGAGTTCCGATGCCGTCTCTGGCAAATGTAGGCCAAGGCCCTGGGCGATTCTCACAGCAGACCCGACAATCATCCACGTCTGGTGAGGATTGTTTGTACTTTGGAGATACTGGCTCATTATCAATAGACACTGTATCAGCTCGATGGAACCAGTGTCCCAAAGGCTCAGCTGTAGCAAATCCTGCGCACGAGTGAAGTACCCCTGGCTGGACGAATCCCTCTGACCCGGAGGCAGTGACTCGATCAACTGCGTGGAAAGTGCGAAGATGATATTGAGGATGCTCACGAAGATCCGTTCATCGGCATCGAGCGAGGTACCAGCAAACAGCGCTCGATATGAATGCTCGAATCTTTGTCGGTCCAGGAAGGGGTAAAGCGGGTCTACGTAGTACCAGTAGAGATCCGTCAAGTGATCTGCTTGCTTACGGGCTGGCAAAACATAATCAGCCTGCCCTACCGCACCAGAACCATTGTGAGGAAGTGTTGAACGGAATAGCGAGCTTCTCGCACTCCTATTCTCCGTGGAAGAGCCCAGCCTCGCGTCGATTGCAGCTTTGATCTGGTTGGTGAAAGATCCAGCGCTACTGCTGCCAAAGTACTCGCCAGTGACCATACCATCCTCGCGCACCGTGGTCATGGAATCAACCACCGAAGGGCTAGCATCGGATGGGGTGATCGGGTGCCGTTCAACTCGACCTCGCCTTGTGAGGTCTGGCCCCGAGGACGTGGTTGATTTGGGCGTCGCACTCGGAGCCGGGCGAGATATGGGAGGCATCAGAGGCTGCGCAAAGTTGGTCTCGGGGGTGTGGACGATCTTGGGCATTGCCCTTTCGGGATTGCCTGGACTTGCATCTGCAGGTTTACTACCACCCGAGAACGACTTCTCGGCCTCGGAGGTGTATGTGCAGCCGTTTCTCAGATCGGTCCTCTTCCAGCAGTTACCGCATGCTATGAGTTGCTGTCAGCCGTGTCACGGTCAGAAACGCATGCGTTGCGCGTGCAATTTGCCAGCCGAGGTAAATCAGATGTTCTGGAAACTTCCTAGCACCATCTAGATTGACTCCGATCTGATCTTATGGGCCAAGACTCTCGAAACTGCCAGCCCTTCACCGTAGAGTCCTCACCGATCACTCACCTGGGCGTGCTCCATCACACTTGACTTTCCTCCTCCGACAGGCTTCACATGCCACATCAATCTTGATCCGCTTTGGCTTCGGCTCCATAGTTTTCTCCCTTTCCTCCTCCCACCGGCGCAAAGCGTGGGGGTAGATAGGCTCTTCCGCCGGAGACTGGAGTCTTTCCCTAGATAGAGACAAACCTCGGAATGATAGATGACTTATCTCGGAAGCCGCAATGGCCAGGAAAGTCTAGATTTAGATCATGGAACTCGGTTTGACTTCGGTCGAGTGAGATAGACAAAGATTGCGGAGAATGAGCAGAGTTCGGGATGAAATGTTTGGATGGAGAAAGGTTGGAGGTCTGGGGATCACACCGAGTTCCGAGGCCACCTGAAGAACTCCTCCAGACATGAGACCACAGCAGAGAGAAGCACAGCATGGATCGGAGGGTGGCACCAGCGGGCAGCGGAAAGCGGATCGAATTATGATTTGTTCAAACGGATTAGCTCCGAGTCATGAGCCTCCATCTTACCCCAGCTTCTTTGTCTAGCAACTTAGCGACTCTCCGTCTCGGCTTATTTTCTCATCTGCTCCCATTGCACAGCTCCGTCGACGAAATGCTGCCAAGGCGGCCGAAACTTGACAAAAATCTCCGAATCAGGTCGCAGCTCAGTGCTGCATCCGACATCCGTCAGCCGTGAGCCTCAACCGGGCACGCGGGGGAGAGACACTACTTACCCGCCCGCCAACAGACTCGTCCGGATGAGAATGTATCGCCCCTTTGCGGATGCGGGGGTTGTCCACAGCGGGGTCCCACAAGTGCGACAGAACGACTTTTCCTTTGGAGAACCGCTTGACGTGTCGGTCAATGTGAAGTTGGAGATGAGATCGATCCCTGAGAGGACTTGGACGAATTGAGCTTCGAACTTCGCAATCTGCCACGAAACCGAATTAGCAATGACTTTGTTATGTCCAACAATGGGTAGTCTTACCGTTTGATGCGACCCACCTGCGCCTTTGCTACTATGGTTGCAGAAACAGGAGAACACAGCGAGTGGTATCGATGAAGCCTGGATCTCAATCCCGCCGCATAGGCAAGAACCCCGAAAAGAGGACGACATACTGCTGGCGGCGCTGAGGATAAATCTTGTCATGGATCAAGAAGGCTTTAGCAGTCTACTTAGTTAAGTAGGTTGACTGCGCGTTGCCTCTGGTGGCCACTTGCACACTAAGGGCCGGACGCCCGCCTCACAAGACTTCAACTATGTGCAATAAAAACCCGACCGCAACGCGCGATTGGCTTTCCGAACAGCTGGGATACATCCTGACCGAGACAACGGGACGCTAAGTAGAAGCGCCGGTAAGCGAACTTGGCGGTGGGCGGCTGACATCCGGATTGAAGTCTAAGTGTATCTCTCAACTCCCATCAGATGGTGTAGCAGAGAGGGCAAATTGCGCAGTCAACGGCACCAAATCACTGATGTTTGCTGAAACAACTGTAGACTTATGGGTGTCATGACGAGCTCGGGATGTGGACAAGAAACTTGACTATCGATTGCAGTTCTAGTACGCTCGCAACTATGTAGGCTTTTATCGATTATGGCTTGGTCTATTGTGTTAGGCCTTCCTGTCCGCAACATTCTCAACTTCAACAAACTCGTCATCAACCTTGTCGCTTCTAATGCCACTGCTGCCAAAGGCGTGGTTTTTGCCGTCAAACACCTCGGCAATCTGCTCAAGCGAACGGCCCTTGGTCTCAGGGAAGAGAAGCCAGATCAAGAGCAACAGAAGAGCCAAGATGACGCAGAAGACGATGTAGTACTTCCAGCCCAAGTTGGCCATTCCAATGGGGTTGCAAAACTGTCCGATAATGAGACCGACGAAAGTTGATCCCAGTGACATTGTCAGCCCCCTTCCACGCAAAGTGTATTGGAAGATCTCGACCGGGTACGAGAGCAAGAGGGGCGACCAGGCGATGTCGTAGAAGAAGTAGTAGATGAAAATAAACGCCACCACGGCGTAGCCGGCTCTCTCGTCTTTGGTGTTGGTGAAGACGCTGGTGAGGATGGTCCAGATGATGTAGCATCCGAGCATACCAGCGGTCGAAATGAGGAAGAGCTTGCGGCGACCAATGCGGTCAACCATCATGGCGCCGGCAAACACGGCCGCGAACCAGTTGAAAACCTGGAGCAAGCCGTTGATGAGGGCCTGATCCTTGGTCTCTGTAATTCCGACGGTGTTGAGAACCAGTGTGAGGTAGTAGGAGATGACTCCAGAACCAGACCACTGGGCTCCGAGACCAGTGATGACAGCAATGAGCGTACGGCGGCGATTGGGGGCCGTCTTGACGAGGTCGAGGTACGAAGACTCGCGCAGCGCCTCGGTCTCGAGACGGACGTTTTCCTCAATTTCCTTGACTTCGTAGTCAACGAGAGGCGAAGACGCATCGCCGCCGGCGTGGTAGCGGGTGAGAATCTCTCGGGCTTGTTCGGTTTTACCATGAGCAATAAGCCATCTGGGGGACTCAGGCACGAAGTAGAAGAAGGCGAACTGAATTGCAGGGAGAGCTCCCTGCAAGATAGACGGAATCCTCCAACTCCAAGTTGAGGTCAGTCGGAATGTGCCGTAGGTTGACCAAGCCGCCAAGATTGCTCCGAAGAACTATGGCAACTGTTAGCCGGAGCCTCTTGCAACACATTCGACATAGACCTAGGTAGCTGGGAAGACTTACAAAGAAGGTATTGTAGAGACTTGAAATCTTGCCTCGCTGGGTCGGGTAGGCAAGTTCGGTCACGAGAATCGGCGCCGGCTGCGCAATGAAGGCAGTAGCAGCACCGAGGAGCCATCGTGAGACGATGAACATGGGCAGACTAGTACTTGCGCCCTGGAGAGCGGCTCCGACGAGGAGAAGGAAGAACCCAATCCACATCGGCACTTTTCTGCCGTACTTGTCCGCCAGGTATGTAGTTGGAATAAGGCCCATGATCTTGCCGATGGGATACACAGCGTTCATCGTTCCGAGCACGGATGGACTAGGGCTACCAAAGTAACCGCGCCATTGCTTGATGGTCTGCAGACCGTTCATCATGGCACCTGGTTCCAAATGTTAGGATGGCACTTTACACGTCTTACACAGAGCAGTGACGTACCATCGAAGCCGACCGAGGCCGACGACAACATAGGGACCAATAGAGTTAGGTTCAGCAGAAGCAAGTGCTTGGTGCGATACCATGGTGCAGGGTTTTCGGGCAGGACCTTGAGCTGTTAGAGTTCATGATCACATAGCTTCTGACTTGCGTCTTCTGTTGTCGATGCCGGCACATTGAAGAGGAGACTCACTGCGAGCAAGTCAGACCCAACGGCCTGTGCAGCCGTCTTCTTGGCTGGCTTTGACTTCAGGAAGCCCATCTTGATTTTGTGTGGTCGGGCTACACTGGGATTGTACTGGAAGGCTGTTGGTTTCTTCAATAACCACCGTTTCAATCAATTTTGAAAGCAGTGAAGTCGCCGAGCCGGGATCAACTCGAAGCCATTAGAGTTAGTCGAAGGAGGCCTTGGAGATATATGCAAAAGTCAAAAGAGACACCGTCAAGAGTCGGAATGGAGGAGTTCTCAACTTCCCACGCGGCCAGCCCCCTGTGTACCCCAGTCGACCCCGTAAAATGTCTGCGGTCTCCCCACGGGCGGTGGATTCTTCCCCAAGTTCATCGTTAGCTTAGATGGTTGACCCATCGTGTCGGGTGAGGGGACTCGATCACGGAACTCGGGAGTCGGATGGCAGGTCACGTTGACCAGACTAGACGAACGCTAGATGACTATGGGTAGACCTGGCTTGGGAGTGAAGATGGACCAACGCCGCTAGTAGCAGAAGCGTCGGAAAGCTGGAGAGCTGTCAAGCTGACAAAGGCTTCGACTGGCCTACTTTGCACACCGACGGCAAGTCCCCCGAAGCGGGCTGCCCTACTCGCTAGAATGGCTCACCTCACTGCTCACCGAGCAGACTCACCGGGAAGAGTCCCCGAGCGCAAAAGTCTCAAGACTAAGCAGACTCTATGACATGTAGGTAAGGCGAGTCATAAGTGAGCTTCCACGCTCCCCGAGGCCATTGCGTCGCGTTCTGAAACGGTTCTGCGGGGGTCGGTGATCAATGCTGCACGATAATTAAACTCGCGATCCCCAGACAGGGCCGACCATCCTACCTCCCCCTCACATTTCGCGTCGCTCGTCTCCCCGACACGAGAAATGCCCCCGAACAACGAGGTCTACAGGATTCATCTATCGTCGCAATGGACCCACCGCCGAAGAGGATGAGAATGGATATCGGTCGGGGCTTCCCCGACATGGGCATGGCGGCCATTACCGGCGGATCACCTCCTGGCCGCTCCTCCTCCGGCGTCGATCACGCGAATGTCGAGCAAGCTGATCCTAGGATGCCGAAGCAGAGGACTTGGTCTCGCGCATCATCCGCCTGCCAGACGTGTCGTGGCCGTAAGACCAAATGCGATAACGAGAGGCCGATATGCGGCTATTGTAGGAGGGTCGGGGCAACTTGCACATATATCGAGGACTCGGCTCCGGCAACGTCACTGTAAGTTTACTTTCCTTGATACGGACCTGAAGTCTCGAGGCCCACGTCTGATCGGCGGGTTCGGGTCACATACACTTTGCTGGGGATGGCTGCCGGTTCAACCGGGTGGGCACGTTATATCGGACTGATACTAATTGAGTGTGGATTGTTTCCGTCAGATGTCAAGGTGTTGGACCACGTTTGCTGGGAGCAATAGAGAACTTGGCCAACCTCATCCAACGCAACGAGGAGAACTTTCGTGCTATACCCCAGCTTAGCCGCGACCTGTCCCGTGACTCAAGCGACTATCCGGACAGCCCAACCTTTCAAGGTGGACGTCAAGATGGTCTCCTGTCTGGGCGAGATGGCGGCGCCGCGGATGGGGCCAAGAAGTCCATCCACCCCTCGTTGTCGGATACCGCCGGACTGGACTCCGTGCTGGAGTGGCCAATCTTTCCTAAACCGGTGCCCTTCGCGATAGACCCCTTCAGCCATGCTTCCCCACGCGGGGACGCCTTTTCCCCCAGGTCACCCCCCGCCATGGAGTTCTACGAGCTATCCCGGCTGGTAGACTTGTACTTGACCAATGTTCATCCCATGAATCCCGTCGTCGACGCTCAAATGCTGCGACAGATGTTAAAGCAGGTCGCGGAAAACGGCCCTGACTGGTCAGCGTCTACCTGTATCGTTGCCTTGTCTTGTGCCCTCGGCGCCATATCTCAGAGACCTGGACAGAGAACGCCAAGCGGGACCCCTCGTGGATACTCCGTGGAGCCCAACCGTCATCTGGCGTCAAGGTATTGGTCAGTCGCCGAGAAACGACTGGGCTTCTCCATGGGTTCACCTGGATGGGAGTCTGTACAATGCTTATGCCTTGCAGGGTAAGACGGCTCCTCCCGCGTATCTGACTTGTCATGGCTCTTGGTCAGTCGTACATGTAAGGCTGACTAGCATGATAGAATCTGGCACATGTACAACATGGATCCCTTACAAGCATGGAAATGTTTCAGTATGGCGAGTAACACCTGGTATACTACTTCGCTTACAAACAAGTTTGTCTCTCCTTGGCACTGCTTGGATTCCCCTTGGCTGACATCCGTCTCAGACTCACCATGCCAGCTAAAGCCGAGACGCCTGAATTCCCCCAGTCACTCTCAATAGAGCAGATATTGTACTTCACTTGCTTCAAGTCTGAATGGTATGCTCTATGTGGAATCTTTCTCCGTATTCTACTTGATCTTTGGCTAAGATTCGGTTGCAGTGAGCTGGCGTTTGAGCTGTCTCTCCCTGGTTCCATCCTCGCCGGTGTAGACTACCCATACAGTCTGCCCACTCCACCAACACTCGGCGTCATGAACCTGGACAACAAGGCCCTCATGATGGAACAAAGATCCTGGTACTACTACTTAGCAGAGATCTCAGCACGGCACCTGATCGATCGTTTCACTCAGGCCCAAAAGAGATGCCCCCCTCACCCAACTGAGCATGGCATTGACCGCATGCTTGAAGTGTTTGAGGTCTTTGATGCCCAGTTATCGGATTGGTACGAATCGCTACCGCCGCCAATATCATTCCAAATACCCACTGGAGACATCGCTCCTCTGGGTGATGACCTGTGCCAAATGCTTCGTGGACGGTACCTGGCGATGAAGGAGCTTCTGTGCAGACCTTTCGTCCGGTTGGCCTCCACCATCTCCATCGCTTTAACGGTATCGGAACACATGGTCGCAAGGGTGGCAGAGCTTGCTTCGCGAGGACTACAGTACTGTTTGTTCAGGATCCAGGCTACGTCGTCCACACCTCATCACGGCCTCTGGTTACAATTGAGGGGGTTCGTGACCTGTTCTCTAATCCTGACGGCCGCAGAGCGGGCACAGAGTATCCCGTCGTTGAACATGCCAACAAAGGTCACGTACCCTCACAGTTGGAAGCGGACGATCTTTGCTCAAAAGGAAATTCTATCTAATTGTTGGGAGTTCGAGGAAGGAGGCATAAGCGACTGCGCCAGAGTGTTAGACTGGGCGCTTGCAAAGTTCACGATCTGATCTCATGCTTATTCTGGATGCACATAATCTCGTTATGAAGGGGAAGGCATAAGATGTGATCAGACAAAGATGGACATAATCATGTCACGCGTTTCTGGGGCGCTTAAGCGGAGTGGCAACGCCCCCGGTCCTACAATGGTGGCATCGTGTCAAAGTAGCCGCTACGGGAGCTGTCAAGGCCTTTCCCCGAACCTTTGTAGGATAATGTATAGATATAAAAGTCAACTTTATGTTATGATTTCAATCGGGGAAAGAGGTTAAGCTCTTCACTTGGGGTCCAATTAGCCGAGCGGTGCGCTCGACTCGGGTGGCGCTCGGCGCGTAGGCGATTTCATTGGGCGCTTCGCAGCAGTCCGAACATCAGACACCGTTACTACGTTTTAGTCAAACCTTGACAGTAGGAGCGAAAGGCCGAGTTTGCATTAGGCTGAGTCTATACAAGTGTACCGGGAATGCACTCTTGACGTGGCACCCGATACCGAGAAATGTCAGGCTTGATATGTCGCGGCAAGGTTTGCTCAACGTTACCGCAGCTCTTTCGGGGCGGAAAGCCGATAGTCTGTCGGCACCTCATGTTTTGAGTTGACTGACTGGATCGGACATTCTCCCCGTCTGCATTCAATCGGAATTTGTCCCCGTCTGCAAGCTCGCTCGGGGAAGTCTAGAAGTAGTCACACTCCGCGCGCTGCGGCCCTATTGGCCTCGATGAGAAACGTAGCTTTCGGCGTCACCACTTCTTTGGGTTCTGGGAAAGGCATACTTGGTTGACTCGAATGGCCTGTGAAATTGGGCTCTGTCTGCACCTCGCTGACATGTCTCATGTTTTCTGTCCCCCAAACCCGTTTGAGGCGCACGGTCACAGATGTGACACCTGTCAGGTTCAGGCTGGCTATCAATCAAACGAAAGTCCAAACGACTTGCAGATCCTCCTAGTTGATAAAGTAAGTGAAGGCCATGTACTATCGTGCCATTGCTTGCAACGTTCGCGACCTCGAAAGGGAATTCTTGTTGACTTTGGCGATAGTTAGTATCATCAAGTTGGGTATTATGGGCAACCCCCGCTCCTACGTCTCACGTCCAATGACTGGACGAAAAGTCTGTATTCGCTATCATTGAGATATCATACAGGAATTTGAATCAATCCAGCCGTCATCTGATTACCTCAAGCAACAACACCGCGGATGCACGCGG